CTAGCACGCCTATATTTAACTAAAAAGCCTATTTTTTTACTAGGATATACTATTTTTATTTAAGCCCCTAATAAGCTTTATAACCTAATAATGGCTAACCCCACCACAGGGATAAAATAAAGTAAAAAATAAGGGTAAATATAAAAAATAGGACTAATAAATATAGGTTAAATACTATTAATTTTTTAAACCGGGAGCGGCAATATTCTTAATATTATTAATATTATTTACCGTGTTATCCAGGGTACCCTATAAGTATTTAAACTTATTAATAATATAGTAATTTTAGCAAAGCTATATAAAATCTTAAGCATAAAAATTATTAATACCAGGTAAAGTAAATAAAATAAACATGTTATATAAATAGGGAATCCCACGGAGGTAAAAATATATATATTAATAGGGCTTGTTATAGGTAAAATTATTAATAATATTAGGAATAAAACCAGCTAGCTTATTAAAAAAGGTAATATTATTATACTAGCGGCTACTGGCCTTGTTTAATATTAAGGTAAAAAATAGTAATATTAAAAGGGATTTAATAAGATTATTACGTAAAATATTTTAATAATAATAAAAAATTTATACTAAATATTAAAACCACGGAAAGCCAAGATTAGGGTGTAAATATCTTAATAAAAGGGTTATTTTAATAAAAAATATTACTTAAATAATAAATAATAGTCCTAAAATTAAAAAAAATATATATATTTTATTTTTTTTATAATATGCGGGTAGCCTAGGGATTTAGTATATACATACTAATATATAAAGGTTTTAAGCCTAAAAGTATTAGTTATAAAAATAAAGCAAGATATAAAATAAAACTAACTTTTTAAAGGCCCCTAGTGGTAATATATTATGCCTTAAATTTAAAATATATATTTTTAAGTATTTTTAAGCTATTTATTTTATGTATGCCTAAGGGAAGTAAAAAATAGCTAATTATTAATATATTAAATTTATAAATAAAAGGTGGTAGCAACATAGTTATTTAAACTAAAAAGCTATAAAATATAAAAATTTTTAGGTGGTAAAGGTGCCTAAAGCTTAATTAAACTATTTTTATAGTACTTATTAAAAAAGGTTTTTAAGCCATGCTTAATTAAAACCTTATTTTCCTAATACAAAGCATGGTATTTCAAGCACTTTATATTTATATAACTAAAATTAAGCTTATTTTAGGGCTTTATTAAGTCCTAAAACATTTTTAAAAGGGCTAGCTAGTAATAAAAATTTAGTTTATTAACCTAGTAATTATTATAATACCTATTTCTTGCTTATACTTCACGCTGGGATAAAGAAATACTATACTACTTATAATCTAGGAGAATTAAATTATCCCCTAGGTTAGTAATATTAAGGCAAAACCCTATTAGGTAAAATTAAGTAAAAAAAGGCCTACTATAATAACACTAATTATATTTTTAATAATACTTTTAATTAAGTAAAAAAATCTAGCATGTGGGCTTTTAGTAGTAGTATTTTAGTAAAAAAAGGTTTATAGCATAAGCACTTTTTTAGTTTATATATAGCTTATATATTATATTTTATCTAGTTTTTATATAGGACTTATTATACTAAATATAATAATATTAATTAAAAAACCATGCCTAGCTATATATATTAATAGCATGGTTATATAATATATAATAAATATTAGTAAAATAAAAATCCCCAGGGACCTTTTTATAATAATAACTATAGTAAACCATTCCCTATTTTAGGACCTTTAAACAGGGATTAAAAGGGCGGGGACATGGTTACTATTATTAATAGCAAGGTATAACAGGGAACTATCTACTGATAAAAAAAAAAAATAAAAAAAAAAAAAATTCATGAAACAAAAAAAAAAAAAAACACAAAAAAAAAAAAATAAAAAAAAAAAAAATATATATAATAAAAAACTAAAAAAAAGCAGCATATTTATATTTAAAAAATAACTTTTTAAGTAAAAATACTAATTATAATAAGCCTGGCAGCTTTATCCTAACACGCTAAAATATAACTAAAAATAATAATTATAGTAGATTTAAAGCTATACCTATAATAAGACCTAAAATATATTAAAAAATAAAATAAAAAAATATATTTATAATAAAAAACTAACTCCTAGCGTGTTTAGGAGCCTATATAATATTTTAAATAGCTAAATATATGGTACCTAGGGCTAGTATTAAAGGCAGGCAAGCCTAATTTACCTTTAAAATATACCCTAAAAATAATAAGGCTAAAAAAAAGTATATTACTAGTTTAACTAAATAAGTAAATCTGCAGGCCTAGTTTATATAAAAGTTTTTTTTTTACTACTTTTACCTTATATAAACTAGGCCCCCTAAAATAACTTTTATATAATTAAATATTTACGCCCACTTTACTAGTAAAAAAAAGGTTATAAAAATAGTAAAAAAGGTGGTTATAAAAAGCTAACTAGGGGTAAAACACTACTAAGAACACTAAATATAGGTTAAGTAAAAATAACTTTAGAAATTAAAGTACCTAAATAAAGCTAAACTAGCCTAAAGTTTTAAAAATTAAAAAGCTTAAACAAAGCTAAACTAGCCTAAAAAACTACTAGAGTTAGCGGGGACGGTAATATAAAGGGATAAAAAAATATACCTAATTATATATTACTAGGGGTGCTAAATATAGGCTAAGTAAAAATAGCTTTAAAAATTATAAAGCCTAAATAAAGCTAAACTAGCCTAAAAAACTACTAAAGTTAATAGAAATAGTAGTATAAAGGGAAAAAAAACATGCCTAATTATATGCTACTAAGGGTGCTAAACATAGGCTAAGCAGTGCCTAAAAATTTAGGAATTAAAGCTAGCTATAAAGGGCTAACTAGGGGTAAAATATTATTAAAGGTAAAAGCTATTAAAGTTAGTATATAAAGGAAATAACATGCCTAAACATCCAGGAATTAAAAAGCCTAAATAAAGCTAAACTAGCTTAAAAAAACTGCTAAAGTTAGTAAAAATAGTAATACAAAGGAATAAAGGGATTAACATGCCTAAAAATCTAAAAATTAAATAGCCTAAATAAAGCTAAACTAGCCTAAATATCCAGGGATTAAAGTGCCTAAATAAAGCTAAAATAACTTAAAAAACTACTAAAATTAGCGGGGATAGTAGTGTAAAGGGATAAAAAAACATGCTTAATTATATATTATTAAAACTAAATATAAGCTAAAAGGGGCTAGCTCTAGGGACTAAAGTACTTAAATATAGTTAAACTAGCCTAAATATCCAGGGATTAAAAAGCCTAAATAAAGCTAAACTAGCCTAAAAAACTATAAAAAAGCTAGTAAAAAAGGTGGCCACGAAGGACTAACTAGGGGTAAAATATTAATAAGGGCGCTAAATATAGGCTAAGTAGTATATAAAAATCTAAAAATTAAAGTGCTTAAATAATAGCCTAAAAAACTACTAGAGTTAGTATATAAAAAAAATTAAAAAGCCTAAATATCTAGGGATTAAAAACCCTAAATAAAGCCAAGTAGGGTTACTAGTATAAAAAAATAAAAGGATTAACATACCTAAACATTTAGGAATTAAAAACCCTAAGCAAAGCTAAACAGGGTTACTAGTATAAAGGGATAAAGGGATTAACATGCCTAAATATCCAGGGATTAAAGACCTTAAGTAAAGCTAAATAAGGTTGCCAGTATAAAAAAATAAAGGGATTAACATGCCTAAATATTTAGGGATTAAAAACCCTAAGCAAAGCTAAATAAGGTTACTAGTATAAAGGGATAAAAAGATTAACATGCCTAAATATTTAGGGATTAAAAACCCTAAGCAAAGCCAAACAGGGTTGCTAGTATAAAAAAATAAAGGGATTAATATACTTAAAAATTTAAAAATTAAAAAGCTTAAATAAAGGCAAACTAGCCTAAAAAACTACTAAAGTTAGCAGGGACGGCAGTATAAAAAAATAAAAAAATAAAGGGATTAACATGCCTAAAGATTTAGGAATTAAAGTACCTAAATAAAGCTAAACTAGCCTAAAAAATTACTAAATATTAGCAAAAATAATAGTAATAATAAAAAAATTACCCCTAAAAGCGCTAAATATAATACAGGCAGCACTAAAATTAGAAATTAATATAAGGATTAATATACCCTAAACAAAGCTTAAATAACCTTAAAAACTACTAAAAATAATAAAGGTAGTAGTAATAATAAAGGGATTTAACCTAGCTACGCGCAAAAATTAAATATGTTATAAAAATAAAAGGTACAGGTCCCTAAATATAAAAATAAATATAAATATATAATTATAAACACGGAACCACTAAAGGCGGTACCTGGTGGCAGAAGCCAGAAGGCGGAGCGGGAAGGCAGAACCTAATGAGTACAACGGAACATCCGAATATAAGGGAGGGGATCTATTAGCTAGCTAGTTGGGTGGATGGATGGACTCGATTGGGATGGCGTTGGTTTGATACCCCTATGACCTACGTACATGTGCGTACATACATGATAATATATCTCATTCTCCACTTGATGATACGAGGCAAAGCGAGCTATGTTCCTCCGTCAGCAGCCACCGTCGCTGTCTCGGTCGTTCTGGAGTATACACGTCACCTTGCTGAGTCGTTCGACTCGGCGAAATGACGGGTAGACTGTGGTACGGATAGAGGGTAATGGAGTTCCACGTAAGGTGTCGGTGTGTAGAGTTGGAGGATAAGCATAGAGGATTGCTTGGATTGACCTTACCTGGTGTAAAATAACAGTTGACGGAGGCAAGGAACTACTCTCTCTATATTTGTAGCCCAGAACAATTCAGACGTTACCTCGATGAGATGTCTAGGTCTAGGTACTTGAGTGTATTTCACTTGCACAGGTTCAACAGAGTACACCGACACGAACATTATTACTAAATTAAACTGATCTACATGATCCGGTTCGCTCGATGTATGCCAGAGCAAACAAATAAACAGGCGAGAAGGTAATTGGTAATTAGGAAGCTAGATACATTATGGCTTCAATGGCCGCTTAATGCTCGAGGATACGCAGACTGCCCTGTACAACGCAGTTCTCCAGTACGGATCCTGGGGGAATGTCGATTGTGCTGGTCTCTGTGGCCACGATGATGACCGTGCCCTTCAAGGTTACGTTGCGGCCCAGGTTGACCGCACCGGTGATGGTAAGGTGGTCCAGCTCAACGATGCGAGGAATGCTGGGGATGCGCTTCTGGAAGTCAGAGACCTTCTTGAAGTCTCCTCCGAGCTTGATGACGGGGACACCACCAAATCGGTTGGGGTCCATGACAAGCTGACCGTGCTCGAGACGGTAGAGGTCGGACTTGACCAGGAGCAAGTCGGAGCAGGTCTTGACGGGAAGGAAACGGCGACGGGGAACGTTGACACCGTGGGCGTTCTTGAAGTGGCGAATGGCGGCACCGACAGCAGTCTCGAGCTGGTAGATAGCCTGGTCGGCCTCGCCCTTCTTATCGGCGGGGATAGACTTCTCGTTGGCGATGATCTCCATCTCGAGCTCGTTCTCCTCAACGACACGCTTGATGGCGCGGAGGTTCATCCAGATGTTGTTGGTGTTGAAGTACTTGAACTTCTTGATGGACTTGAACTCGTTGACGTGCTCCTTGGGCACCTGGGCGATCTCAAGAAGACGGACCTTGCCCTCGTAGTCGATAATCGTACCACCCTTGACATCGGCCTTGGTCTTGTCGGTCAACTCCATGATGTACTCGGACTTCGTGTCGATCATGTGCTGCAGGATGCGGGTGTCCACAACGGCACCCAAGTTGTCGGCGTTGGAAAGGAAAATGTACTCAACGCCACGCTCCAAGAGCTTGTCGAGGGTACCAGAGTTGTACAGAGACTCGAATACGTCACCATGTCCAGGGGGGTACCAGTCCTGCAGAGGAGCGTCAAAGGACTTGGGCGCGGGGAGAAGCGAGTCCTTGATGATTCTGGGGTAGCGAGACTGGTTGAAGGTGATGATGTCGACGTTGTGGCCCTGGTACTTCTTGATGATGGATTGTGTGTCCTGGTCAGTGTTGAAGGAGTTCATCAGAACGAAGGGGACGTTGACGTTGTAAGTGCGGTTGAGGTGCTCGATCTGGCGGACGGACAGATCCAGGAAGGACATGCCCTCACGGACCTCGATGACGGACTTGGGGCCGACGCAACCCATGGAGGTACCGAGACCACCGTTGAGCTTGACAACAGCCAACTTGTTGAGGAACTCAACAGAAGACTCCTTGCCAATGTCATCGTAGTTGACGACCTGCGAGGGCTGAGGAGGGGCAATGCGGTCCCAGTTGACGGCGTTACCCTTGGCCTTGTCGTTGAGGAATCTGCGGAAGAGAGCGAAGAAGTTGTCCATCTCGGCCTCGAATCGCTTGCGCTCGTTGTCATCGGGGACGGTCTCGGCGAGGGCGTTCAGAGCGTTACGCATCTGAGAAGCGGCAACACTGGTTGAGGCATTTTCGAATGCCTAAAACGTTAGCTCAAGAAGCGAGAAAGTACAAGACAGCTACACGTTCAACAGCAGAATTGAAGAACAGCAAATAGACACAGCGAATCAAAAAATCAGACCTGTGTACCGAGCGGAGCCCACCGAAGTACAGCATGCGACATTGCGTGCTGGAAACGGATACCGTAGCCAGAACGTGGTACTGTGAGCCCTTTAAGAGAATTCATGGAGTGCCAACATAGCGAGCAGAGACGACCAAGAACTCCAAAAAAGCGGGCATCACAAGGAACATCAGTTGCGGCAATCGCAACCAGTGCTGGTTCGTGGCGTACCAAGCCGCTGCCTGCTGAAACTTGGTGGACTGAACCTGAAGCGGGAAGGGCAGAGCAGACGTCATAGCGGGCGGCGCTTTCCAAGCGCCAAACACGCCAGAGAAAGAAGGAAGCCACGAAAGTGGAAACTGAACAAAACTTACCATGTGAGACTGAGTCTTGCCATGGTGCTTGCCAAAGCCGCCGGTGGAAAGGTGAGTAGGCAGATCTTTCGTAGCCATTGTGTCTGTGGTGTACTGTTTTGATGTTGGTATGCGGAGGAGTGTGCTCGAGAATGAAGCAAGGATTTAGGCTACTGTTGGAGAGAAGCAGTTAGTATCGAAGCGCCAATTCAAGCGACGGAGACGAGGAATATATAAGAGACTGCAGCCGGGTAATTGTGTCAATTGAACCGGGCAGAAACAGGCAGGCTCCTTGATCCACGTTGCCACAGCAGACATGGTGTGTCGCTGGCGTCGATCGCTGGCGAAGGAGGGATGACGGCAACAGTGCGATACAAGCGCGATTGGAACGGATCAAGGCACACTTACAATCCAATGGCAAACGGACAGGGGGTTGGAGGCAAAAGCCAAGGGGATGAGGAGGAGAAGAGAAAGTTGGAGGGAAGCTTGGAAGACAAGGTGGACGTCGGTGGTTTTATTGAGAGGGCGGACTATGACGAAAACAACAATCTCCACTAGGGAGGGGGAGCTCCGTGACCGTATCTTACCAAAGTTACCCATACTGAGGGGCCCCCGTGACAGTACAGGCAGCTATGCCGACAGGAATTAGAAACATTCCAGACAGATTCAAAAAGTCTCAGGCCAGGTGACCAGCTAGCAGGTACTGTTGCTATGGCTATGAGCACGGAGAGTACACCGTTATTGAGTACCTATCCATCTAGAGTGGTTGTGGCTGAAAGATACAAGGTGCTGTAGCGTTTAGACTCAACATGCTCACTCCTGCTGCATGTCTCGCCCAAAGTTGCCAACAAACTGATATCAATTATCATCTGACAGACTAAGTGACACCTGCCTGAAACCTCCTTTCTTCAGTCAATTCCAGACCGGCACCGATCTAGGCCAGCCTGCGTGCGCCCCTTTCCATCGGCTCCCCTCAGGGTAACAGGGTTCAATAAATAAGATCTCATAAAACACGCCCCACCGCCTCGTCATCCCAACTGTCAAACTCAAGCACAGGACGATTCAGCTTTCTCGTTCGTATCAATGATAATATTAGCTTCTGATATGTGTAGTGTGCCGACAGTAGTCCAGCCACCTTGCATAGATACACATGCCCAGCTCATAATCACCCGTGGATAAAGAGAGCTAGCTCCTAGAGCCACTATCGAAGGCAACCCACTCCAACAGCCTTGTATGGAACAGATTATTGAGACTATCGCTCGCCGTGCTAATTTTAAATCCCACTTGCACCTGATCTCCCCTTTTCTTCGGGCCGGCCGAACGGGAATATTAATGGCATCCCTGAGCTCGCTTGTCGCCCTGAGCGCCAACAAGAGCCTCGAGGGGACCGCGGTTGAGACCTTGGTGGGTTGAGGCTAAATATAAACAGAACATGTCTCACCCTATCCGGTACCCGGGTCACAACACATGGTCCGAGTACAGCTACAACTGCAGGCAGAGACAAGTCGGTTTACAGGCGTGTACGCAATGGTAGCCTGGGTAGCAGTAAACTAACATTCGCTTCAAGTAAGGTATCTAACAGTCATAATCCGATATCCAACAGCATCCGCCCAATATCGTCACCAAACGCTACATAATGTGGAGTCCACAACGTTTGATGCCGACCAAAATCAAAAGGAAAAGCAATAAAAAGCATGCAGCATCATCATAATTAGTACTCTCACGCTCCACTGACATGGCGTTTGCTAAGGAAGCTACGTCGAGGCTTCTTCGAGTCGGGGCTGTCTGCCCCCTCCGAAGCATTATCGCCTGCGTGCGAATATGCTGTCCCGGGCCGTAGATTGTCTGAGGAGGCCGAAAAGCTGCTCCGGACAGTAACCACACCATTGCCAACATTCACCGTCTTCTCCTGTCCAGAAACTGATCCCTGGTCGCCAACAAAGAAAGGTGCTTCACCCAGAACGTCATCAGAGCCAAACGTTGAATGGTCAACTACCCTGATCTGGTACTGCGCATCCGCTGTCGTGTTGTGCACCCGACAGCTTTCGCTCGAAGCATCAAACAGGACAGGGCCACCTCCGCTCTTGATAGCCTTGGTCTTGAGAACTTCCTTGGCACCTTTCGCACCCAGCGCGCGTACTAGCACGCGGACATTGGCCGAGGGAGGATACCCGCTCGCGGACACAACTGATATCCTAGCAGTTCCACTTTCGCCCTTGCCACCAATACTGAGCTTATCGCCGTAATGCGATGCACCACTTCGAGTGCGCGAATGGTGAAGATCGTTCTTCGGCGGCAAGCTCGAAGGCGAGTCTCCTTCCACCAAGATGGCCGATGGTACCTCCTTCTGCTGCTCTTGTTCTTCGTCGCTAGAGGAATCATCTCCTCGAATCTTTGACATGATCCCACGCCCCAAGAATGAGGCGCCCTTGATCACGTTGCCACCAACAAACCCAACTCCTTTGACCGGAGCACCGACAATTTTCCCGGGTGTAGCAAATGTACCGGAGAAAGTAGACGATCCTTGGCGAGAGCGCATGACATAAGTAGGCTTGAACAACAGTTTCAATCTGATAGCCCCGGACTTTCCGTCAAGAGTTAGAGAAACCTCTTGTGCCTGGAAAGGGTCCAGCATCTCCAGATTGATCGGGACACCACCGAGATAGTCGGCTTTGTCGCCAAAGTCCCAATCATAGACATCGCAGCGGAAATTGGCACCAATACGTGACTTGATTGGTGCCTCGAAAAATTCGTTCCAAGCAGGGTGGAGGGTTTTCTTTTGTACTTTGGTCTTGAAGACCTCCTTGCCATCCAGGCGGAATTTGCAGTACGGATCACTGTATCCGTTTCGGTCTGCAGATGGAAGATCGGCAGCATCCAAGACGTCCACGCGGAGGGTTCCCATGTTGTTGATACTTTCTGCGGGGTCGAGTTTCATAGTGACAGGAATATACCGCGCACTGACGGTGACCTTGCTCACCTCTCCCTCGCTGGATCGGAGGGAAAGCTCAGTTGGTGTATACAAGATGCGCTGAAGCGTAGGGAAAGTGTCGCCTGTCAATTTGGCCACAATATCCTCATCATCATCATTCTTCGCGTTGAGCTTCTCGACAATTCGCAGAGTGATCTTTGAGAATTCAAGTTCACGCACAAACGCATCGCCAACTGGCTAAATGTCAGTTTGCTTCATTATTTAAAAGGTCAGGGATGACTTACTGTCCTCAATTTTAGCGGTCTTGGTGCGAATCTTGGGAGATGACCACACTGGAAACATATAGTCGTCCATCAGGATCTCCACGTGTACATTGCTGCGTGAAAGATGGACCTCGTGGAGCTTGAACACGATGAAGCCGGATTCTACAGAATTAGCCTTTGTAAACAGGATAAACAACGATTAACGAGCTTGCAAGGCTTACCATGGTTGCCCAAGTCCTCCACCGAGATGTATGTTTTAGGAACCTCCTTGATAGACCTCACCGACATCGTTTCTGAGTTACTACCAGTACCTGGACGGGAGTCGAGGCTCGAACGCCCGTTTGTCTGTACGTCCGCGGTGCCGTTTGTAGCCCCATTTTGAGAGATCTTTGAGTCTACACTCCTGGACTTGGAATGGTAGCTCTTGCGCTTAGAGTCAGTGCTCTTTCTCATCAAGCCGGCTTCGTCGTCCTCGGCCTCAGCTTCCTCCTCCTCCTCTTCCTCTTCGTCTTCCGGGTTGACGACAGGAATCGTCGGGTAGAAAGCCACTGTGTAGTTCAAAGTCCCTTTGGCGCGTTGGCCAAGGCGAAGTGAACTGGATACGAGCTGTTTCTCATCATCAATATCGTATTCACCAGCTTCGTTCTCATGAACGTAGTCTCCTGCAGAGATCTCCACCGAGCCAAGAGACCTATCACTTCCCACAGATTCCTCATCCATGACTTCCAAGGTGAGTTTCTCACGAACACTGTGAATGGGAACATATACGACTTCGTCCCAGTCCGGGTTCAGGTTATTTCTGAAAGTCACCGTCCGTCCTTTCATGTATCCAGCAATCAACACACGAGCGTAAGGATCGGACTTGCCCATCTTCTCCAGATTGCGAAGGTCTGCTGCGTCCTTGAAATGGATTCTCATGACACCAATTGGATCGACGTAGCCCGCGCTTCCTGAGATACCTCCCACGGCAACGGGTTTCCAGTCCAAGAGCAGTTTGGCACGCCCAGACTTTGCACCATGGAGGTGGAACCATTGGTGACCCTTCTCCATCATCTTAAACATATCATTCATCTTGATTTGATAAGATCCTAGGATGGGATCCTTGGAAAGATCCCTGTCATCCTTGATCACTAGTCCAAGCCGAGCAGTCTTCCTGTCAGTGACTAAGAATTCCTTCGAGGCATTCTGGAAGATGGGGTTGTTCGTTCGCTTGAGTTTGTTTGTTATGTGAATTTCTTTGCCATTCAGCAGCAGAACGCCGTAGGGGTTAAGTTGTCCCACTATGCTTCGAGATCCGTCCAGATCCTTGGCTTGCTCAACCGTGAATCGAGCGATACCTGTGTTCAGCTCCGGTGGGGGCTCGATCTCACCGTTTTCCAGTTTTCTACCCTCAAGCACGGGGAAGAATCGAACGTCTGCATGGATAGAACCCCGAGACCGACCGCTTGCCAAGACTTCGAGGTACACACTTTCATGCTCAGGTTCTTGTTCAAGCTTGTCTAGGGCGAAAGTGGCGGTTCCCAACTCCTTGTCCTTTCGGAATTCGTTCCAATCATACGGCTGAATGGTCAAAGTGTCAGAAAAGGATGTGATAATGACATAGATAGTCTCGTTCCATCTCGGGCTATCGGTATCTAGTATCGTCTTGGTCCGACCAACTTCAGTCCGGTTGTTCAGGGAGACAACTGCATACGGATCAGGAGTACCGGCAAACTTGTCGGGGTTCTTTAGCTGACGGGCGCCATGCAGAGTAACAGCCACAACACCAATTGCCTGGTCAACAGGATTTCCGGCAAGCATCTTGGCAATCTCGATTGGGAAAACGTTAGGTTCGTACATCATCGGACCTAAGTTGGCGTGGATCTGTTCCTTGATGAAGCTCTCAAGACCGGGGATGAAGTTAATGTCGAAGCCGAGCGTGTCACCACCAAGAGGTTTGCAAACGTAGTCAAGCTCCGGCCGGCCCAAGAAACACACATCAACACGTTCGATATGTGGGAAAGGGATCTGGAGCTTCACCTTCACCCTCATCAGGCCGCTACAAGCCATGTCCTCGACAATCACGTCAAGACCCTTGCTGACAACACCTTTCCCTAGACGCACTTCCAAGACAACTTTGGGGTTGATCTTATCTTTCACCTGGCGTGCAGTTAAATCCATAGTATCATTAGGAGTGAAACTGAATTTCCAGTCCATGATGACGGTATCAACCTCAGTCTTAGGATAGGTCTTGACATGTTCCAATCGCGGGGGTTTGCTGCCTAGAACGAACGTCTTCAATCGTAGGCTGTCCAGGAAGGCCGGGGTGGAGGTGCTCAGAACCTGGTCAACGGAATTGATGATAGTGTCGCACATCACTGGAGCATAGATGGGCCAAAATTTAACCAGGAAACTGTTGATCCACTCCAAGCTCTCGGTATCGGTTTCCAAGCGCTGCTTCGCCATCTCGCGGTTGACGTCATCACGGAAATTTCGTCGAACTCGCCGAATCGAAGTTCGATAATACGTGCCGCAGGCGGCCATTATAATCATGACCCAGGCCAACCCGCCGCCTAGAACGGCGACAATCCAAGAAGATAAGCAGGCGAAAACGATAACGCCCGCATTATGATACCAATCTAGCGGATGGTCAGTCTAGACTGAAGCTGGAGTATGGGGAAGCCACATACCACCAAAGAACTTCTCGTCCAGTTTGCTCTCCAACAACGTCTGATGGTCCAACAGCGTCGCTTCATCGTGCTCTTCCTGAGTTTTCTCATGAACAAACCGCGGAGCCCAGCCTGTTCGGTCCCGTGCCCAACGTTTCTCGTCGTCACCCTCGTCCTCCTTTTTCTCCTCTGCTGTCTCCTGGGCTTTTTCGTCGGCGAGCAATGTACTCGCAGATCTCGGGGGAGGAAGGTCATACGGAACCGGGGTACCATCATCCTAGGGAAAAATTCGGTTAGCAAAGGCCGAGTCCGCGTCTCAACCTTTGGAGCTCACCTTGTCGGTAATCACGCCGGCTGCCTTTGGTTCTCGGTCATGGTGAAAACCTGGGGGAACGCGCTAAATAGAAGAAGAGGCTGAGAGTCAGTGAACTATTTACTCAAACGAACACATTTGCCGAGCGCAAACGTACAGCTTCCGCGACGGCAGCCTTCTCTTCGGGCGATGCGTCTGGATCGAATTGGTAGGCCGGGAGACCCGCTTTCCGCGTCTCATCAACCAGCTTTTTCTCGACAGTCTCCGGTCGAATGTGCGATTGGGGGTCTTGAGAGGCAGCCTGGACGGTCTCTATGGCTCCTTGTTGCTTCAATTCCGTGGTTTCCGCATTCTGGGACGCCATGGCTGTCGCTGAGGCTCCGGCGCGGAGTCGCCGACTGTAGTACAACTCAACTGTACGATACGAAACAAACGCAATCAGCCACTCGTATTATCTCGGCCTTGAAAGATCAAAGCAGTGAAAGCTGCGCAGCTAGAACTCAGAGCTGGAGTAAAAGCACAGAAATCAAAGCACGAGGGGAGAACAGTGGTGGGAAGAGCCGAGAATGGATGGTTGCCTTGCCGATGAGGAGCTCGGCAGCGGGGAGGCTGGAGGGCGGCAATTCGGGCAATGCGAGTCGAAGGATTAAAGGATAAAAGAGATGCACTCACATGAGTTGGTGATAATATGTATTTACACTCAAGTATGGAGTATCCAGAGGCGACTTTGGCGACTGACGGATGAGTTAGGACTTAGGAGACAGAGCTGAGAAGAAAGGCCAGGAGGCAGGAGCAAAGTGGAGAGATGAGGGGAGGGTCGGAGGTCAGGGCAGCCGAGAAGGATTAAAAGAGGAGCCACTGACGAAGCTCATAAATTGAGGATTAATCTTAGAATCCAGGCAGTAAGATAAAGCGCCAAGCTGGTCGTGACGTCGTAGAAATTGTAAGGCGTTTTGAAAAAGGAATGCCGATCATGACACCGATCCTGGAGCGAACAGTAAACCACGACTCTTCGCACTGGAGAGTGTTCGCTGCAGGAATAGACCATGGTCAATTGAATCAATTCAGCGATTCACAGTTTGTGCGAAGTAGGCTGCAGCCCTGTCAGTGATAATCATATTCCATTTCCTTCTCCGGACGGCGTAAAGAATTACGTCTGAAGCCCGATGGATCGACGGAATTAGTGGACGTGGACACGGATCTATTGAATGCACCGCCACGCCTCCATGCGCCACAAGCACTTCTCTTCCAGAAAGAAGACAGGATAGGTGTGCCTGCTCTGTGCTCACTACGGAGTAAGTTCTAACTGATATGGTTACTGCTCCGAGCTAGACTAGGCATGTGCCTGTCAAAATTCTCCATTCTTTATCAACGAAGCCCCTGTCACTTGGGCTGTGGAGCACTGGAGTTGTCTCCTGCCAAGCATCTCTGATTCTGTGGGGATTCCAGAGTCACGCCGGCCCTGGTTCCAGCTGAGATCGGACTCGCAAACAGCTGTGGCTAAGGTCTCTCCAGCATTCAGCGATACACCAATGCCAGCCGCCGATTATTGCACCAGCGCATCGGATCGAGTCTCGTCCTGTGCGTCCAATTTAGACTCTTGAAACCTGCTTGTAAATGATGGCCTAAATTACGGAGGACACGGATTCCGGAGTATATCTCTTTTACTCTTACATCTCTTTTTCTTACACGTGTCATACAGAAGATGGGTCGATCTTGGGGTGCAGTTGACGATTCTCGCCACACAAAACTCAATTTGATCGAGATCCCGCGAGGATCCAGCTCTCCCACCATGACATCCCTACCAGCCTCCAGTCCTCAGACGGGTCTTAGGCTCTTAGCTCAGTTCACCATCTCATCCCTCAATTTGCGCACGCTTTTTACAGGATAGCGGATTCCGGAGGCCGGAAAGAACAACTTGCAGCACCATTGCTTTTCCTGGTCGCTGCGGCCTCCTACTCGTTAGTAGTGCTCAGCTGCTGTCGATTTCGAATCGCACGGTCGTTCTTCAAAGGTATCAAAACAGATTAGCTCGTGCATCTTGAGCTGTCGTCAACAGTTCATTTCACAAAGGCATGGTTGCAAACACATCCGCAGACAGGACGTCCCACGATCTCGTCTCACTGCAGTACAGCCAGCGAAGAGAATGTCGCCCACCGCAGTGGGATGAATGCGTTGATCCATTGAGCCACCACAATTCGACAGAAGCCCTTAGCCCGCAGCGCTGCATATACTGTCCTACCCAGCAGGCCAACCCCTCTCGTCTCTGGCCTGGTCCCCCGCCCTTCCCCATTTGGTCCTCGAGCTTCGGTTGAATGCCTTTGTCAGACGGAAATACTGTTGTCATATTGCTGCAATGGCTGGCTGCTGAACCGGCGCCACCATAGATAAGCAATCTACGCAACCATAGATCGAGCCTCTTGGGTGTAAAGCTACCGACACTACTGTACCTCTGTTCTCTACTTCGTGCTCGTGCCCGCAGTGTCAGACCCCCAGTGCTATCCTCACATAACGGAGTCCCGTTTTGCGTATATCAGACACTGGTCTCGTTGATGGCGTTATCGGAAGTACTTAACGGAACTCAACCAGACTTCCGATGTGTATCTCGTAATCCTATATCCGGTACTCAAGTTCTGGGATCTTCCGCTCGTTATATCTTCCGAAGGCTGAAAATAAGCACATATCGGAATCGACAGTATAAACCGAAGCGAAACAATTGGAATTATCTGCCACTCTCGGGAAACGAGGGTCGATTCAAGTCTAGTGGTCAAGAAAAGCATCCAACACTGGATAAGAGCAACCGTCTTCCTTGATGGAATACATTTCCTACCACCCCAGGGCAGGATTTTCCCAAGCCATATCGATGGACAAGATTTTAAACATAGTCGGCTCCAGAAATATTTGCCACGTTCGCGATTCTCTTCCGTGCTACGCCAATGAAGCATCATGTCCAACTCCCAGCAGGAGCCGCATGGATCCGAGGTGATTACATAGGTCGCGAGTTAATCATGCCAAAATCCTGAAGACCAACGGCCTCCCCGGAGAGTTTGGACTTGGAACCCCAGATGTCAAGGGCCGAAGAAGGCCTCGACCCCGTCCGTACCACCATCACGTGTAAATCCCGAGGGGGATGTCCAGGCGGAACCCTGACCCTCTACATATTCTTTTGCTAAGACCCACGGTCTCTTCGGACTTGTTGACAAGGAGACCGCTGTCAAAGCCGCCCATTGGCAGACATGCCTGGTTTACGTCGGTGCAGTTGCCGGGTGTTGGTCCACACATCCATACTAACGGCCTTATACGTCATGAGAGCGATTGCGAATCGACATCGCTTCTAAGATATAAAGAAGAAGGATGGGTACGAGAACATGAAGCGGAAAATGCTGGCCCGGCCTGGCATCATGGTTACTTGAGTCAGATTCGCCACCTTTGAACGAATATGACTGAGTCTCCAACGCAGCATCGTCATCTTGCACCTGGTCCTTCGCCACAATGTGAGATATCACCGGATGAATCTCCGACAGAGGAGCGCCGAGGCTCCACCGATTCCAGCAAGAAGCAGCAGAGGGCTTCTATGGCATGCATAGCTTGTAAGAAGTCCAAGCGAAAGGCAAGTATCTCGCCCAGGGCTCCGAAACCACCTAACACACCTAGTGCACTGGCAGGCAGCCTTGCGACACCTGTCGCACCTTGAACCGGGAATGCATATTCGATGAGACGCTGGACCAGCGCCGTCGGGTGGCGGCTAAGCGCACGGCTGAAGAACTGGATTATTATCGCGGCTTGTTCAACGATCTTCTCAGGGTACTGCGGGCAGAAGACCGGGCCTCTGCCACTGAACTTTTCGAAATGATCCGACGAGACGCCACCAACGAAGAGCTACGCCATCATATCGGGAACTATCTCAAGATGACTGAGGGAGACAAGGACGAGATGGAAGGAGTGGTCGGTAACCTCGAGGATATACAGCACATGATCAATGAGGATACCATGCAGTCATGGCGGCCTCAGGTCATGGACATCCAATACCTGTGTGTTGACGCGCCGTACCGAGTACCTGCGAGACCATGGACGAATGTCACGACCGATTCGGAACTCGTCTCCCATCTGGTCTCGTTGTACTTCACATGGGACTATCCGTTTCATACTTTCTTGGACCGCGACGTGTTTCTAAAGCACATGATGAGGGCGGACATGAACTCGGAGTTCTGCAGCCCCTTTTTGGTGAATGCGCTGCTCGCGAATGCATGTGTAAGCCGCACTTTGCGTTAGGCGGACGGATGTTAACACGGTTAGCATTTTTCAGACTATTTGGAGGCCTATGCCAGTCCCGGGGATATCGTGACCAAGGGTGGGGATTTTCTGAACGAGGCCGAACGGCTGAGACTAATGGAGTCTGATAAATTGTCGCTGACTTACCTGCAAGGAATACTTCTGTTGCATGAGAGGTTGTCATCTGCTGCCTCTTCATCCGTGCTGTCCTGACTTTCGGCTAGGTATTCTCTCTGTGGGAAGAACGACTGCGGTTATAAAATGCTGCACTTGGCTACCTGGACTGGGGAAGCTCTCGGTCTCGTCGGTGAAAGGAAGCCGATTCTGTCGAGCAGGGATTTCCCAGAGGATATGGACGCGTCTCTCAGACGCACTGCCTGGGGCTTGTTTCAGATTGATACGTGTGTCTACCACCTGCTCTTTTCTGTACAGTACTAATGTGTAGGGTCGTCCACACCGGCTTCTTACGTGCGAGTCTAATAACCCAGGTTAACCTCGATCGACCTGACAGACATGATCACAAGACTTGTTGGTTACCCTATCCCATCAACGGAGGCGCGAAGGAATCATTCCTTAGTGAGTACTTCGACATATCTTGCAATCTAAGTGAGATTGCGCGGGACATGTCCCAGAGTCTTTTTGCGAGCGACAGAAGAGAGCTAGCTGCATTGGAACAGATCAAGATTAAAGAGGTCTTGTTTCGAAGGCTGCGTGACTGGACGGAGGGACTACCTGCCCACTTCAAGAGAGACGACGATGTGGCGCCGTACGTCCTCGTGATGAAAATGCGATACCACACTCTCGTCATCATCCTTCTACTCTTCCGCGCCGAAGACGAAATCCTGGGCCCCGCCGTGGAGGGCCTCAAAACCCCAGAAAGCCTGACGAGTCCCAGCCCACTGCTCGACTGCAACAAGCGCGACACAACCGAGTCGGCTGCCAGGGCCATTGCGACCCTAGTTCATATCCAGCGCGGAAATTTCGGCTTTGCTCACGCCCACCATTTCTCCATCTACGCCATTAACCTGGCCCTCTTCGTGCTGGTCGAGAGACAGAGCAGATTCGACATTCTAGACGACGTTTTCCTCTTCCTTGCAACGGCGTTCGCGAACATAGCCAGCCGGTCCCAGCTAGGGCGGAATCTATTTCATCTCTTCAGGCTGAATGTCCGCGCCAAGTGCCAGGGTAGTCGAATCCGCTACTCCCCTGTGGTAAATGTCGAGATGAAAACGCTTTTTGACGAGGAATGCACAGCACGATCGACTTGCGACGAGTATGCGAATGGTCTGGAGAAGTTAGACACGGACGAGCGATATCGTGTGCTCGGGCAGCACCGTCTGTCTGACATGCTTGATCGCTATGAGACTCTGAGTTCCGGTAAGGATGACATAGTGCGAGGGAGGTGTTACGATTTGTCCTAAATAGACTTGGTGCAGGGCGATTGCGTCGAAAAATGTGATCTCTCAGGCGTGCGGTTCTTTGCGTCCCCGGTTGCAGGGCGACGATCTCTACTCCGTAGGATTTGCCACGATCTGCTGCAACCTTCGCGATCCAGCTCCGAGTAACAAATAACAATTTTCCAAAACGAGGTTGGTTGCATGAGTCGTCATGGGATACCTAGTCGCCAGACGCAGGGGTAGAGTCTCTCGCGGCACAGGGTACCATTTCTAGATGGCACTTTGTAGGCTTTTGGCCCAGCTCCTGCGAGGTTTCTCCGACAAGGCAGGGTTCTTTTTAATTCCTTTACCGGTCATTCCAGGCGAGGTTCCTGGTTCAAGGTAGGATCAAGTGAGGTTTTCCTACGCCTCTGACGTCCGCCTGTCCTTATAGTTGGCTGTGTAAGCCTATGGTCTCTAACGCGGATACAAAAATAGGTGCGCCGGGATAAAGATCCAAACTTATGCAGACTTTCTCTTTCAATTCGACCCTGTCAGAATAGAGCAGCTCGAGGGACCCATCGTCACCGCGACGATTGATTTTCATGTGGGTGGTTCATGACATCATCCGAACTGTATGTAGCCCGCCCCAAATCTTCCCTGTCTGCTCTCTGTCCCAAATCTCGATCTGGCTGACTTCATCTACGGAAACGACCCAGACTACAACCTCAAGGCTTTCGCTGCCGCTATCATAATCCCCATGGGCGACAGTAATGGACGATTCCTACCGCTCCGACCGTTCTTCCTTTAGCTCTGCGGTCAACCAGAATGCCAGCAACAACAGTCCGAACTCCGAATGGATGTGGAGGGCCGGAGTGAACGCTGCAACTGCACCCCCGAATCAAGCCCTCCCTGGCTACCAGCCCTACCTGTACGGGCAATATCCCGACCTCAATGCTTCGCTTCCTCCACCGCAGCCGGACGGCATGCCCGCGCCGAAAATCGCCATTCCACGAGCCACCGCAGTGAGGACGACCTCCCGGCGACGTCGGTCAGCACGAGCTTGCGAGCCATGTAGGCAGCGGAAGGTGAAATGCGACGCCGGGCGGCCGGCGTGTCGGAAGTGCCGTGAGAACGGACTGGACTGTGCGTACATCGATATCAAGCGAATTCGGGACCAGAAGCAGCTGGGGGTATTGTCAAAGAAGGTTGAGCGATACGAGAAACTTTTGAAACAATTGGAGGCGGAACTGGACCCGCATTTTGCAAAGCGGATCAGGAAGGCTTTATCGGTGCGTACCTCGAATGTCTCCTCGGCATAGCTAACAGTTTAGGTTGTCGAACAGCCGCCGTCCGATGATGGGGAAGAAGCCGATGATAGCGACGCCGACTCGAACACATCGCAAGGATCACTGGATGAGATCGACCTGGTCAAGGAGGACCTGAATCGCAGCGACAAGACGGTGGCAGTTGGGTTTTTTGGGAAGAACTCCGAGGTCGCGTGGATGCAGAAGCTCGAGGACGTATCGGGCCACGGAGCGCACCCCGAGCCGGACGGGGATAATGCTACTAGCAGAGATATCCCGATCAATTCGATGAGTTACCATTTGGACGACCTTGCCATTCCGTTTACCGACTCGGTTGATCAGTACGCCGTCCCAGAGAAAGAGCTAGCGGACCTGTATTTCAACGCATACATGGAGTCGGTGCATCCGTCGTTTACGGTGGTCCGGAAGCACACGTTTACTTCGCAGTACGAACAGTTCTACAAGAAGAGGCAGTTCCCACCGCGCAAGTGGCTGGCTGTTCTGAACATGATCTTCGCGCTGGGCTGTCGGTACTGTAAGCTGACGGGCCAGGTCATGGCGGGCGAGAGGGATACGGATGACATGGTGTTTTTGAACCGGGCAAGAAAGTTGTGTCTGAGTGGGAATGTGCTGTTTCAGCATGACGATCTCCAGCAGATCCAGGTGATGTTGCTGGTTTCGGTTTATCTTATTGCGTTGGGCCAGGTCAACGGGTATGTCATCATCAGCTACCATAGCTTTGTATATACTGACCGCATAGTGCATCGAAATTCTCAAGCATGGCCCTCCGCTCCGCCATCTCCCTGGGCATCAACCTCCGGTTTAAAGACGAGAAGACCCCGGCGTCGTCAAAAGAAGCTCGCACCCGCCTATGGTGGTCCATTTTCCTCCTCGAACACTTCGTAACTTCTATTACCGGCCGTATTTCCGGGTGCAGCGAAGGACTCAGCGCCGCCCTCCTCCCAGTCCCATTCAATGAAGAAGACGCAGACCATAAGCCAGGTCTTAGCGAAATATTCCGCGATAGCAACCAGCGATGCATCCGGCTACAGCTGACGCTCTTCCAAAACCAGGACCAAGCCGAGTCTGCCTCAGCCTGGCTATCAAAGTGCGAGCCATCCCCTGCGCTGTTATTCCACATGATCATCGACCTCAACATCATCGCGCAAGCCGTCATCAACAGCGTCTACAGCATCCGAGGGCTTCGACAGTCTCCAAGCCAGCTCGAACAGCGCCTGGATAAACATTCCCGAAGCATGGACATCTGGCTCCACAAAGTCCCGATTCCTTATCGCTTCAGCGTCTCCGTGGACGACGATACCTTCAAGCTCCCCAAAGGAGCTACCGGAAACGAAACAGATTACACCCGCGAGCGCATAATCCTAGCCATCTACTACTACTCCGCCCGTATCACCCTGTGTCGCCCCTGCCTCTCCCACAGCCCAAGCTCCCTGCAGAGAGCCGCGGAGCCGCATTCCCGCGGCGGTTTCCGCGCCCTCATGACGCTCAAGTGCCTCCGCGCTTCAACATCCCTCCTCTCCATTCTCCCCGAAATACCCGACACCGCCTGGCTCACCACCGTAACACCCTGGTGGGCAATCCTGCATTTCCTAATGCAGGCCACAACGGCCCTCCTAATCGGCCTCTCGACGCGTCCAGTCGAAGACGCAGTGACAGCAGACACGGGCGCAAACTCCAACATTCCCGAACTCGACCTGGATGCCATGGTCGGCGAGACGAATAAGGCTCTGCGCTGGCTGCACCATCTTGGCTTCAGCTCTGTGGCTGCAGCACGGGCGTTCAAGCTCTGCGAGAGCTTTGTGCGGCGCATTGGACCGAGGCTGGGACTTGACTTGGAGAATTTACCGTCTAGCGAGGATTTTGTGAGTGGAGGTGGAGATGTCGGTATGCTTGGGACCGAGGATCTGGGTGACGATGATCTGCTAGTTGGGTTGGCGATGGTTGATGACGGCTGATTGATTAATTCGATCACACTTCCCTTTTACGCACTGCATGAGTTTACCTTCTAATTTGGCTGTCCCTTTTTAATTGGTGGGTTGGTGAAAACAGAGGAGAGAGAGCGATTGGGTTTATTAGGTATGATAGGTACGGGATTCGTAGATTTTGATGCACCGCTGCACTGCATCTATATATCTTTATTTTGGGTGGAGATTTCTCGGGATGATGTGACTGTGATATATAGGAATGAACTTGATGGTAATCAGATCTTATCATACGTACGATTATAGCAAAAAGGAGCAGGGACACTCCAAGTGAGATTCGAACTCAAACAGTCGAGGATCTGGTGAACGCCAATGATGCATGCAAGCAAAAACACGGTGACGGTAGCCCAATGGGAACAGGATCGTCATGTTCTTACCCTTGGACTACCGCCGACTTTGTGTATCAACTTTAGCAGTTTTTGAGATGATCAAGTATTGTTTTAGATGAGTTATGGTCACCGACCCAACGGAACCGCGTCGTCTTCATGCAAGTATGACTATGGCCAGATCTCGGAGCAAAACCAAGATCCGATTTCCGACTAGGCCCAGAAAGCCATGCCTCATGGGGCAGCTTGGCAGGTCATCGCCTTGCTTGTGGAAGACGATTGCGTGATCATCTCGATCTCTAGGCAACATCTTTCGATAGGCAATAAATTGACCGGTTCGGGGATCTAGACTGCGGACGTCAAAATATGCTTTCGTGGTGACCTTCAAGGTTCTAGGGTCCGGGTCCAGACTTCCGGGGGGTGGATGTGGGGTATGGGGTAGGGTAGGTTGAACAGGTTCATGGTTAGTTTCAACCTTGCTGGAACCCAATCCGACTGACTTCATCTCCATCTCGGTCACTGTGTATCCGGCCGGACGGCAGTTGTCGGCCTGCTTAAAGAGTGGTAGGTAAGTGAAAGGTTGACCTCAGCGCTGTTATAGCCAGCGCGAGTACCTGCATGCACGCTAGCGGAGCGAAGTGTATTGGATGCTGATAGGATCTGACCGGAAAGCAACAATCCGACAGCTGGGTTAGGTAGGTAATCAGTAAGATCTTGATCTTCACACTGATCAGTTCACCAGCACCGAGCAAGGGACCCAGGCCTACCATAACTCCGGTCTGGCAGTGCCAGCCGACAGGTTCTGTGTACGGCTGGTTGGGATATCACGCCGAATTGATTGCTGCCTGTTCCTTTCCTCAACTTTGCCATGTACTTATGCGTATTTCCAACACCGAAACGTCCAGTGCCGCGTTGGTTGATTGTATTCGGCCGAGAGGCTCTATCGTGCTCGCACGGACGAAGAATGAGGCTATACAATATTGAAGGCAATGCCGAGCCATTGAGCGCCTCTGCGTTTATTAGTTCACGGCTCAGAGTGGCATGTCGGGGACATGTCCGGAAAGATATTTGAGATACGAATCGCGGTCTCTCAATTAGCGTAGGATAATCAAACCGACGCCATGGAAGTGGCAACTCGAGATAACAGGACAAATTGAGGCGTTGCGCGTGTACTCCGAGGAGCATTAAGAGCAAGGGCAATCAGCGGCAGTTCAGTGCCGGTGAAACTACAGCCTCAGGATCTGATATCCGATGTCCTGAGGGCGAAAGCAAGGAAGGCAGTTGATCTCCTCCGTATCCAGCACGTGACCGAGCTTCCGACCGCTCCAGCGGTGAGGCGTACTGCCGGCAGTTTTATCTTTTTTGATCGCAGGACGATTTGCCTCCGAGGTTCTTCATCCCATTCCTTCATTAGATTGTTGCTGATCCTATGATGGATGCTGAATCATGCCGCTGATTTTGTCCAGAGCCCGGGTTTCCGGCAGGACAACTGGTCCGGGCTTTGTCAGGCTCGGCCGTTGCACCTCCGCCGCCGCCCGTTCACGTCCAGCAGCGCTGAGCAGGGTGGCCGCGAGCCCAGTGGTAAACCGGCGGTACAACAGCAACAAGGCTGAGGTTTGTGATTCCCCGGCTATCATTGCACGTCGCCCTAACCTGAAAAGGATGATTCACAGGAGACATTCTACGACGTCTCGTTGGGACAGGCGCAGTCTATTGAGGATATCCGACTCCAGGCCGAATTCGAAAAGAACAAAGATATTCGAGAGTATTTGCGAAAATGGCGGGCGCTCAGACCGGACACTTTGGACCCAGTCCGCGATATCGGCATCTCGGATCCTTCAGAACCGTGGGTTGGGAACATGGTCAACTTTAGTTCCGGCGAGGACACGCTTGACGATAAGCTGCGAATGGCGGACGAGGACATGTCCGACTTTGTCGACTTTGGCGATGAGGGAGAGGGAGCATACGACTATTTGCAGCCTGGCGACTTGGTGGTTTTCAGACTGTAGGTGTTTCTACCAGAGTTGCTGAAAAATGCTAACCCTAGCAGCAACCAAATCATGAGACACGCCATCTATGTCCGAACGATCAACAAACAACACCAATTCTACACACACCGAGGGAAATGGCAGATCGCGGAGCCGAAAGATGTTGACTTCGTGGTGAGGGGATTCACAAGCCCCAAGTCGGTCTCCCGCCTCCACCCATATTTTCCAGATACTACGGCCGTGCTTTGTGGCGACATGCAATCTACGATAGAGGGCGGAGTACCGCGCGAGGCGGGTGCACACCTTCTCGACAAGATCAACGACTTTGAGGTGCAAGCCCAAGCGATTTATCGGGCCAATTCCGCTCGATTCGATAACATCTACAACATCGTCGCCCACAAGGAGAAGCAGTTACAGATGACACTGGACGAGTTAGTCTGCGCCGCGCTGGAGATCGCGCCCGAGCAAATCAATGATGTGATCCGATTTGTCGTCCACCGGGCATGTCGCCAATATCCACTTTTGATAGACAGTGACCGGAGCTCTCTGTTTAACCACCAATACATGGTCTTCCCTACTCCGATTTCCGGGATGCTTGAGAAGGTTATGAATTGGTTTCATCAATACCAGGCATATCTCGTTCGGTCTGCTTCTCTAAAGACTGCGCCGCCGAAGGACCATCCGATGGTGGCATTTATTCAAAAGGCACAGGGGTTAATCCGACGGAGTCGGGCAATTCGCTCACCGACAGTGATGGCCAGCGTAGGTCCATCGTCACAACGCTTCGCTCCTGGGCAGGACGGAAACCCGCACGTGGTGCGACGGGTGCCAACCAACACCTTCACGGCAGACGACAAGCTCATTATTCAGTTTCTCCAGCTTTGGTGCATCCCGCCGAGGAGGATGAAGTCGTCGGCTCTGCAGTCGGTTGGATCGCATATCATGCGCGCTACGGGAATGTATAGCGCCTTGGATTTGAATTCTGGCTCGGCCCCTTTGTTCTTGCAGGAAATTGGGGTGTTTGCGCCATGGGAGAATACGCGCCTCCTGGATGCAGACCTGGTGCTCTCCACGCCACCACCTACCGTGAGCGAACCCAATCAAAACAAAAGTCTAACTGATGTAATGGCTACCTTGCGAAAGGACTGGGGTGAGCTGCCCGTGTATTGTGTCGACGCTGTTGACGCGGAGGAGATTGACGACGGCATCTCACTTGAGCGTATCCAAGGGTCGGAGGACACTTTTTGGATCCGCGTTCATATTGCCAACCCCTCTGCATTTTTAGATCATGACCATCCAAATGTTCAATATGCATCGTCGCGGCTGCAAACAATTTACGTCCCTGACAGGACCTATCCCATATTTCCCAAAGACCTGACACAGCAGAACTTCAGTCTCGCCCCCGGCCGACCTTGCTTGACATTCAGTGCCAAGATGAACCTCCAAGGCGAGGTTCTAGAGACAGATGTGTGCAACGGCACTGTACAAAACGTCAAATACATCACACACGACAAGCTGCGCAGTGTCTTTGGAGTCGAGGCCGATAAATCCATGGAGCCGTTGGTCGTCGGAGGAAACATGCCCGAACGGTCTCGCCCGGAGATACAAGACACAGTATCACCAGAAGACGAGAGCACATTCCACACTTTGCGCCAGCTAATGCTCGGGTTCCGCGAGTACCGTCGCCAAAACGGGGCTATGGAATGGCCTCATCAAGTAAATCTCAGTGTCTCGATGAGTGCCGGAAACGAACCGCTCCCGACTCCCTCGACGGAAGTCCACCAGCCCGGCTACTACATAGGCGACCCGATCATCCAACTCCGGCCGCAGAAACGAGACGCGCACGAAGTGTTGGATGTGTCCAAACACGACCTCGTCTCCCTCCTCATGAACCTCGCCTGCTGGGTCTCGGCCAAATGGTGCGCCGAGCGCAACATCCCCGCCGTCTACGACGGCACAAACTACCACCCCGAACTCCCCCGCCTGACAAACGAAAACATGTCCGAGTATGGCGGGCAAGGGTTCTACCAGCTCTCCGCTCCCCGCGGCGTCTCCTCCCCGCGCCCAATGAAGCACGTCCCCCTGGGCCTAGACGCCTACATCAAGTCCACCAGTCCCCTCCGCCGCTTCACCGACATGCTAGCCCACTACCAAATCGAAGCCGCGCTGCGCTTCGAACACGAAAAAGGGGATCGCTTCGACGCGTCGAACCCTTCTCACGCTAATCTCCTCCCCTTCACCCACACCGCCGTCGAAGAGTACATCTCGCAGACGCGCTGGAAGCACAACCGCATCCGCGCGATCGACCACATGTCCAAGCAGTTCTGGGCGTGCATGCTGTTCTTCCGCGCGTTCTACTTTGCTGAATGTGCGCTCCCCGAGACGTTCGAGTGTATCGTGCACCGGCCGTTCAGCGCGACGCCGCTTGCGGGGACGCAGTATGACAACGGGTTCCTGGGCGCGATCGCTAGTCTCGGTGTGCGGTGTACTATTGATGTTCCGCCGGAGCTGGGCGATGTTGATATCCTGTCTGTTGTTGAGGCGAAGATCACCGGCGTGAATTTGGCGAGGTGTCTTGTCAATTTGGAGGCGACGAAGCTGGTTAGGCCGTTTAAGCGGGTTGGGGAGTGGGCGTAGCTGGGCTATCCACGTTCTGGCTTGATCCACTGAAGCCGGGGGCAGCGGCTGGATCATTGTAATATACCTGGCTCAATGTATATTAGACCATCCACTCTAAATAGAGAAGACTTGAAGACTTGTACATGACCAAGGCTAGTGAGCCTATCTCCACTGGCATAAGTATCGACTAGGTCCGGCAACGGAAACCCAATGTCCGAGAGCTACTCTCGGAGTTCACATAAGTAGCTTTTCCGAGACCTCATTTACCTCCGAGACGATGAGTCGAGATGAATAATTCAGAGACACCCGTTAACTAAGCACTCCAACCCTCCACTCGAACCCATTTGTCATCGCATCTCAAGTATATAAACCCATTGAACTTGACTACAATCTCAACATCACCTTCACCCCCAATCAAAACCAGCATGTCTCAGACTCACAACATCCTCTTAACCGGCACCTCAGGCTACCTAGGCGGAACCCTCCTGACACACCTCCACGACCAACCCAAGTCCACCCTCCCATACAACACCCTCTACGCCCTCGTCCGCACCGAGTCCCAAGCGCTCTCCGTGCGTGAATACGGCGCGACGCCTCTGACCATCGACCTGAACAATCCCACGTCAATCACAACGAGCATCGTGGAGCACGAAATCAGCATCATCTTCTTCCTCATCGACGCCTTCCTGCCCCACACGCAGAAAACCATGATATCCGCCCTGGAAACAGTCAGGAGGAAGACAGGGAGAAACGTGCACTTCCTGCATACGACGGGCGCGAAGGCGTTTAGCTCGCATGTGGGTATCGCTCAAGAGCTGAGCGATACGGATGAGCTGTATGAGATCCAGCGGAGCACCAATGCGCCGCGGGAGTATAGCTGGTTTAGCCAGGTTTGTCTGCTCTGCTCTGCTCCTGGTTCAGGATGGTGCTAATGGGCTAATGGACAGATCGCGCGCACGAACGCGGATATCATTGATGCTGCGGAGGAACACGGTGTGCTCAGCTACATCTTCGCGCCGTGTATTGTCTACGGTGAGGGGACGGGGTACGGCAATAAGATCTCGATCCAGGATGTGGCGGTCGTGAAGGCTGCGAGGGCCGCGGGGCGGGTGTATAAAGTTGACGCGGGCAAGCCGGTACGCAGTACATTTACTAGTACCCTTAGGTACTGGAATGGAGTGTGGAGTGGAGTGCTAATGAAGCGAATAGGTCTGGCCCGTCTCGCACATCCACGACACGACGACGCTGTACGCGCAGATCCTGCGGTCTATCCTGTGTGGTGTGGAAATACCACATGGCCGGGATGGCTTCTACCTTGCTTCTTCGGGGTGTGTAGCTTGGGATGATATTTATAGTGCCTTTGCGGGGGTGCTGTATAAGCGCGGTGTTATTGATGATGCTGTTGTTGAGATGGCGGATGGGGAGGCGTTGGGGAGGATGGGCGCTGGCCTGGATTTGAGGAATGGTGGTGTCGCTGTGCAGCTTGGTGGTAGCTGTCATTTTGCAGCTGTCAATGGAAGCAGGATTGGTTGGAGGCCTGAGTATCCGCCGGAGCATATTCTGGAGGCTGCAGATCAGGAGGTCGACTTGATTTTGGGGACGCTGGATGGTTGACTATGGCAGCGTAGGAAAATGGATAGACTATCGGTGTATGTCGCTTGAGCTTTCATAGCATTACAGCCAATCAATCTTGGGAAGCAGGCAGTGCTTCACTAGGTCTAGACTAGCGGACTTTCCGGCATTGAATAGGCTTTGTCTCCTACTACCTCTTTCCCGCCCATGTCTTTCGGGCTAATGAACTACAACTCCACCGTCTAACAATGATATGTGCTCTTACAGAAGACGTACAGTCGTCGATCTATGCAGGAATACGAGCGATCTACCAGAGTACGGTGGGGAATACCTCTCATTGCATCTACGTTGCCGACGAGTCTCTCACCTGTTGAACCGAGACAATCTGACCAACCTTGTCCTCTGCCATCGTCCTCGCCGTCATCGGGTACGTCCACTTGGAAATTCTCTCTACTCTCGCGAGAATTACGCTAACAAAGATCACCGTCTCCGCTTCGCCGTCCATGTTCCGTTCTTCCATTCGACCCTACCCTATTGACGTACAACAGACTACGACGTCCCCTGCCGTTCCACGCGCATGTCTGACCAACTGCGGGCATTCCTCGACGTCTTTGTGTTGCTGGTTCCTGCCCACAGGACGAGTGCATATTATGGTGAGGACAGAATGATCTATTATCAAAGATTATATACAAAGCAAAGAAACCTACTGAACATCTAGCAGAGAATCAAGCAGCATACAGTTACTCCTCCGGATTGGCCTCAGCCTCCCCCGATGCAGAAGATTCACTCCCACCTGGATTGGCCTCGGAGTCCTCGGAATCAGGCGTCAATCTGTCGGTCCACTCCATGTCATGCAACCAGGGGGTCCGTCCAAGATACCTGCTCTGATCCCTGGCCATCATCCTCACCCACCGTCGGACGGGCTTCGCATTCTCCTTCGCAAGCCACCAGATAACCAGCTCCCTCGCCGCAAACGCATCCTCCACACAATCATGTCCCTTCTTGCTCAGCTGCACGTATCTGCCTACCAGGTCCACCATCAGATGCTTCAGCTTCCACAAATACTGCAGCCGCGCTCCAAAATCGCGGCCATATTTGTTTTCGACGGCGCGTCGAATCAACAGCTGGGGGTCGACCACGCGCGTATGGCACAGCTTCAGCTGCTCGAAGTCGTTGTGCACCGCATAGCCAACAATGATGGTTTGGTCATCGATGTGCTCGAAGAGCGCGGCCTGTGCGGCGGCCACATTGGGGAGAACCAGGTCCAGTTTACGGTAGCGATCATACGTGGCTGGCGTCAGTCCGCTATACTCCGTGGCATAGTCGGCAATCGGCTCCGGGGTGTCGACAAGTACATCGTCCAGCACCTTCCCCGTCAACATATCGACCACAACAAGCTGCGCCAGCATACTCTGTTCTCTTGCATTCTTCACAAACTCGCAGTCCAGCGCAACAACCCGCTTCTTCGGCTTGTTGGGGTCTCTAGCCCCGGCCGGGGCACGCGCAAACCCAAACCGTCCGGGCATGGGGAACTTGGCCTCGGCAAGGTCCGCCTCAGAGTGCGACTGGTCCATCAACTGATGCAAAAGCTCGTCCTGCTGGTCCTCGCGGAGGAGCGTCCAGCCGCCGTTCCGCGCCGCAAACGGGTGGCCGAGCTGCAGGCCAATACTCTGCGCCTTCATGTATGCCTTCGCCGCGTGCTCCTTGAGCTCCTTGAGCTCGTCTTTTGTTATCTCCTCCGCGGTCTCAAGGGCCTGGACATGGGCCCCCTTTAGCGCCTGCCGAATTCCTGCGCGTTGCTGATCGAAGTCACACAACCCCAACGCTTTCACGGCATTATATGCGTTCTTCCGCGCCTCGCACGCAGCTTTGGTCGCCTTTTTGGCTTCCTTGACGATCGCAGCGCGAACAGCACCCGCCATCAGGGCCGAGGTCTTCGTCCCCTGCACTTTGTTATGCTTTTTGGCTTCGTCCCTGATTGCAGCGTTGACATGCGGGTCTGCGTCGCTCTCCGCGCCCCAGGCTGGGACGGCCAGGTTTGCTGTTAAATGTGGGTGCTTTTTTTTCCACTCGTCTTCGGTTTTCTTCTTCACCGCGTCTATCTTAGTCTTCGCCTTTCTGTGGCCGGCTCGGTTGGCTTGCTTTGGTGCCTTTCCTCTCGCACGCTTTGTGGGCCTGGTGTCGACATCGACGTCGGCCTCGTCTTTGGGACCCGTATCCCGGTAGGTCGGGTCGGCGGGGCGTGCGCGCTTGGGGGCCATGGTTTGTACGAATATATAGATGTGGATATAAAGTAGTATAGTATAAAGTGAAGGGCTGACTTGATAACAGCAATTCGTTCGAGACTTCAGTCACGGAAGAGCAAAGCCAAAGAACATCTACCTGCTTATATACACGGACAGAGCGCATTTCTGGGGGACGTCCCCAAGGCTGGGGAGTTCACCTGCCATGCTATTTGGCCGACGATCCAGCCCCAAGGAAAAAGAGCCTTTGTTTCCGTCCAGCAAGAGCAAGAATAGAAAATGGCCCATGGCATGCTAGAGGCGCTGAAAGGATACCACAGCCTCGGGCCCCCTTTGTGCAGATTCAGTGAATAGTCCGCGAAGTTAGGGCTGGCGTTCCATGAAAGAAAAGAAACTGATGGAGAGAAACCAGGACCGTACGTAGGCACTCCAACGGAAAGAGAAATAGCCTTAATCAACATTCCCTCCAACAACAACAATCCAATCTGTTATTGTGCAGTTTCTCTTCTCAATCACCCCGCCCGCCCACCGCTTTATTCCGTGAGATCTCCCCCTGTTTGTGTTTGTGGATTTATGGTCCCTACCTAGTCAGGGGTTTATCAAACCATCACCTCAGCATTGCATACTATCGATAGTAGGTCCTCTGCAGCCTTACCGCTGCCGCTACGCAATAAACGCCACCCTTAGCCTTGCTATTGTGGAGACTGCCATTGCCGTGCCATGTCAGCATGGGGATATTTCAGCCGTGACGAGGTCAATGGCGTGCTCGAACATGAGCCAGGACGCCCAGGACGCCGCGGCGCTGGTCTTTGTCCCCGTGCCGTACTTGTCAATCACCTGCAATATTGACTGGCGGTGCGGTGTTGGAACTTGGACTTGAACTCGAACTCGAGGATTGTTGGAACAAAGAGGATGTTGATAGTGATTGTGGATGGATGCCTCGAAGACCGGCCGGGTTGGTCTGTTTTGTACGCCACGGGATGGACACTCGATGGCGCAGGTTGTTTTATCCGTGGAACCTAGGCTGTCGACATGGTAGGGGGTTGGTGCGCACTGGGACTTTCTGCGTCCTATGTCTGAGAAGGATCTCGGGTATACGGTAGACGGAGCGAGTGGACGGGGCTCACTGGAAATCAAATGCATGCGGAGAATGGAATGGACTCTTTACTCTTTACCAGCTTACCCTGGCCTCGTCGCCAACGCGTAATTTAGGATCGGAGCCCGTTTTTATACAGAACTACCGTGGATAATCTTTGGCTTAGATATACTCTTTGATGGACAGTTTAGGGGTAGTTGGCGTGGATATGTAAGCACTCGCATGACTGCCCTGTATCTGGCGGTATGTCCCTCGCAACAAGAACACGCTGTACTATTCCCTTAGTGTTGTATATTTCACATACGCTGCCTTTTCATTTCCCAAGAAAGAATGGGAAAGAGACGAGCAGCATGTTTGCTATGTCTCTGCTCTTGGTGCTTCGACCAAGCGTTGCTTCGCCATGCTATTAAATCCCCCGCCGTGACTGTACGGAAAGCAGGGCGAGATTAACAGGTTGTTCTGAGATGGAAATGGATGTTGATTTAGGAACAGACTGTTGTGCAATAGATGGGGTTTCCTGGTGAGTATATAGGTAAGGCACTCTTTGGCATGTTGGTATAACTTTGCTACTCTGGGGCTGTAGTACTCTAGCTAGAGTAAAGTAAAGGCACCGGAGAGCAGGAGTACTGTAGATGCTGAAACAAGGCTCGTAGAATGGTATATGGGCGGTTCATTCCGTAGAGAGCGGGTCGATTCATTATGACTCTGCTGGGCAGCCGATACGTATGATACTTTCTATGATCTATGTTTTTATCCCATCCTCAGCACAACCCCTCATAAACCGTACCAGCTTCGCCCTCCCACCAGCCTTCAGCGGCGCCTCAATATGCATGGCGCCCTTGACATTCACCCTCTCGATATCCAGTCCGAGATTCTTGCCTTTTTCTTCCAGTTGGTCCGCCACCCAAAGCGGGATCACCTCGTCATTTTCAGCGGAGAGTAGGAGGATAGGCGGCACTCCGGCTTTTGAAGTGGATCCAGTTGCATTGCCAAATGGTGTCTTATATTGTTGAGCGAGCTGTTCCAAATTCCCGGCAACATCCCAGTTATTCCACGAGAACGGATGCAGATACCGATACGGCAGCCACTTTTGCGGATACAGCGCGATCAGCATGTCTTTAATGCTGGAGATGGGGGCTTCGAGGATTAACCCGGTTATATTCCCCCTGCTGACACCGCTCATTTTTGTCGCTGTCCTGGTGGACAGACGCTTCGCGAGCGCTGAGCTGGCAACCGCCGCGCCGAGACTATGGCCCCAAAGGATGAGGCGGAGGTCTTCGCTTCCACTCGCATATGTAGCGTACACCCAGTCAAGGAACGCCTGTGCGTCGGCTTCAATACCTCGCTGTGTTGCGCGGCCTGAGGACTTCCAGTACCCGCGGTACGAGAGGGCGGCGACGATATACTCGTATTCATGCTCAATATTCTCAGAATCAGTCATTGAAGAAGACGAAGATGAAGATGCAGATTCCTGTATCGCGTTCATAACCAACGAGAGTAGCGGAAGCCGTAACGGCGTTGAGCCACCGTTTCCCTGGAAGTAGCAGATCACCACCTTGACCTTCTTCTTCGTGGGCCCCGAGCCTCCGTCGCCGTTTTTAACGCTTCTTGCAGAGGAGGGCAACCGTCCCTTGCAAATAGCCAGCCTTGTCCCGTCCCCACTGCGAATAAAGCTCTCCGACCACCTCACGCCGCGGAATTCACGCTTGTAATCCTTTATCTTCTCGGAGCGCGAGAGCGGCGGGAGCCAAGATAAGTAAAGCAGTTTATCCTGCAGCATGATAATCCAGAAACATTTCCAGGTCCAGAGGGCTACGAGGAGCCCGATGAAGATGGCGGGGGGAATCAAAATTGTGGGGATAGAGGAGGTGAATAATGAGCGCTTCTGTACCGGTGTTCGGGTTGTTTGTCGATGCTGGATATTCCTGAATGTGATGACTGGGCTCTTCCATGAGGTTTGCAGGTGCGAGAGATTATGGGTCTTGCATTTGGTGCCGTTGTCGGACTCAGGACGGGTCGGACTGAGACTATACAGCGACCTGCTCGGTGGTCTTCCAGCAGCATTTTGCAATGGATAGCGCCAGATGCGCTGTGTAGTCCATCGTGCAGTCATGGATTGATGTGGGCGGAGATGGAGAGAAGTTGGAGCGGAGCGGAGCGGAGGACGAGATACTCCCACACATCGCAGTATGACTAAGCTATGCACATTCCACCGTGCATAGTGTAGCCCTAAAGACCCGCCACCTCTTACAAAATCTCTCGTCAATCAATGCTTCCTGATGAGTGAATATCGAGCAAACCATAAGCTGGTAGTTCTGGTATCTCCGTGCCTCTGTGTTTGCATGGCCGTCTCATCGCACTTGTACCAGCGGATGTCTCACCCGTCTATCAGGGCTATTACACACTCCAATAAAGTGAAATAGGAGCTATCGATGGATAAGGAGGATCAATGATTAATTGAGGGTTAATAAAATAGCACCGTTAGTGAGCTCTGCAACTGCTGGAGGAGTCTGCCGTCGTGTAGCGGCAAATATAGCCGTTGTGCCCGATGCGGAGATTCGGATGGGAGGGGAAGTAATTGATTGTGAGATTTACAAGGGAACAAGTTTTTATATTTACACCTATCAATGAAGTGCTAGCGCTTTTAACGAAATTTATTCTCAAGGTATCTGCCTATCCCAAGTCCACCACCAGCTTCATGGTCATCATCACCGTCATCAGTTCATTCTAACAACAATCACCGTCCCCTCCCTCAACAGTCATAAGACTCAACTCCTATAGATAGAACCGTTAGAATCACTTCTTGCATGCATAACGTATCATGGACAGATGTTTCCGGGTGGAAGAAGAAATCCAGAACATACATAAGCTGCAACGTCAAATCCCCCCTTATCTTCGCCTTCAGCTGCACCTCCAAGTCCAGATTCAGATCAAGCCTGAGCCTCAGTTGTTCATTACGACTTTTGGGCCGCTCCTGCACCTCCCTCCCACCGACACTCCTCCCTGTAACGTCCGTCACGTCCCCAGGAGCCCTGCCCACCGTCCCGACAGCCCTGCCCTGCCTCCGGATATTGCGCACCATCTCGCCGCCCGTGTCCCCGAAACCATGGATCCGCGTTATACGTTGCGATTGTCCACCAGGACCCTCGTCGCTTCGGTCGAGCACCATGCGCTGCCGGCTGTTCTGGGCTTGCCCGGGCTCTAGGGCTGGTGTTGGGCTGGTGCTGAGCGAGCTGGTATCTTCGGAGAGTGTGGGCTCGGAAGACGAAAAGGTATTATTGCCGTGCTCATGCTCGTCGTCTGCGTCGGTGACGGATGAGTGCTGCCGTTCTGGCTGCTGTACGGCCTGGCTGCTTTCGGTGGGCTGCCTTGCTGTGTCCGGTGGGAGATCACGTTCGCCTGTGGGTTGCTGCTGGCGGCGGCGGAGCTTGGGTGGCCGGCGACGCGGGGTGTCTGGGCTGGGGGATTTCGGGCTGGGTTGGGAGGAGTGCCGCTCGTCCTCGGGGGTGACGACGCGGGGATTGCTCTCTGTCGCGGTTTCAAGTTGTGGGTCACTCATGTGGATATGGAAGGATGTGTGTCATGACAAAAGAGAGGTAGAAAGGCTGGTGATGCCTATTGGAAGTCTCGGAAACAGCTGACCGCACGGGTAGGTCTAAATACTACCCAACGCAGCAGGCAAGGACAAAAAGGGCGACGGGGCTCCCACCCATAAAGCCTGACCGATGACAGCGTGGCTGGTCGAAAGTTCCAGATGGCCTATGACAAACCATTCCGCATCGGTCCCGTCGATATGTCCAGGGGTCGTGCTCGTCTGAGAGGAGCTGACTGCGCAGATGCCAGTCCAGGATCTCCCAGAGCCATGGCTAGGAGTTGGTCAGGCTGTAGATGGAAGATGAAATAGCACGTCCCTGTACAATTGGAGGAATGCATACCGGGTGGCATAGGCTGACTATGATTGTCAGACAGTCATTGGAGGGTTCCAGCCCGATAAAATCGTACCAACCAGAGCTCTCTTTTCCCGCACTTGAACCAGTGGTTAGATCGGTTGCGTTTCATGGAAACAACAGATGCTGTTCATGTGAAAATCAGTGTCTTGTAACATCGTGATAATGATAGTCAAGGAACAGAATAACAACCAAGCCTAGAATTATAGTTGAGATTATGGAAAGTAAGTATACTATGTTGAGTTATTGATACACAACCTGAGTACCTGCATGACCGTGAGCGTAGGAAGTTACTTCCTATCGCGCCCGTCAGCACTAACAAAATCATCCATATATAGAGTACAAGGAAACTTACAATAACGCCAACGTCAGATCCCCATGGATCCTAGCCTTGAGCTCAACCTCCACGTCAAGGTTCAAGTCCAGCTTTAGCTTCAGCCCATCATTGCTCGTGGATTGCTTGTTCTGTCTGAACTGCCCCGTGTTCAAGACCTCATGCTGGGACTGGATCTCACCCGCCCCATTTCTCGTCGTTGAGACTTGGCGAGTCGAGTACGTTTGCATTGCCTGCAAGCTCGATTCAAGACTGGCATTTCGCGTCGGATTGCGGTCCAAGTTATTCTTGGGATTGTCATTTGGATTGTGCTTGATAGTGCGGATGGGACTCGAGTAGGCGGGCGGATCCCGTTCAACCTCTTCGTCAACGGTTGAGGTGTAGACGTCATCTGAATCGTGCGAGGGCTTGCGGACAAGCGAATTGCGAGCCATGAAAGTGAATGAGTAAGTGGTGGTCCTATCTCAGCCCCAAAATCGAGCCTAAGTATTGCGAGCGCTAAGGCAAAGTTAAGACAAAGCCTAGAATGAGAACAGGCCGTGAGCTAGAATAAAAGCCGCGGCGGTGGCTTTGGTGGAGGGGACAGGAAGACATATGTGTGATGTGGCCAAGACGTGGATTGCTGCGTTCTAGGGCTCGCATACGTCAGGACCCAGAGAAGAAGTTGCATGTGAGGGGGATGCTAGTGGCTCTGGCACCGGTCAAACATGGTACAACAATCTGGCGCTGGTCTTAAGGTTCACTATCCTTATCGACCAGCCCACCTTGATTCCATGATTGTCTTCAAATGGGCATTGCACACTCAGGTGGGTCGATATCGGCTTGTCTGGTGTTGCTACTGTGTATGCCCGCTCTCTGTTCATATCAATCCTCGCAATAGTTGTTCATCTGAAGTATCAAAGCAATCATAACAGATCTCTATTCACAGTCATGTAAGCATCACTGAGGGAAAATAGACCACTTGCTTAAGAAAATTATTACCTAGCAAACATGGCCTCCCTCGCTGCGCGCAAGGCCCCCTCTCAAAGGCCACGTTCCGGTACAACAAGAGACGTACGTCCAAGCGGCTTCCGCACTACTCGAGAAATGTATAAAGAGCCGGCTAAAAGAGCGAAGGATCCAACTGCCTCAGTTTTGAACGGCGGTCGGACAGCGGCAACCGATCTAGGGCGATTCACGAAGGGCCTCGGTGCCGACGATAGAAGGAAGCCTGTTCCCGCTTCTCCGCCGATGCAAAAGGCGCGGGAAACTGTCAAGGAGCTCCATGAAGACACGGACGAAGGCGTTGAACCGGGGGCCGATTCGTACAAATATAGCGGACCTGGGCATGTAAATGTCTCCAACGGGATGAGCGAGAAGGTCTCTGGGAACGCTTCCGGACGACTACCGCTCTCATTATCCAGCTTAGATGGACTTGCCGTCGGCGAAAGCGGCAAGATACTAGACAATGAAGGTCGAGCAGTTGGTAAAGTTATCGAGGGCGACCCGGGAGACTTGATCGGGCAGGTCGTGAATGGCGATGGTGAGATCTTGGATGAAGATGGAGATCTTATTGGATGCGTCGATATCCTGGTTGAGGAGAATGCAGATGATGAAAGAGAGAAGGATGGCAGAGTCTGGGGCGACGACCCGGATGGTAACGCCGTGGGAAGAGGCGGCCTGACTTCGCCGCAAGCAAGTGTGGGAGAAGAGACATATACATCGCCAGAGGCGGTAACAGAGGATGAGAGTCGTGCTTCTCCAACGAAAGACATGGAAGCGCAGAGTCCTTCGGACGAGGCCCATGAGGAAGAAAGTCGCGACCAGACAGAAGAGGAAGGCGACCGGGACCGGGACCGGGCCGAACTGCCGGCGCTTTCCACGCTCAAAGGTTTCACCTGCAACACTCTCGGCGAAATCATCGCTCCCGATGGCATTACGGCCGGAGAGCTCGTGGATGGCGATGCCATGAGGATTGCCACCGATGGGCTGCAACTTGACGATCATGGCCAGTTCCAAGACAGCCGAGGAATCACTGTTGGCAGGGCGAGGCCTATCCCGAGTACTCAGAGCCAGGCCTGGAAGGACAGCGGCACCCTCCAGGAGGTAGAACCTATTCCAACGCAGGAAAAGCCAGATGCTGTCGGTTCTGGGGCACTCGAAGGCCTTACTATGGATAAAGACGGGCTGGTTTACAATTCTTCCGGTCAGGTCGTTGGACGGTTGCTTGACGGGGGCCATCACCGTGATCATAACTGTGACCGACTGCCGTCACCTCCTGCTGAGACTCGCGACGCTGTGAACGGAATTGATGAGAAGACTGGCATCTCGGCGCCGGCTAATGTTCCTCTGCCGCATGACCCTGACACAGAAAAGACCGGCTGGAAGCCCCATATCTTTGAGCCAGAATCAAAACATGCCCGGTTCGACATGCAGAACTTGGCTCGAGTCATCGTCAATGACAGTGGCTATACCATTGACAACGGACGTCTGGCGGAAGAAATGTGCTCCATTGTCCGCCAGACAGAAGACTCTGTTGGCCCGCTTTGCAGGCAGATCATCGTAGTACGTCCTTGACCGACCTCCCTTACGGTTGAATCTACTAATCGTGTGCCAGGACATCGAAGAAGCCAACCTCAAACCCAAGAACCGCCTTGCATCCGAGCGCCTGGTGGAAGACGTGAAGCCCCTCATCACCTCAGCCGGGGATATCCTGCAAGACTGCAACAACACCCTCCGCGCTCTCGACTCGAACGGCGCAATCGCATCCGCAATAAAAACGCGCGGCCATTCTACGCACGACGTCACAACCATCACAATCGAGTACCAAATCGCCGAGGTTCTCAAGGCCCTGGCTCAGACGATCATCGACACGATTACCACCAGCCGATACCGCCTCGCCGAGATGTCAAGGGAGATGCCCTACGCCAGACGAAAGATCAATCCTCTTTGGACGCTACTTTCGGGGAGACTTTTCGGCATCATCACTTCAGTGGGGTTGCTTCACACCGGCGTTATTGGTCTGCTTAGCAGCATGCTCAAAGGGCCGTGGCTGGGTATGGTTCTCAAGCGGTTATTGTTCGGCATTGGACTCGATAGGGCTCTGGATAGGCTGGGAGTCGAGCGGCTTTTGACGGCGCTGATAGACGGTGAGGCATGGGTTTATAAGGTTCTTGATGGATCGGGCGGTGGAGTGGGCCAACTGCTGAGGGGATTGCTCGATCTCTTTGGGGTTCACGGGCTGCTCGAGTCGGTGAGGGTGGGCATGGTTAGCGAGGCTTTGGATTTGGACAAGTAGGTTGGTACAAAAGTTGGCTAATGTGTTATAATGAATGACCATCAGTATGATGTTATCATACGTGCACCAGGAGTGCCTAATACATAGGTTGTTAATACATGGTTCAATTCTTTGGCATCAGAGCAGAAAAGGCAGTGCTCCATCCCGCCTATCATACAATAATAAAGGCCGTAATCTTTGTAGCTTGTCCTCAAGAACCAGGTACATCAGAATCGGCACGTTGATCGAAGGTGTCGCAGCTTCGGCAGTCTTCCCACACTCGTTAGCTATTGGTAACCTATGCTTCGTTGTGATTCGGTCCGCTACGGTAGGTCGTGCTTCCTTGGGGTCTCTACCATTTGACTTGACACATAGCAGCAAGTCCGGAAGACCATTTATCCCACTCTTTCCCTCAATGTCACTATCACATCGCCGTCTCCCACCAACGTCCTCCTAACCGACACCTCAGGCGGGACACAGGAACCAAATCCACCCTCCCACACTATAACACGCCCCCCTGGCACCACCTACTTGGAAGTACCCCTTGGCCGCAAAGCCAGAGGCGCAGTTTCCGTGGATCCCCTTGACGATGAACGAGCAGGAGGCATGTTCACAATCCCTCTTCTAGGAGACTGCCGGTGTTGCAAGCGTCCCCGCGGCTGCTCGACAAGAGAAGCTTCAGGGACATCTACCATGACTGCTTCCTCCACATCCGAGTCGTCCTCGGAATCGCTGTCCTCAGCGTCTGGCAGAATATCAGCGGCGCCGCTCATTGCGAGCACTCGCGTGAGATTCCAGGACATTCTGAGTAGCTCGACGGAGGGCAATGGGTATTCGGCCGCATCAGGAGTGGTCAGAAGAATTTCGTCGCCTGAGCATAGCTTTTGCTCTGTAAGATGATTCCAAAGCTTCGTCGCTGTTCCGGTTTGGGTCATACTGGAGGATATTGACGGAGGCGTGTTTATCGGGACTTTCTCGGAGTAACGCCGGATAGGCAGCCACCAAAAGCGAACGGGCAAGGAGCATTTGTCCTCCGAGAGCTCCAGGGGTTCCAAGACGAAGCGAGCTTTCCCCCAGAGGCCATGGGCATACTTGTTTAGACAGATCATGTTACCGAGAAACTCGGTGCCGGCTTCGCCCATGATCTCCTTCTTCCATTTGTCAACCTTGTCCGGTGACCAAAAATAGCTCAACATGGACCAGAAGTTCTTTTGGTCTCTCTTTGGCTGGTTTGTTAGACTGAAGGGGTATATGTGGGCACCCTCAAGGGCCTCATCAGCTCTGGTAAGAACACATCCCCCATCGCGCTCGTTGGTCTACCAATAGTTAGTAATGCTTCTGTTATGACAGATAATGATAGGGGTTGAGCTTACCATTTTGGGTAATTTCGAGTTTCTCTCCTTGTCGTCCGGGTTCTTCTTCCTCCTCTTATTGCTCGGACCTGGGTTGATCGAGGCGTCGGCATTTGGGTCCGTAACATCGTCGTCGTTCGATCGTGTTCGAGTAGCCCCTTACGTTAAATTGAAATTAGCGCCAACTCTTAATGTTATGAATGTATGGAAAGGGTAGAACGTACAGGCCAGGACCCTACACTTGTTCTCATTGGCTAGTAGAGCTCGGTCAAGGAACCTAGGCTCTAAGGCGACAAGTACTCTCAATCTCTCAATGTCTGCAAGCCATAGAAGAGCCCAAGTGATCGAGTCCACGATGTCCTGGCGGGCACTGATCTTGCCTATGAGCTCGGCTCGCTCTTCGTCATCAAGCTCGGGGATAATTTTCGGTTTGTTACTGGTCGTAGTTATGGACTCAGTGATGAAGGGGTCAGAGAGATTGCTGCTGACGGAGCTCAGAGAAGAAATGTCCCCCTCCTGGGTGAACTGGTACCGGTTCTCGAAAGACATTGTTCTGAGTCCTGACTGTGACAGCCTTTAGAAACTGCAAAAGGTTATCAAAGCTCCGCATGGCCCCGGAAAGGTACCCCGGGAGGGCAAGCTGACTCACTCGGAGCGTTGGCCACCCGGGCGCCGGGCCCCCGAAGCGAAGCGTAGGTCGGCTGCGGAGGGTAGGGAAGCTTGTGTGATTATTCTTTGATGACTAGTAGCGGCAGCTATTTCTCTTCCACTTATCATGCTCAGGTTGGAAAATGCCATGGCACATGTTCATCGAGACAGCGCCATATCAGAGCAATCTAGCTATCGATATCCGAGGTGAGATGCATACCAGGTGCATTTTCTTCTAGGTACTACTAGCTGTTTGTATAGGCCTTCGCGAATTTGGGCGGTATATTTGTCGGCCCATCAGATCTTCATAGTATATGAGCGTGTCCTGCACTTGTTCCTGGGTGAGTTTAGCAGTTACTCATGAGAGCCGTTCACGTACGGCACGATAGGTTCGATTAGTACCATTTTACTATATCCTAGGTGGGCAGCTCAAAATCAAACAAATTACATTGACTGCTACCGAATACCAAGAAGATGAGCTTCGACTGCCATACGGAGTACAGTGATAACCAAGCACAGGCATCTCTAAGCCTTGTGTATGCTCACCAAGCCCCCATCAACTGCAAGGTCAGTTGCGGTCGTAAAGGTCGCGTCGAAAGCCAAGAAAACAACCGCTCTAGCGACCTCCTCAGGAGTCCCAATCCTACCGAGGGGAGTCGCCTTTGTGCCCTCTTCCTCAAACGCGACCAAGTCCTCGGGCGTCACGCCAGACACGCCCATAGTAGGTGTTCTGACGAAGCCAGGCGACACTGCGTTGACCCTAATCTGCCGTCCAGCCAGCTCAGCAGCTAGTGTTTGCACGAGCGAGTTGACAGCGGCCTTGGAAGCAGAGTACGTCGCCATGCCTGGGATCCCCTGCTTTGCAGAAACGGAGGTGGTGAAGACGATCGCGCCACCGTCGCGGACAAGAGGGGAGATCTTCTGAGCGACGAAGAAGGCGCCAAAGACGTTGGTGCTCATCGTTTTATTGAAGGCCTCTTCCGAAACGGCGGTAAAGGGTTCGAGGAGTGCGTAGCCAGCGTTGATGTAGATGAAGTCGATATGGTCAGCGAACACTGACTTAGTCTCCTCAACGAGCTTCTCAATGTTGGATAGGGAGGTGATGTCGCTCTGCACAACGTGCGCCTTGTCGCCGAGTTGAGCTTTCGCGGCATCGATAGGCGGCTGGCTGCGGCCGGTGACGAGGACTTTGGCACCAGTTTCAATGAGCAGTTGGGCCGTTGCAAGGCCGATGCCGTGAGTGCCGCCGACAATGACTGCGGATTTGCCAGTGTTTGCCATTTCGATCATGTGATAACTTGATGAGTAGATGGAGATGAAATTGAGTTGTGACTGTTTGTTGGCTTCGGACTGGCATCGCCCTGCCTTTATACTTCAGCATCCTGCCATGTCCATCCCTTTTGAATATGGATTTCAAATCACTTCGTCAAACGCATTTCTAATCAAGTTCCCAGAGCTCCATGCGGCCACTTGGCCTGCTTGCTCCAGCAATCAGCGCGCTGTCCTGTGCCGTGGATGTAGAGCTGAAGCTCGTATACCTAGACTTGGCGGCCATACTTGATTGGAGAACGCGCAGCGACGAAAGCCGTAGGGGACGTTGGCTGAGTGACTCAAAAAAGCCACATCGAACTCTGGCTGATTTGCTTTTTGGCATGATTGGGCGCTGAGAGTAAGCATCGTGCAGAGGCTCAGAGCCTTTAGTCCTTGCAGCGGGTGATAATTCCTGCACCTGGTGGGGACTGTGAGGTCAAATGCCTCTTAGAAGAGCCGGTGGTTGCTAGTTAGCAAAGGACGCCTCGTAGTCAGAATCAACCGACTCGTGGTACTGCATTTCGATGGAGTGGTTTCTTCCTCATGATTCATTCATTATTCCCCGCAAGGTCCTTGCCTTGGAACGCATAAATATATAATAGGCACTAGAGTTGTACCATGGCCACAATCTTCGATTTTGCAGCTCTGCATAATATCTGTACGACTGCTGGGAAGCTTTAGACAGGTTTTCCGAAAATGAAAACACCGTGTGCTGCCCTTGTTTTGTCTGCAAAGTATGGCGATGGCGTCAAGGACGAGTTGCTGCCTGAGGTGCTAAATATGCCCTTATCATCACGTGCTGCTGCCACACCGCCTGCTTTAAGAGCATTCCACAAAGAACCCCGCTGATAAGGTCGGATATTTTTGTCTCCTTGACTCACTGCTGTTCGCTCGTTGACTCACCTCCCACATATATACGGTCTGCGCGGCCAATTGATCTCTTCATTTTAGTGAATTTGAACAACCGCAACATGACGGACGCACTTGCTGAGGCTACGGCCAAGCTGGTCCTCGACGAGGAGACCGGCGAGATGGTCTCCAAGAACGAGCTCAAGAAGCGAACCCAGAAACGCGCCAAGAAGGCCGCCGCCGCCGCCGCAAAAGCAAACCAGGCCGCGAAGCCTGCGGCTCCGAAGCTGAAGGCCGAAGTTAAGCCCGTGGAGGAGACCCCGCTGGACCCTGATGCCATGTTCAAGCAGGGCTTCCTCGCCAATGTCTTCCGCGAGCGCCCTATGAAGCCCGTCGTCACTCGATTCCCGCCTGAGCCGAACGGATACCTACACTTGGGGCACTGCAAGGCCATTGCCGTCAACTTCGGGTTTGCGCGACACCACGGAGGAGAGACGGTATGTCGTGCGAACGCAATGGTTTTGCGAGGGCGCTGACAAGTTAGATCCTTCGGTTTGACGACACGAACCCTGAAGCGGAGGATGAGAAGTATTTCACGGCCATCGAGGATATTATTCAGTGGCTTGGTATGTTGCAATAAATGCTTGAAGCGTGCGGTGCTTATGGATCAGGATTCAAACCCGCTAGGAAAACCCACTCGAGCGACCACTTCCAGAAGCTCTACGACCACGCCGAAAAGCTTATCCAGCTTGAGAAAGCCTACGTCTGCCACTGCAGCGATACCGAGATCAAGTTGCAGCGAGGTGGTGAGAACCACGGTGCGAGATACCGGTGCAAGGACGCGGAGCAGGATGTCGAGACGAACCTGAAGAAGTTCCGGGATATGAAGGACGGAAAATACGAGCCCCAGACGGCGTTCTTGAGGATGCGCCAGGATATCGATAACCCCAATCCTCAGATGTGGGCAAGTATGGCTTTCAACACGGTTACGTCAAGCTAACTGGCCTAGGATCTTGCCGCCTACCGTGTCTTGAAGAAGGAGCACCACAAAGCGCCCGGCTGGGTCATCTTCCCCACATACGACTTCGCTGTAAGTTGCCGCCGTTTTTCTAGATGTGAACCAGTCTAACATTAGCAGCACTGTCTCTGCGATAGCTACGAGGGCATCACCCACAGTCTGTGCACAACCGAGTTCGTTTTGTCGCGCGAGAGTTACGAATGGCTGAACTCGACCCTTGGTGTCTACGAGCCGATGCAGCGCGAGTATGGTCGATTGAACGTCAGCGGAACAATCATGAGCAAGCGAGGGCTGAAGAAGCTGGTTGATGGTGGCTATGTCCGAGCGTGGGACGACCCTCGTCTGTACACTGTTATTGCCCTCCGCCGTCGCGGTGTTCCGCCGGAGGCTATTCTTTCGTTCGTCAACGAGCTCGGAGTGACCACCGCCAACTCCGTAATTAACATCGCTCGATTCGAACAGTCCATCCGTACCTACCTAGAGTCGCGCGTGCCCCGTCTCATGCTTGTCCTCGACCCCGTTCCCGTTGTTATTGAAGACTTTGATACCCTGAGCGCAGACCAGCTCAACCTCGACATCCCTTTCTCCCCCAAGGACCCTGCCATGGGCTCGCACACCGTCGGCTTCACGAAGACTGTGTACATCGATCGCTCCGACTTCCGAGAGGAGGATGCCAAGGGATACTTCCGTCTTGCGCCCGGCAAGAGTGTCGGACTTTGGAAGTCCCCATACCCCATCAAGGCCACCACCTTCACCAAGGATGCGGATGGAAAGGTCACGGAAGTTCGCGCCGTTCTGGACAAGGACGGTGGAAAGCCGAAGACGTACATTCACTGGGTCCCCGAGGGATCGCGCAAGCTCGAGGTCCGCATTCATGACCAGCTGTTCAAATCGGATGAGCCTGCCGCTGTCGAGGGTGGCTTCCTCGCCGATATCAACCCGAACAGCGAGACCATCTACACGGACGCGATGATCGAGTCTGGGTTTGACGAGGTGCGACGAAGGGCACCCTGGCCTGAGGCCGCGGGAGAGACGAGCGAGGGAACACCGCGACCGGAGACCGTTCGCTTCCAGGGCATGAGGGTGGCCTACTTTGCCATGGACTCGGACTCCACCGACAACCACGTCGTCCTCAACCGGATCGTATCTCTCAAACAGGATACGGGCAAGGCGTAGCGCCCGAAATGGCGATAATCCCGCGAGACTTCATTTATCCCGCGGGGACTTGGAGAGGTAAGGAGATATGTTGATATTAAATAGTTTAGCGTACAATTCAACCTCCAATCAACCAAGAGAACACCAAGATTCCAGAGAATAATGCAACTCTTCACAAGGTGCAACATCGGCCGTTGACTCGTCGGTGGCCTCCGACGATGCATATTGGCACTGGCTTGGCATTGCAACGTGATATCTATGCGCCTTGTGAGTGGCCGCCAGTCCAGGTACACCCGCAGATAACAGGGGTTCGATTAGATATAAGAGCTGGGGAGCTGCCAGTCCTGTCGATCCCAGATCAGCGCACCATGAAGACTTTCGCAACCGCTCTGTCCCTGGCGCTGCCCGCCGCGGCCGTGACCATCAGCGAGATCAACGGAAATGCCTTTCTTTCTCCATATGAAGGCGAAACCGTCTCCGGCGTGGAAGGTCTTGTAACAGCAATTGGAGAAGACGGTTTCTACCTGCGCTCGACGAGCCCTGACTCCGACGATGCGACTTCCGAGTCCATTTACGTCTACGGGAGTAGCTCCGTCTCTAAAGTCAGCGTTGGAGACATCATCACTCTTAGCGGAAAGGTGTCCGAGTACCGCTCTTCAGACGACTACCTTTACCTGACGGAACTCACATCCCCATCGAGTATCGTCGTGCAGTCCACCGGGAACAAGGTCGCTCCGGTAGTTATTGGAAAGGATCGCTCGCCTCCGACAGAGGCGTACTCTAGTCTTGACACCGGCGATGTTCTTGCCGTGCCGAACAACGTTAGCCAGATCTCTGTGGACAACCCGGTTCTTCAGCCGGAGTCTTATGGCATGGACTTTTGGGAGAGTCTCAGTGGCGAGCTCGTCTCGCTTACTGGCTTGACTATCATTACGAAGCCGAACCAGTACGGTGACGTCTTCGTGCGCGGAGACTGGGCTGTGACCGGGTTGAACGGTCACGGTGGATTGACTCAGACAGCAGACGGTGAGTACTGCGGAATATTATCTCACGACCCGGCTGACAAGATAGACTCAAACCCCGAAGCCATCAAGATCGGATCGCCCCTCGACGGAACAAGTAACTCCGACTCCTCTAGGGTCGGCGACACTGTTGAAGATGTCACGGGTGTTGTGCAGTGGAAGTACGGCCAGTACATGGTCCTTCCATCCACAGCCCTCAAGGTCACCGGCTCAGACGACACCGTCGCCTCAGCCTCAAGTCTCACCGGCGACGGGACCTGCAAAGCCCTTGCAATCGGCTCGTACAACGTCGAAAATCTGAGCCCCTCTTCCGACACCATTGAGGCCATTGCTGACCACATCGCGAACTATCTCAACGGACCGGCGATCATGTGTCTGCAGGAGATCCAAGACAACGACGGCGAAACGGACGATGGCGTCGTCGACGCAAACGTCACACTTTCCACCCTCGCAGACCTTATCTCTGCAGCTGGTGGCCCAGAATACGACTTCACCGAGATCGCTCCAATTGACGGCGAGAACGGCGGCGCACCAGGCGGCAACATCCGCGTCGCATACCTGTACGATCCTAGCATCGTGCAGCTGCGCAACCCTAATCCCGGCACAGCTTCCGAGGCAAACGAGGTCTTGTCCGGCCCTGAACTGAAGTACAACCCCGGTCTTATCGCCCCCACCAACGAGGCGTGGGATGCATCGCGCAAGCCCCTCGTCGCCGCCTGGGAGACCGTCGATGGGAAGAACACGTTCTTCACCATCAACGTTCACTTCGCCAGCAAGGGAGGCGGCTCATACCTCCAAGGCGATGAGAGACCACCTGTTAACGGCGGCGTGGACCAGCGCACCTCGCAGGCTGAAATTGTCGCTGTACGTTCTTCCCAATTTGCTCGTTTCAATAAGTACTAATGACATGATCTAGTCCTTCGTTGCATCCATCCTTGCGGAAAACTCCTCCGCCAAGATCCTAGCAACCGGCGACTTCAACGAATTCTCCTTCGTGCAGCCGCTCACGACTTTTGCTTCCAAGTCGGGTCTTACCGAGCTCGATGAGGTCGTCGGAATTGACCCTCTCGAGCGCTACACGTACATCTACGATAGCAACCACGAGCAGCTCGATCACATTTTTGTGAGCGAGGCTCTCGGGGAGGGCGCGCAGATGGAACATATCCATGTTAACACCTGGGTGAACTATGACGATGCGCCGTCGGACCATGATCCTACGGTGGCGCTTTTCAATGTTTGTGAGTGAGGAAGCCCTTGGCCGGAAGTGTATATGAATCCTTGATCTCGACCAAGGCGTGTATAGATAAGACGTGCACCTGCATAGCTCAAAGAATAGAATATACGGAGTAACGCGTGACACTTCCTCAAAGTACTGTAGGATCCCGTTCTGCAGCTGATGCTCACTTCCACCGATATTATGTCCCCGCCCAGACTGGCCCCCTGCATGGCTAGAGTGCTAGGCCATTTAGCTCCAGAGCGGCTCCAGCAAGGGACCATTGAACACTCAATCGCCCTCCATCCCGAGGTTATGCTAATCTCCAAAACGCAACCAATCCCCGTTGTCTCCGCAATATCTTCACTACACCATGACCATGAACACTCCATCACTACCCCAATTCCAACCTCTCGGACCAAACATAGCCCTCTACACTCCCCAGTCCAAACCAACAGCGCTTATAATCCTCTGCACATGGCTCGGCGGCGCAACTCCCCGCCGTCTCACCAAGTACACATCTGGCTACACTGAGAATTTCCCCGACGCCGCGATTCTGCTCGTGAAAACAACGCTGCCCGACATTCTGATTCAGAATAACAGCGCGATCTCGAAGCGATTAGCCCCCGCGCGAGAGGTCATTTCCGGCTTTCTGCGAACAAACTCGGGAGAGGCTGGCAATGGCAATGGCACGCGGCATGGCAGGACCCCTCGCCCCCCGGCCGTCCTCCTGCACATCTTCTCCCACGGCGGAAGCAACATCGCCACGCAGCTCCTGCGCTCAATCGCCGCAACTGACCCCTTAGCCCATGAAATGCTCCTTTCAGCGCTGAACCTCGTCATCCTCGACTGCTGCCCCGGCGACTCCACATTCAAGCGGAACTACAACGCCGTCGCCGTATCGCTGCCTCCGGCCACGAACCAGCCGCTCTCGCACTACATCGGCAGGATGGCGCTGTACCCGGTCGTTGGGACGATCATGGCGCTCATGGCGACGGGATTTATGAGGAGTATTGAGGATTTAAGGACGGAGTTGAATGATCCGTTGTTACTGGGGAGATCGGCGCGGAGGGTTGTATCTTTATTCCCGCCAGGATGAGATGGTTAGGTGGGTTGATGTTGAGAGGCATATGGCTGATGGACTGGAGAGGGGGTATATTGTTGATGGGGTGGGATTTGAGCAGGGGCAGCATTGTGCGCTTGTTATGGGTAATAGAGAGAGGTATTGGGATGCTGTTCGGAGGGCTTGGAATGGCGAGGGTGTATTGGTCCCGAGTCGGCTGTGATGATATCCTAGATGTGTATAGAGACCTTTCCATGAACCACCTGGTTTTGCGAGTTTGAAGGAGGAGCGTTGTATAGTAAGTGGTGGCTCCCGTTGCCCTTGGCTCCGGCTCGGACACTGAAAATGAGAAGCGAAGCAATTCGCGAGAAAGAAGGAGGGTGATAGTGGGCTCGTAACAACATTGTCTGCCGTATCTATATGCTTTAAGTATATACCAGAAGACGCCTTAAGCATTAGCTTCGCATAGACAGAAACCTTCTATCTAATCCCCCACGTGTATCGGCCTAGTCCTTTGTCGCTTTATACAACTCCGTAACGCGCCTCGCCAACTCCTCCGACTCGGCTTTAACCCATGGCATCGCGTGGTGGTAGTTGATCTCGTACAATATCGCTTTCTCTCGATCGAAGTATTGCCGCAGCTGGTCACGCCCATACGTCAAGAACTCGTCCCTGAGCCCGTGCACGTGGAGGGTCGGTATCCGGACGATCATGTCGGGCTCGTCGAGCTCTATCCATCCCATTAGCACATTGTTCTAGATTGGAATCACCTCAAAAGAAATGGCAAGCAAGAGAAAACATACTGAATCCAACCTCGCTCTCCATCGGCCGTCCACCGCCATTGCACATAACCCCAAACTTCAACTTGATGTCCTTACCAACACTCCTCTTCCCCTTCCCCTGTTTTTCAACCTCATCCCACCGTTGCTGATTCAACAACAACCCACTCGCAATCCTCGTCCCCTGCGAGAACCCCATCACACCAACCCAAGCCTCATTCCCAAAGCCCTTCTCGCGCGCACGCTCCTCCATAAGCTTCAACACTCTCTCAATCCCATCCCGACCCGAGGTATCATACCCAGACCCATCAGCCTTGGAGTTATCGGACTCCGGCTCGAACCAGGACTTGTACGGGCCGTAGTCTGCGAACGCGGGGAGGACGCCCGGGCCAGCGGAGCGCGGAAACGGGCCATTAAAGAACTCGAGCGTGAATTGCTTTGCGAGGAGCGTTGCAAGGAACGAGCATTGGATTTCGTAGATCGCGGCGCTGGAGCCGGAGCCGTGGAAGCAGGCGATGCGGGGGAGGGGCGCGGGCATTGTGTTTTGGGTCGGTGGGGTGAGGAATCGTGTTTGGCGGTTTGTTCGAGGAAAATATAGGTTGGTCCCGCTATATGAGAGATGGCCGTTAGTTGAACTTGCGCTGTCTCTCTAAGGTAACTGGTGACTGTGAGGACTCGAAATTGGTGTTAACAAAGAGCTGAGATGAGTCGCGGTGGGACTGGACTCGACATCGAGGGGTAAGCATTTAGCGCCCTTTATCATGAGCACAACTATGCTTAATTAGTGCAGCAGTTGTGCAACCAAGACAAACCAGTACAGTGACTTTATCTCAGCCACATGCTCAAGTGTGTATCCAGTCTCCGCATAAACGCTAGTTAATGAGTTCGAAGCTTCAAATACTTCCCAAAGCCATCGAAACCAAGCACTGCGTTGAGGAGGCGGGAGCCTGGGACTGAAGACCTTTTGGAACCCTGGATCTTTCCATCAACATCGTGCTCTCTTCCATTTTAATCGCAAAGGCAAGATTCAAGAACAGTAAAACAGTGAATTTAAACAGGCCTCTGAATACAAATGGTTGGCGCAAGATATGAAGATCATACCAAACAGCCTGCAGCTTTGATGGCCAGAGGGCGACCAATTCCGATAGGTACCGACTGGTTCTATGCTCTGATTCCATCTTCCAGGTCTACAGCACCAGGCTCGAACTCTGACCCCACCGATCCTTGTGCGTACCTCACTCGGGAACTGTTTATGGGTTCTATGGTAATGAGTTGCAAGTCCTTGGCCGAAAATAGGTACTATCGAACCATGAGCTCGTGAAACAACACTTACCCGCACCTCCATTCTCAGCAATAATCGCCCAAGCCCGGATACAACACCAAACAAAGAATAACCTTACTTACCACCTTGGAAAACTCCCGACCGTGGGTGAGTGTCTTCTCCTTTGTCAAGGTCTCTTACTACCTTTGTGCCAAAATAACATCCTGTCTTTGTGATCCCTGTCCCCTTGAGTTCTTCAACAGAGGTGGCTTTTATCATTCCCCATTTTCTTGCCAGTTTCCCTTAAGCAAGTTCTTCTCTGCTTTCAAATCTCTCAATCACTAATACTACTGCTATACTCATCCGTCATTATCTCATTTCTTCAAGACAAATCTAACCTCGAAGATGCCGAAGAGAAGCACCAAGAAGGCCAAACGCGCCACAACCGTCAGAAAAAGGTTGACCAGAAGCATGGGTGCCAAAATGGCTGAGGCACAGGATCGCGAACCGCAGGAGGATCATGAACCCGAAAAGGAAGTGAAAAAGGAACCGGAAGAGGAATTGAGAAAGGATCCTGAGCCCCTAAAATTCCCTGAACCTGAAGAGCTTCTCAAGCGCGCAGGAATTCCTCAGCCAAAAGAGAATCGTCAGCCCGAAAAAAGGTCTGGGCCGGAAGAGCTTCGCGAGCCCGAAGTGAACCCTGAGCCTGAACCAAGCCCTGAACCCGAACAGGATCCTTTGCCTGAAGACCGAGATGCATTGGGTAAAGCAGGAAAGGAACAGGCTGAGCGCGGTGAGCTTTTATGCCGTGCAGTACCGTACATAGTCGTTTCCTGCTAACATTTCCCAGAGATACCTAACCTAGGAGTCGAAGGCGCGCTTATTGCCCGCCACCTCAAGATAACAGCCGACTACGACTGGACGGACGGACCAAAATCACCTTCCACGAGAAAGCAGAAAGCCGCCATGGTCCTTCAACGCCGTGGCTACGAAGACGTGGAGGGGTGTTCACATTGTATGGAAGGTGGCCGCGTATGGAGGCACTGCGTGATGGCACCAAGGATACCAGGCCATAGTGATTACAAGGATATCATTTACTCCTTCCAAGGGGGAGCGTGCGCGAACTGTATCTGGGACGAGAATAAGTGCGAATTCGCCTCCGCTGACAACCTCGCCAGGCTGACACAGGCGAATATCGGGTGAGTTACCCATAGAGTTTCTTTTCCTTGGGCTATCTAATGACGGTTGCAGGTGTGTTTTGACGAACGGTAGGAAGATCCTGCATGACGAGATCGAGGCTCGCATCCAAGCGGCAGCGGAAAATTCGAACGCGGATAGTTACAACACTGTCAATGGAGAGGGCCTCCGCGAGGCCAATGAAGGCGCAAAGAGGAACGGGATAAGGGAGGTGGGGGTAAAGGAGGAGGAGCAGGAGCCAGGGCTCATATCGGCCCCTGCCCACCAACCCAAGCGAAACATTCAAACAATCCCCTCGTCCACCTTCTTCGGGGCGTTCTTGCCTGGCAGGGACTTTACACGCGTGGGTGTCAACGCCGACCGGGGCCCAAAATGTGCCTTCGACGGCGACGAGCTCAAGTTTCCCATTCCCAGGGATATCTGGGAGAGTCCCAGGAGGCTCATTACTGCGCGGTCCGACCTCGCGACTTTTGCCAGCATCGCGGATGCTCGACTGTACGAGCTTGGACAGGGCGACCAAGACAACGACTATCTGTTCTGGCAGAACGAGGCGCGCCGTATCCCTAGCCTCTACAAACTGCCCCCATCCAAAACTGTAAGTGGAATGTAATCCCTGGTAAAGGTTGACTGATGGCTGACTGTGATACCGACAGTACCCCCGCATTCCCATCGATCCGCCTCGACTTGACAAGCATCAGGGTATAACCCTTGCAAAACCGGCAGCTCCGAATAGAGAGAGTCAGGCTAAAGCCGCCGCTCTACGGAAAGTGGTCGACACTAGCGAAAAGCCTGTTATCAGTAAGCCTGTGCTCTCCATGGGCGTTAGCAGTGTTAGCGGCGTCATCCCAGTCCCCCAACCGTCCCGCAATATATTTCCGCTGCAGCTTAGCTTGGACGACCTTACAGGTAAAGACTCCAAAGTACCTGAACCACGTGAGGATAGTCGTGAGGCTGTACTGCGTCAACAAAGGCTTGCTTTAGCAGCTATGGCCCGCACGTCTGGCAAGCCTCTTGGCCAGGTAATCCGCGAAGCCCAGGAAGCGCAGAAATCCCGTAAAGATGCGCTGGTCCGCTCATTCCCCCCAGTCAAGAGCCTCGTTGATGGAGAGAAGGAAAGCAAGTCGGGCAAGTCTCTTAGCCAAGTACTCCGCGAGGCTGATGAAGCGCAGAAACCCGTTGAAGGTGCATTGGCCCGATCATTCTCCACAGTCAAGAGCCTCTTTGTCGGAGAGAAGGAAAGCACTGAAGTGCGCGAACCCCATGAAGGGCAGAAAGCCCCTGAGGCGCAGAAAGCTCTTGATGCGCAGAATATTCTTGAAGTGCAGAAAGCCCTTGTAGCGCACAAAGCTCTTGAAGCGCAGAAGGCCATTGAAGCACAGAAAGCCGTTGAAGCGCAGAAAGCTCTTGATGCGCCAAAAGCCCTCGAAGCGCACAAAACTCTTGAAGCGCAGAAAGCCCTCGAAGCGCAGAAAGCCCATGAAGATGCGATAAACAAATCAGTCCCCGGGATTTTTAAGAACGGAGTGGATAGCCCCGAGTTTCGCGTGGCGCGTGCTGAGCACGTTGCCCGTTTGGCTGCGATAGGCCATTTAGAGGGCAAAGAGAAGGCTCACAGGTATTGGGAGACACTTCGTGAAGACGAGCGTAAAGCGCAGGAAGCGCCGGCTGCGCAAGATGCCTCTGCCTCTAAGCCCAACAAGACGCCTGCAAGCCCAGAGCGAGGAAGGAAGAGGAGTCGTGACGGGGATGTTCCGGACTCGGTACGCGAGTCCAAGAGGGTGTGTGATGATGGTGAGGAGGTGCCGAAGACACAGGAACCATCCACGCATACTGTGCCAGAAGCTACAAAATCTTCTGCGGAGCAAAAGCCAGCGCCAGAGACTTCAAAGCCGGCTGAAGAAGTTCCAGCAGCCCAAGAACAAGCTGTGGATGAATATGAGACTGCGAGTGAATGAGTGCGTCCCTGCTGGACAGGCAACAAGGGAGTTGATGGTGGAGGCTGGTGAATTTTGAGGTGTTGCAAAGTCTATATTCACTTTCTTAGGTTATTCACTGTTATGTAGTTTTGACCTTTTGACCTTTTCCTATATCTATCTGCAATGGTTCCTTTCCTTCCTGCTCTCCTGCCTCTCTCCACCATCTTTTCTACCTGTTCTCCATACCGTAACACTTCCATCTCATTGATCTACTTCTGTCTTGCGCGCAGCCAAACTCCCAGTACGTAAGGATAGCCTCTCAGGATGGCATCGCAGCAAAAGGCCGCTGGTCTCCCCTCAAAACCTCCGCAAGGTATTCCACGCCCATTGCGCCCACTGCAACACAAGCTTCCCTCCTCCATTCACCAACGCACCTTTCCACAACTGCAGCGAGTTTCGCATGATCGCGTGGAGCTGGGAAATGGATCGAACGTTCCAAGCACTAGACCTGGCTGCCGCTGCCCTCGCTGCGGTTCGCCGCGGGGTCACCGGCCAGGCTGTGCTGATTTCAACATCGCCAACGAACGCAAAGAACACAAGGTAAGTCGTTCTATCCCTGTATTACCCGGCTAACACATCGCGATACACAGGAACTCGAGCGCAAGAAAGCCATCAAGCAGAACCAGTACGAGGCGTCTCGTGGAGCTGGACTCAACGTGCCAGTGTCTGCTGCTGATGCTCCGTACGGCCTTGCCATCTACCCTCCTGGCTCTGCTCCCCCTCCTCCGTCTGCATGGCCAGCTGCCGTGATCGATCTGACCGATGATACTCCTGCGACTTTTGCCTCGTCCTTCCTGAACACTGAGCCAGCGTTATCCCGAATTCGTCAGAACACATCTGCGGCAGAAGCCCCGTTGTCTGCTACAGTATCCAGCTCAAACGAGAACCATCAGCCGCTGTTCCCGCCTCGCCGTTCAGAGGATGATGCCTCTTCCGCGCCTTATTCTCCCCCTGCGGCTATCCCCCATAGCAGTCCCACCTCCTACCAGCCAACATCGGCTACTTCAGCTGGCACACCTGCGTTGTTCGGACATCGCGACACCTTCCCCTTCACTCTGGCTGCCCGTCATCGTTCACCATTCGACCTGAGCTCCGGACTTCCCTCGCCAGATGACTCTTTTGCATCGTTCACTGAACCCGCTACTTTCGCCGCGGGGAGAGTGTTTCGCCTGGAACCGCGTCGCTTCTCTCAGACCCCGACCCAGCGCCTATCTCTGGTGGATCGACGCCCTGCGCTTGCTCCGTTTGCATCCCAGACCTTCTCCAGACAACATGTCCCAGTCACAATCGGCCCTCGTGCAGAGGCGCCCGCGTCCGGACCTTCTCGCATGCCCACCTCCACTTCCGATCCTCGCCTCAACACAAATGGAAAACGGTCTTTCGGAGACTCCTTCGAAAACGATAGCCTTTTCGTTTCTCCTTCTCCGACGGAGCCTCGTCCTCTCTTCGATCTCCCTCCTACGCCCCCCCGCGCCGGCCCCCCCGGTGCGCTCGAACGTGCGAAAGATACTCCCGATGCAAACGCGAACTCGTACCGACCTTCGCTCTCGCAGCCGACTGGTACTGGAAGACGTGTCTGCCTGTTCACCAACACCTCCGCCAAGCGTACCGGTATGCCCACACCTCCTGCCGCCATGAATACCGCTCCCCCGGCACCCGCCTGGCCTGCGTCGACTTCGGTTTCCACTTCCACTTCCGCAACCAGCTCGGGCATTCCGGCGTTTACATCGGCTGTTCCTGCCTCGTCGCATCCTGCACCCCCTGTCCTTCCCCGCCCTGTACCCGGGTACGTCTGGATCGGAAGCGGCTGGCATGGACCCGTTTGGACGTGTGCCTTGCCTGCTCATATGGGCGGGAATCCGGGCGATATTCGTGCGCGTGCGGATGGAGGGGATCAGATTGCGTCTGCTAAGAAGAAGAGAAAGGGTAGCTTTTTCGAACTTGCTGATGCCACTGATGAGTCTGAGAGTGAAGGGGGGGTGTCATCTGAGGAACCAGTGGCGTCACCTAAGAAGGTAGTTCGCCTCAAACTCAATCCTCGCCCCAGGCCGCCCCGTGAGTCGTTCAGGTGATTGGAGCGGAGGGTTTACCTCGTCTCTAGGTTAGGGTTTGCTTGCTGGAAGTGGACATATCCTGCTACTCTTGTTATCAATTTAGCCTTTCTTTTCCTACGTGGTTATTCATCATGGGATGTCGATGGGGGCAAGCTGGATATGCTAAGCCTTGATTTTGGCATGGACTCCGCATATCTGCCTGGCTAAGCTGTGTTCTGTCTCCTCATATTTCTTTCATATTACTTCAATGGATACTCGTTCTGCATTGGTCGAACAAGCTAACCGGTTGGTTTCGCCATGGCGCACAGCAACTTGCACTTAGATACCTAAAGCCTGTAAAGCAACTCGAATAGATTGTGTAGACCCGACTCAGCTTGCGCGTATCTTTTGTATGAGCCCGGCAAGGTGATTTCTCACTCTACACGTAGAAGCTAGCTCCGTAGCGCAAGGGCCACGTACCGGTACCGTATGCTCTTGGCATCTCAACGCTCACTTCAGGCCCGATGAGAGAGCTCGAGATTCGAGATCCTCAACGTGAGAGAGCGCAGAGCGTGAAAAGGCGTCAATCCTGCAGCTTGGCTTCTCTTGCCGCTGCCTAACCTCAAGAACACAACATCTGTGGCTGCTAGATAGCACGTTAGTCCTCATTGTTAAGTTTGGCCATGAATAAGGACTTGGGAATGCTTAGACCAGGAGTGAGATGGGCGGGGAGTATCCCTATGGTACTTTGAATTGCACCCGGGGCGTCCATCATCTCTCGAAGCCTTGCCTCATGAGCAAAACATGACAAAAAAGATATCAGCCAAGAGGACGTTCGTCTGTGCCAACGCTCTACGATAAGCTACCTGGTCTTGAAGGTCTTTGACTGAGAGACGTTCATGGAGAATCCTCAAGAAAAGGCTGGCAAGAAGAAAGGTTGACCAGAACAGGAGTCGAACCTCCATCTCCCAGCAGCCCCCGGTCCCTGGTGCCCTCACATAAATCGCCCAACACAAATCGGGCCATAAGAGGCTTGATGTGCAGCCCATTGGCTTGCGACATCTCACACAGGTCGTAAGGGGCTGGGCGCTCGACCATTGAGCTACCTGGTCTTGTTGCAGGGTTTTATTCCAATTGAGCTATGTACACGTCAGTGGATTGATCTAGGATAGCGCTGGTGTTGTCTCGTAGGTACAGTGGTACGGATATACCTGGGTATGGGCAGACCTGGCCAACTCAGAATCAATTACGTTGGCGGAAGACTCATCTGGCAAAGTTGAGGCAATAATAGACTGAGTTGAAGCGTTTGGCGGGGGCTACATCGCTGGTGTTTGCCTTTCTCTCTGGCGTTTGCTCAGATCTCGAGGGCATCCTCATCTCTCCCCGGCAACACTCATCTCCCCCCGGCAACACTCATCTCCCCCCGGCAACACTCATCTCCCCCAAATTCAGTCTCTCTCACATCCCTCTCGCCTACAACACCGCATTAGAACCTGTGAGTAGCTCACTCTTCTGTCCCTCCCACTCACATATCCGATATCCGCTATCTGCATTCGGTCCTCCAACCTTCAGCCTTCGAGCTTCCCACATTCTTCCAGCGTAGAGCCATGCTAATGCTAACACAACTCGAGCCAGGGCATCTTCCAAGGTGAAAACATCTTCAAACATTCTGACGCCACATCGTCACCACCACACACCAAACCATGCCTCGAAAACAAAAACGAGCCAGCGTTGTATGCGCCGCCTGCGGAGGGAAAGGCCATTTCGCGCGCGAATGCCCTTCCCGTTCAGGCGTGAAGAAGCAGGAGACCACCCACCTGAACACGCCTCGCAACACAAACCCACATGTCAATATCTGCGGTGTCTGCTGGGGAGGAGGTCACTTCGCGCCTGATTGCCCTTCCCGTTCAGGCGTGGGGGAGCATGAGCGTAAGGCTGATTGTTACCGTCCTGCTCAAGCACCGCCACCACCACCACCTCCTCCTCCCCCTCGCGCACTTCCTCGCAACTCCGTGCTTACCCCATCTGGGAACCTGGCGCCTTTAACTGGCGTTCGTATGGATCCCCATGAGTTTACTGGCGTAACTCGGGATTCTCAAAAGCCTCTCCCAGGTGGTGGTACTTGGAAGCCTGCGTTCAGATCAACCCGCGTTTTACAGAACCGTCCCTTGAACAATGTTCCAGGACAATTTGATAACCGGCCAAAACCGCTCACACATCCTGATTGTCTCGCCCTGATGTCTTCTCGGGAGTCGGCTACGCCCCCCTCGCACAATCATCATCCCGAGTTATCAGAGCAGACTCCATGCATCCCTGAACAACGTTCTTCGTCCCCCGTCGACCTCATCGACCTTTTCACGCCCCCACGCCAGGGATTGACGCGCAATTCGCACCCTCCGCCCTCGAACCTATCTGGTTCCGCCTTGGAATTCGAATCTCCTACTAATCTGATGGGCGAGCTAGAAAGGGCCTTTGGCCTCCTTTCCCTGTCGCGATGTCGGGGTACAGACTGACTGGTAGGAGGTGGACGTGGAGTACGAGCCCGAGGTCTCTGCTTGAAGTGGTTGCGAGTCGATATCTGTTCTCGGGTCAAGGTATGAGTTCTGAATGTCAGAGAGGAACTCTCTGGTTCTCAGATACTAAGCTCTTTGCGTTCGTTCGGCGTTCGACCTCTTCAAGATATGTCCCTCTAGCGTTGCCATGTTTGAATCTTGCCATTGTCTGTGGCTTTTTATCATGTCATGATGTACGAGTACGTTTATTTTGATGCTAAGAGCAATCTAGTCCGTTCTTTTCGCTCATTTCCAACCATTCCTTTGCCTTGCATTGCGAGTTTCTTCGGGAGAAGTGATATAGCTGGATAATTGTTCGTATATTTACCTAAACCATCCCAAGCAGCTTGAAAGACCTCATGACAGCACTAACATCCCGTCGTCGCTGGTGAAGCCATCTCACTTAGCTGGAGTTATATAACCTGTTATAAATGTTCTTTGAGCATATCGATATATCTGAACAGCATTACACCAATGTATCTAACCAGACAACCAACAAAACCCTACAGGATTCCATCTACGACAAAAACCCAAAGTACTCCTCAACCCACCGTCCCGCCTCCGCACCCTGGCTAACATCCCAGCTCCCAAGGGCCCCAATATACCCATCCGGCCGGACAAGCACAATGCCCGCCTGACTCTCCGATAACGTACCACTGCCAGTCCACTTGTCAATGCACCCATCCACATCATCGAGATAGATCGTCCATTGGCTCTTCCGCAGCGCAGGCGGCAGATCCGCTAGTTCGAAAACCTCTCTCTTCGACGCCGTGATGAGCGATAGGGTCAGGATATCTGAGACAGCTGTATACCGCTCCGGAACCTGGTAGGCATCGCGCGCAGCCCATCCTCTTGAGCGAGTGGTATACGAGGACCGAGCTTTCTGTGAAACAGTCGAGAGGACGGACGACGGCTTGGCGATCGTCTCGCAGACGGAATCAAGGAACCCCGTCCCCCTTGCGGCCTCGATATCCGGGATCAGGAAATACAGCTTGAATTGGCCTAACAGCGGGATATCGAGCTGGATGTCCACCGGGTTGACGTCGATATACCGCCTTGCTTTTGCCGGGATCATGAGTGCGCCTGGCCGGAGTCGTAGCCCAGCGCCGCTCTTCTCATCCAACCCCATCGTCAGAATCCCTTCCTTATATTCAGCCCCAACACCCGAAATAAACCGAATATTGTCGTCGAAGTTCTTGGCCAGAGCCGCCTCCCCGGCTTCAAAAGCAGCGCAGTGCTCGGCGTCAAAGGCGATTAGGTCGTTTGCGATCTTCCGCCGCTCGGACTCGTATGTTGAGAGCAGCGATGCGGATGCGAGGCCCCGCGCCACGAGGTTCAGTTTCCAGGCCAGGTTGAACGAGTCGTGCATGCTTGTGTTTGCGCCTTGCGCGGCGAGCGCGGAGTGGCAGTGGCCGGCCTGGCGAGTTTGTTAGTAAGATACCGGGGGTGTGATGGGGGAGAGGAGATGTACATCGCCAGCGATGAAGATCTGGTTGTTCGCGTCCGAGAAGTGTCTAGCGACGCGCTGGCCGACGACGTAGTTTCCGAACCACTCTATGACGCCCGTTAGCTTCAATGTTCACTTTCATTTTGGAATCAGAAGACGGGTGTAGAGGCGTCTGGCGTACCGATTGACTTCCACTCCAAGTTAAACGGCTTCATCGCTTCCTTCGCCCTGTTCATAACGTATTCCGGCGTCGCCTTGGCCTTGTCGACGCGCTCGCCTGCCGTTGCACTAAGCTCGACGTATAACCTCGTCATGCCTCGCTCGCGCGGAATCCATAGAATCGAGCCAACTGTATGTGAGCGGACGGCGACCTTGCTCCAGAGGTCGGGGAAGTCTGTTTCAATTACGCCTGTCAAGGACCCCATTAGTAGCCGTCATCCACAGAGAGGTTAGAAGGAGATGTATACCGTCAAGAACGCCCCAACTCGCATTGCTCATCTCCCCCTCAAGCTGTGCGTCGGGGATAAACTCCCTAACTTTCGATCGTGCCCCGTCACATCCAACCAGGTAATCTGCCTGTATAACCTTCTTCGTCCCCGTACTCCGGTCCTCGTATATAACGTCTAACTTCCCCTCCGGCGTCCGCTCGCACGACACAAACGGACTATTCCGCGTCACGGACACCCCCCGCTCCGCCAAATCGTCAATCAGCACGTCCTCCAGCATCCCCTGATGCGCGAGGAGGATATACGGATCCGATGCGCCGACAAGGTGATCTGGGTAGTGGATCTGCCGGCCTTTTCGGGATAGAGGGTGCGAGTCCGTTGAGTCCTAGACGCCGCTGTCAACACTACCATACATTATACTCATCTTAACCAAGAATATGAGGGGTGAAGAGGCCCGCACCCAGAACGAAATATCGTAAACCCGCGCCCCATTCGCAATCAAGCTATCCGCCAGCCGCAGCTGCTTCAGCGTCTCGATGGTCTTCGGCTGGATCCCGTCTGCTTTTCCGGTCGTGGTCCTGTCGGCCCGGTCGTCGAGGAGGACGATGGGGATGCCGAAGCGCGTGAGGTTTACTCTGCATACCATACCTGTCAATACGCGACTATAGGATAATTGAAGGGTGGCTCACGCAAGCATCAAGCCCGACGGGCCCGCGCCGACAATGACGACAGTTGTTTCGCCGGCGGGAAGGGCATCGGTATCGGTATTGCAGGTGCCGTTTGCGTAGCCTTGGTCGTGGTCTGCGCTTGGGGCCATGGTGTCGATACTCTTCCTAGGACTTGCGGCTGAGCTGGCGAGATCGGCCTGGGAGGCTGTGCGCTTCATGACTGTTATACTTTTGGCATTGACGATTCTGCGGCGATTGCATGTCGGCGATTGTCCAACAGTGGGAGGTGGGAGGGAAGCTCCAGCGGATTTGGAGTTGGTTGGACTTGGAGACGATTGGGGTCGCGGGTGGAATTCCGAACCCCCACCTCTGATAACAACACCTATCCCCTCACTTCCTGCATGATACGAGCTTTGTGCGACTTTGGGAGAGGAGTAAGGCTCGTAATTTATGATAGAGACTAGATGAAGACCGTAGATCGTACGATGAATCGGTATGGCAGTTAAGTTAATCAAACTTAGATCAATTGACACTATGAGATCCTAGTAACTCCCCCATCAACCACAACATCCTGCCCAGTCATGTACGAGCTGGCATCGCTGGCCAAAAACACACAAGCGCCCATGATATCCTCCGGCTCCGCGATCCTCTTATTGATCGTCTCCGTCTTCCACCCCTCAACCAGATGCGAAAATGCCGCCGTCATCTCCGTATTCACATACCCCGGGCTGATCGAATTGACCCTGATCCCATACTCCGTCAACTCCTTCGCGATGGCCGGACACATCGCGCGCACCGCGCCCTTTGTACCACAGTATGCTGAACAATTCTGATCGCGAACCGCGACGTAGCTGGCCATGCTGGCGACGAGGATAATGCTGCCGTGGCGTGTGCCGTTGGCGATCATCTGCTTTGCTGCGTATTGCGCGGTGAAGTACAGGCCCAACACGTTGATCGACAGCAGATCGTGGTGTTCGTCGTAGGTGAAGTCAAGGAAGCGAGTGTGGCGATTTATCCCTGCGCAGGGGACGCAAATGTCGAGTTTGTTGTCGAAGTCTTTTTGGAATTGCGCGAAGCCGGCTTTCAGGGAATCTTGCGAGGAGACGTCGACCCTGTCGTAGAAACCATTAGTGAGGCCGGATGGTACCTGTAAGGATCATACTTGTAGTAGGCCGTCCGGACATTGCACTCCTTCTCGATTGCGCTGAAGTCAGGCGATTGCTCGATAACGTCGAAGACGGCGACATCTGCACCAGCTTCAGCCAGCCCCCGCGCAAAAGCAAGTCCGCATCCTCGCCCGCCACCGGTAACAAGCGCTGTCCGACCTTTCAAGGAGAACTGTCCGATCAGCAATGTCAGCAGTAAGGACAATCGAACCTACCCGATCCATGATGTGGAATGATGTCGGACTTGCTACCCTCGGTCGGCGTCCCATTTATGTGTTGATAACATCCCCCACTCTTGCACTTTGCTCGTTGGAGTAGAATACACACCGATAGCGATAAATAGAATAACGCATCGCGATACATGCTTGTCCCGGTCAAAGAATCAAGAACAATGTCCATTCCAATCGCAGAGAAGCAGTTTCGGCACGAGTCGGGGAAGCTGGAGGTGAGTCGTCGCGACGACAGGAGAACACCCCACTAACAACCCAGATCGTTGTCGTCGGCGCTGGTCTAGCAGGTGTCGGCGCAACGATAGCATGTCTTCTCGCCGGCCACAATGTCCACCTTCTCGAATCGGCGAAAGAAATCGGAGAGATTGGTGCCGGTATCCAAGTCCTTCCTAATTCCTCGCGCGTCCTGCAGCACTGGGGACTCGAGGCGGCGTTGATGGAGCATGCGACGGTCCCGAAATTCTGCAACTTCCTCGGATGGAAGGGGAATCTCATTTCGTCGCTGGACTTCAAGGCTTCCGAGGCGCAATATCCGGGGACGTGGTATCGGGATTTCCATCGCGCAGACCTGCACCGGTGTTTAGTCGCTAGGGCTGTTGAACTAGGGGCGAGGTTATCGTGTAACACGCGGGTGGTGGATGTTATTCCTAGTGAGGATGGGACGACATCGACCGCTATTACCGCGGACGGAAGAGAGTTCGCGGGTGATCTGGTAGTTGGGTGCGACGGGGTGTTCAGCAAACTCACCGAGTCATTACTGCAAAGACCAGAGCCGCCCTTGAAGACGGGCGACCTTGCATACAGATTGTTGTTGGACACCGAGGAGATGCTCAAAGACCCAGACTTGCGGTCATTCGTCACAGATCCTCAAGTCAACTACTGGCTCGGCCCAGACAAGCACGCAGTCAATTATGTTTTGCGAGGTGGAAAGCTGTTCAACATGGTCTTGCTCGTTCCCGACGATATTCCTGAAGATTCATTGGCGACCACGGTGGAAGGGAATGTGGAGGAGATGTGCTCCTTGTTCGAGGGCTGGGATCCGAAGTATGTTTGTCACTGAGTGAGGAGACTCGGCTAACAAAAGCAGGATCGAAAAGCTCTTGAAGCTCTGTCAGTCCGTTCAAAAGTGGCAGCTGTGTATTCGCCTAGGAGAGCACGAGTGGACACACCCATCCGGGTCATGGGTCAACATCGGAGATGCCGTACACGCGACATTGCCTTACCTAGCATCTGGGTATGTCATCCTTGCTCGTGAGGCTCTCCACTAACAAGTACAGCGCTGGCATGGCCTTCGAAGACGGCGCAGTCCTCGGCGAGGTCCTTTCCCGCCTCCCCAACGACCCATCCATCAGCAAGACTTCGCCCGAGTACCTCGCCCAGAAACGCCACGCTCTCGCCGTATTCGAGAAATGCCGCAAGGAGCGCACGCAGATGGTTGTGAAGCGAGGGAACACCCAGCAGTACTTGTACCATCTGTACGACGGGCCTGAGCAGGAAGAGCGGGATCGAAAGATGCAAATGGTGCCGACGCCGGAGGGAGAGTGCTTGGCTTGGAGGGATCCGGGGCTCGCACCGAAGTTGCTTGGCTATGATCATGTCGCAGATGTGAGTTATAAAGCGATTCAAGGAGGAGAGATTTGTACTGACAAACGCAGGTCAATCGGAGCTGGAATACCCTCTCGGAGGCAGCAGTCGTGTCTGAGGAACAGGTAGCGTCGCGTTTATGAGGAATTTAATACTTTGAGAGCATTAGTAACCTTAGCCAGGTGTGGATGCAATGTAAATAGATGGGAAGGTCAATGATCTGAAGTGTTTGAGGCCTGATCTCCGTTGGGTGTTTGTAGCGTGTTTGTAGAGTTCCTCCCGGCCCTTCTTCCCTTCTTCCCTTCTTCCCTGACCAGCACAACCTTCTTAGTCCACCTAACCTGCTTGAGTCAGCTTCTCCTACCATGTCTTATCCTCTTTGGCAACAATGGACCAGTCGAGCAATTAAACTTCGTTATCACATATCAAAGATACTTACTACCGAGAAGCAGGCGTGAGCCAACGGGTTTACTGAACTCGTGTCCTAGTCCTCGCGCCCATTGCTACGGTGGCCTACGAAGCCGACTCAGGATTGCTAAGCAAAGCCCTTTTCCTGGCGGAGCTGCTTGACTCATACCTATACAGGGGCACAAACCCAGTTTGCTTGGTATGTAGCTTCATGTCAAGGATGGCTCGGCTGACAATATCTGAACAACAGACTAACAAGAGCGTCGCCATCAGCCAACTGTTTGTTGCATTATGCAAGCGGCCCGTTCTCATTATATATAAATCGCATAAGTCACAGTAGCTCAACAGTAATCCCGCTAAGGTATAACACCACTAACAGAAGACCCAGACCACCCGGCATAGCCGGGCCACATCAGATGCATAGATCACGTCCTACTCTGCCCTTCCCCTTCCAGCTCATGCACCATCCTATTATCCAGCTCCTGTATCGTCGCCGGTTGCTGCGCGCCCAGCACACCAAGCCCATACATCTGGCCAGCCGGCTGCTGATGATACGCGCCATCGCCAAACCCGCTTTCCGACGGCAAGTGCGGCGAGAGCGAGGGGAGGCTGAAGCCCGTTGACGAGCCGGAGGGCTGCTTTGCGTGTGCTGCCGTTGTGGGACTGGAGAAGTGCGAGTCTAGCAGAGAGGTTAGCTTGCGATTTGTCCAGAGAGAATGGAATGGAAGGGATGGAAGGGGAATGGAAGGTTTCGCGAGCCTTGATAGGGCGACGACGGATACGAATGCTGATACCCGCCATCTGACGGCGTCTGCCCGTGGGGATCCCCAGGCGTTCTGTTCTTTCTCCTTCTCCTCCTCCGCATGCAAAGCCACCCCAGCGCAAGAACAATTCCCAGAGCAGCAACAGCCCCAATCACAATCCCCGCTATCGCGCCGCCCGATAACTCATCCGAGCCCGCAGCCTCATCCCTAAACAACTCATACTGATTCTTATTACCCCCGGCGTCACTCCACGCAGCCTGCACCAGATCCTCGGCCGAGCAGTTTCCCTCAGCGCACGGGTTCTTGAGACAGCAGCCGAGGAACGGCGGGGTCGTGAAGTTGCATGTGTACCAGTGAGCGTTTTCCGCGCCGATGCAAGTGTTGGGCAGGAAGCTGTCGAAGATCGCGGGGTTGAAGGAGGCCGGGTATGTGCCGTTCTCCGGGCACGGCGAGGTGCTCCGGGGCGAGATGCCTGTGCAAGGGTCCGACGAGCAGCAGCCGACGAAGTAGGGCTGGTCCGGGCAGGCGTACCAGGTGCCGCCGGCGGGGCAGTGGAAGTTGCAGGAGGGGGAGGAGGAGTCGGGGCAGGTAGGCATATGTGATGATGGGCTGGGTAGAGAAAGAGAATAGTTGACTGGTGATTCGGAGTGCGTTGTTTGGTGACTGTGTTGACTGTGTTTCAACTTTTCGAAATCCGAAGCGTGGTCTGGGCTGGCTGTCGTAATGAGGGGAAGAATTCAGCTTGACGAGGCTGATGCTGTGAGAGGCGCATCGCTCGAGGCCGTGATAGGCAGGTTCAGGCAGGGATCTAGGAAAAAGCAAGCAGGATGATGCGGCTGACGGACAGTTTGACAGCTCAGGTCTTGTCGGTCCCAGAGGTCTGAGCTTGAGGGCCGAGCTGAATTCAAAGCCCTGTAGACGAAACTATCTTGGTCCTCGAGGTACTGCCGATTCTCCCATCCATGTCTTCGCTTGTCCGGCCTGTGATCTATCTCATGTTCCTCGGTTTTCTGAACCACTTCTGCATGGATTCGCATTCGGACGAAGGAGAGTGAGACGGAGGCTTGGCTGGTATCACCTACTGCGCACCCAACCGGGATTCAATAGAGAGACGGACTAACGAGGCCAAGGTGCATCCTGGCAGCCGGACCATGCTCGATTTCAGGCAGCGACAACTAGCACGGGAAGTCTGCATAAGCTGATGTCATTAGCTAGGCAGGATCATCAGGGTTCTCAGTTCTGGAAAAATATTGCTTTTTCTGGGACAAAGCGAAAGACCAGATGGGAGCTTTGCTTATACGCAGGCCACAGGGATGAAGTTCTAGAAGACGATCGTATTGTTCCCCCATCGGGCATTATATAGTAGATAGTCATGTGCACCGATGATAGAAGCTCTGCGGTTGCGGATGCGGGGAAAGAGAAAATCATGGACAACAAACGGGTTAAAGCATACCAGCAAGGCTCTCCCCCTCAACCTCCGCTCAGTTTACCAGTCCCTGACCTTGTGAATGACCTCCTTCGCGCCGATTCTCTTCATTTAAGATATGTTATGGCCCCAAATTGATTGATACGTTTAGTGAAAGACACTCAACGTGTCTTATACACTCTCAACGTGTCTTATACACTCACTTCGACTACTCCTCCGTCCCAAAGCTCGCGAACCACGGCTGATACCCCTCTGCCATGACCAACTCCTGCAACGCCCGCTTGCGCATACCCACGTTACCGCCATCGAAAATAGGCAACACGAGCGCCGTGGACAGCAGATCCGCAAACGGAAGTTCCGAATTATAGGATGATCTACGAGCAATTATCAGCACTGCGAGGTACATAACGGGATCGGATAATGTTAGGAGGGGACATACACCCCAACGGCATTTATCGCATCAAGGCAAGACTGCACCGCTGCCTCAGCGCAGTGGACCTTTGCTAGGAGTGCGTGTTCCCGCCGCTGGGCATGTTCGCCGGGTCCTGAGGTGAGACAGTGCGCTGCCTTCCAGGTGAGGAAGCGCGAGGTCTCAGTGCGCGTCTTGATGTTGATCAGCAAATCACCGACCGACTGGCGTTGGCCGATGGGAACTGTGCCCCCTCGCGTGTCGCGGGAGAATGCCAGTGCCGCATCGAAGACTGCCCGTTGGATTCCCACGCCCATTGCGCCGACAAGCATGGCTGTTTAATGGTTAGATGGTCATCACTTAAAGGGCGGTACGCACCGGATGTCTCAAATGTCTGCGTGATGATCTCTGCACCAGTACCAGGCGCACAGAGGACGTTCTTCGCTGGGACACGAATATTGGTGTACTGGCAAAGTAAGTATTAGCCAGTATTGGGCTATTACGTTTCGGTGCGAATACCTTGACATGTGGCCCAGAAACCGCCTTATGTCCAGCCGTCTCAACATCTTTCACAATTCGAAAGCTGTCCGGCCCGCTCCGCTCAATGTCTTCGCGAGTCACCAGCAGCACCATGATGAGATCGCGGGGATGCGATGCCCGCTTTACAACATCGTCGTCAATGCATCGGCATACAACGCAGCTCAAGTCCGCGCCCTTATAGTCCCAGCCCGCGGAACTAGTCGCCCACATCTAATGACGCCAATTAGTCTCGCTCATCACCGCGCATTACATCCGGAAGCGTACTTTCTCCCCGTTGAGCACCCACTCATTCCCATCGCGGTACGCAGTCGTCTGCAATCCCGGCGCCCCAGGTTCAAGCCAATTCGCCTAAGCCTCGTCAACGCCACTCAACCATCTGAAAAAGAGAAACAAACATACCACGCCGCCAGGCTCAGAGAAAACCAACGACGCCAACGGCGCCCCAGTCCCGCACAGAAACGGGTCCAAGAACTCCTTCAAATCCGGCCGATACGCCAGCGCCAACGGCGTCAATCCCAACCCCGTCCCGAAGATCGTCAATGATGCCGACGCCTCGACCGCATAGAACTCTTCAACTAGAATCGCCGCTTCAACTAGGCTCTGGCTACTTCCGCCTATCGGGGCGGGTATCTGCCCTCTGATAAAGCCCGCTTTGACTGCGGCCTCATAGATGGGTTTCAGCGATCGGAAACGCTCCTCTTGGTTTGGGAGGTTGGAGTAGATTTCCTTCGCGGGGGCAAGATGAGTGGCTGCGAAAGCGTGCGCCGCAGCGCGGGACTGCTGTTCTGATTCCGAGAGCGTGAAGTCGACCATTTTGGTTCATTTAGGTTTGAAATGAAGCCGGGCTAAGTGCGGGGAAGACGCTCTGTATATGACTTCTAGACCCAGGCCAGGCCACCTGCCAAGTGACACATGGTTAGCTGATGCATCCATTACTCCAACCTCGTCCACCAATTATATTCTAGATAGGAGCCCAGCGAGTAGTCTCTCAAGTTACTGCGCAGAGAGTAAGCTTACTAGCTGTACAGTAACATCTTTCAGAAAATCATAGGTATGTGCTACCGCATCTTGCCCCTTGGTAGGTGCCGGAAGACGCGATGTAGTAGCCAGATCTCGATCTCAATCTTGGACCTTAGCGACTAGCAGCTACTGGTAGTAGCACGGAGTAAATGCCCCAATAAATCTGCGTTTCTACATGCACCGAAAGTCAAGAAGCATCCAGGGGCACATACAAATGTCATCAAATAAAGTCCTTCATATCTCATAAATGCGGAAGTGAGAGGTTTATTGAACTTAGAAATTGGACATGGAGGCAGACACACTGAGACTATTCTTAGCCTGGCAACACTCGAACGTAGGAACCTCGCTATGTAAGGTTCAAAGCATCCAGTACTAGGGTGCCTTGAGGTTGCTCTGAGCAAAGAGGCTTGCGCCCATTGCGTAACGTTTGTTGTCTGGATAGAATCTATCAGCTTAGCGATTCGAGATGACCCGTCGGAGTCGGAGTAAGGGCACATCAGACGTACGGAAAGAGTCTTGGCGGGATAGAGCTAGAGGCATATCCGAATTGGGCATTCGCACTATTCTATCTGTCTCATAGCATTGTTGCCAGTGGGATGCGGGAGCGGTGCTGATTTCGCCAACAGGCGAATGTGATGGCGGTTTATGAAGCTCAGGACGAGAGATCGCTTTTAAGGAAGCGCTCAGTGCGCGCGGTGGGACAGAGTGACTGGCGTTCATGGCTCGTCCTGGCCAGGGTCGAGCATCATGTCATTCTGCCCGGAGAGCAAAGAAAACAGCAAAAGCCTAGCCTGCAAGCGCGCGCCGTGGGAGGTCATCGATCGAAAAGCTTTGAGCGCTTCGACAGCCTGCATAATAGGCCATATTTCGTTCTCCACATTCAACCCATATAGCATCTCCAGCAAGTCCGTGACGGCTTTGATAACAATCCACAGAAAGCCTTGTTGCGTAAGCAGGGGATGCCCAGTATGCGGATCAAAGGCCGTGCTAGCGTCGAATATTACTGCCATCCGCGAGACGAAAAGCTGGGCATTGTAGATAGATTCGCTGGTGCGCCAGAGGGTTAGAACTATCAGAAATAGGGCAAGGAATGAGGCAGCTTCATCCATGAAGCGTGCTAGTTCACGCTCATTCGGGCTCAGATAAGAGCCGAACTTCCTCACAAGTAACCCTGGCACCATCAAATTCAGCCGGAATAGGTCGACTTCCGCGAGTACGACGTCCGAGAACGGCGAGAAGCCTCTGTGGCGCATTTTCGTCGCGATGAATGACATGAACTCCTGTATTTGCTGCGCATCGCTCGAACCACCGTTTGGCGACGGATCACAGACCAAATACGGCATAATATGAGCCATTCGCAGCGCGGGAAGTATGGACGTTATAAGACTTGCTCTCAGCCCTCCTCTAGCCCGAACGGCTGCCTCGTATCCGTTCAAATGGGCGTGGCATGCGGTAGCAGCGGATAAACGTGCTTCGGTGATCGCCGCCATAATAATACCTCCCAGGGTTGGATCGTCGACCCTCCCTCTGCCATCTTGTATCTGTCCATTCAAGAGGCGATACGCTTGACGTTTGCGCCAAGCTACTTGATTGTTATCGCCGTTATTCGCGAAGATTCCATCCGCCGCAATGAGCATCCACCACATCGTCAGGCTGGAGCCAAGCGAGATCGGAAAACTGACATCGCGCACCGCGCTGAATACCGTGTCGGTTCGTGTTCCGTATACTCGGGCTGGGACCTGGAGAAGATCTGTCGCCGTCAGTACATCAGATGTGCCGCCACTTGCGCCCTGCGACTCACAGCAGTGTAGTAACGAACGGTCTTCTGGTGTAAGGTGACAGGGTAGCTCGCAAAATGGGTCTAGCGATGTTGCGATTTCGCGGATACCGGGGTGAAGGAGTCGCTGGAGTGCCAGTTCTGCATCATGGGTTGCGCTTCGAGGATCTCTTTGGAAATTCGCGGTTTCTTGCTGGACTTCGTTGTGGTCGCCGTCTCGAGCCTTCGGAATCTGATCCGGCGTGCAAGACCGTTAGGTTAGCATAAGACAAACGTCGTGCTCTGGCGCGAGAGCGTTGTGCGGCAAACCTTTGACTGTTTCGACGGGGCTGTGCCGACTCGCCAGGTCAAGACTGGAGGTTTGCGGCGCGTGGGTTTGCGATGCTGCTTCCCAGACACCATATCTCCACGCTACCTATCCATGCGGATGAGTCGCCGTGCGGAGCCTCGTTGAGACGTTGACACCGATGTCGCTGTCAGGCTGACCCCTCCTGGCATTGATCGGTCTACCGGTGGCTTGACGCTGCAGGGATTACCTAGTCTACCTAAGCGAACTGTGGCTGGGCAATCGCACTGTTTTTTGACGCCGGAAAAATGCAAATCACGAAGAACAAGCCGAGGAACGAAGCAAGTTTCTCACAACATGTGAATCTGTTTATCCAGTTATAGAACAATCAGTGTCTCGATATAATCAACATCATCGTTAAGGCGGATCTCTCATACCTCTGGCTTTTTTCAGAGCTGAGTTTCGTGGGAAAAGTAACCGTCCAGGCACGATGCCTTTTGCGGGGCCGTGGCTTTTCAGCCCATCGTCACGGCTATGGTCCCCAACACCTCAGCAGAAATCTCAACCCATGCTGGTCGACTTGAGCTCGGTGTCTTGCGGGGTGGTCGTAGATGCTGGGCTAATGACCTAGGCCGGGCATGGTTCTAGAATTGTCTTCGACCGTATCTACCTCCGCGCATTCCTTTGTTCTCCGCGGGCATCTCGTCATCGATTTCTCGCAGCATCGGAGACAAGATCGAACATGGCGTTGAATGATAACTGATATTGATAGGCACTGAGATGTATTAGCAGTGATCCGGCTCCGGAGTACTTTGGCTGCAGGAGATGAGTGTCTGGATGGCTGGAAAACATCAGTATAGGGACGCATACCTGGTAGCATCGACGGAGCTTGCTTGTCATCTCATTTGCCTCGAGCTATCGTGGAGCTGGTAAGTGATACTGTAGGATCAGTACTCGAAGTAGAATTTCGACGAAATCTCTGAGACGGTCAATTGATTCGCGGAAGAATTGTCGCATATCCCCATGCCATCCAGGACATCCTTATATACCCTGAGCTTCAGAGGAGGAAATATATAAGCTTCCAGCCTACCACAACAAAAATGCGGTAAGGCTGGCGATCTCGATGCCAATTCACAAAGGCCCGTCAGTGCAGACGCCACAAAATCCTGTTTCGGGTATAGTCGGTCTCAATTGTAAGAATGTCCTTGGGCAGCGCGAGACTGTCGTCGCAGATTGGACTCTCATCTTCGAGTGGTTTCAGACTCAGACAGTCACACATTTGAGGGGAATGTCGAAGAAAGAGGGTAAACGTGGATCCAGCGAGGGGGGCTAGCGGAGGTCTCGGAGATATATATTAGAGGATTAGAGGATTAGTGATACTCCAAGAAACATCATACGATCCTGAAACTTTGAGTCGCTGAAGCAATTCATGATCGGACTGAAGCGGAAATGAAGCTGGCGGAGAGGAGGTTGAGGTAGTTGGAGAGCAGAGGTGTCCATCCAATTCTTGGAGATCGCTCCTTCCGTAGGTAAACAAAACGGTAGTCCGAGATGAAGTTTGTCATTTATGAAGCTACTGGGCAGCAAAGCTGTCTTTTGGCATGGTCAGCTTCCTGTTTACACACAGCTTCTTTTTCTGATTATAGAGGTTTGAAGTATTTTTCTCATTTCGTCTTCCCTTTGTAGTCCTCCTGAAATGCACCTAAGAAGGATTGTTGCTTCATCGACTTCTGAAACATTGACGCCAACGTGGACTAACAAGAATGTGCATCGCTTCGCAAAATTATGTGGGGTATTAATCATATCAGAAATTATCTCATAGCACACATGCCAAGGGTAACAAAACATCATAGCATCATAGTTTCAATCATTCAATGTCATCGTCATCAGTATCAGTCACCCAAGACTCATCATCACTGTCACTCTCAGCCGCCGCATGCTGAAGCATCGCCGCAAAACCCGGGTCGTCCATCGCCTGCTGCATCATCATCATCTGTAGCATCCCCGGCATCCCCGGTCCACCAGGAAACCCGGGGAGGTCATCGTCATCACCATCATCGTCGTCATCATCATCCGGGCGTCCGCGTGGTGGAGTCAAATCGTACGGGCAGATCTGAAAATCGACCTTCGTCCCGCTAAACCAGCCCTGCAGTTCCTGGATACAGTCCGAGGGAGTTTTACCTTGCGGAATAATCTGACCGGCAAGCTTGACTGGGCGTGAAACATCTATGGCGAGGACGAGGAACTTGGTGAGATTCGGGTAGAGTCCTTTCTTCACGTCTTTCACGATGTTGGACAGCATCTCGCGGATGGAGGAGTTGCAGTCTGTTATGTGGAGGAGTTGGATGGAGGATGGGAAACGCGGGTGCGGCGGGAGAGTTGCGTACGGGACGATGACTGTTTCTAGGACGGGAAAGTCATCGAGAGAGGGGAGTTTGGGTGTGCTTGCGCAGTACTCGGCGTAGGCTTGGCCGTCAATGAGCCATGGCTCGCGGAAGAACTCCACGTGGAGGTGCTCGAGTGTGGCTTTGTGTGGAAGAAGGGCCGCGTGGGCATCGGCGGCATGGAACTCCTTCTCGTTGCCGTATCGGATATGGGAGTCGCCGTTGGGCATGGCAGAGAAGCCCTGGTATGTCAATGCCTTGACTTTCTTGCAAGCTTGGATAAGTTTCTTGAGGGAGATGGCATCAATGAAGCAATCCTTGAAGGCCAGCTCCTCCGCAGCAAGGGTCCCAGGTGCCCAGCTTGAGGGGTATTTAGAGCGCACGAGTTCGCCATCCACGAATGTGGATGCTTTGAGATTAGGGAGAGTGAGAAATTTTTCGTAGATCGCGATGTTGTACCCGGGGAATACAGAATCGCAGGCAATCCATATTTGGTAGAGGCTGGATAGGTACGACGGGTGCTTTTTCCAGAGCGCAAGGAACGGCTGCACGAAGACCTGGCCGTGTGCCACACGCAGTACGCGGATATTCGGTGTTTTGAAAGTCAGCAGCACCACGAACACGGAGAGGTCCTGCGTTTCCACCGCGCGAATCCAACGTTCTTCCTCCTCGTGTGGCAATTCCAATTCTCGAACGACATTCGCAAAGAGCTTTAGGTCATCGCTGGGAAGTTTCGGGGGGTTCTCGCCGGGCAGACCATATAAAGACAGCGTGACAGTAACAAACTTGACGAGTTCTCCCAGCGTGGGGCGACGATAGACAGCTTTGGTGAGCGAGATTAGCGATTTGAGGTCGTCAATATTGTCGCCATCAATGTAGCGGAACAGAAGCGGCTGGGCGAGGTCCCTGAACCGCTGGCAGACGAGGCACAGATTGTATAGTTCAGTGGTGGTGTTGCAGCTCCGGTCGCGTTCAATCGTGTCACTGTCCGGTTCGGCGAGGAATTCGAAGATTCGGTTCAGAAGCTCGGTGGGGAGGTCCTGGATGTGGGACATGACGGTGTGATATTGAACTCACGCAAGGGCAGGGATCTCGAACCTGGACGCTGAAGGAATGGGACCCGGACGGGGAGCTCCGAGTGGGGTGTCCGGGGAAACTGTCAACAGCAATCAGAATCCTGATCTTCGATCCGATCGTGGAGTCGTAGACGCGACGCGTCCAGCTCCGAATCGGGTAATAGGGCAAGGAAGCTAGGGCAAGGCATGTGCATGACGTCACCAGCTCTCCCCTCTTCTTCCAGGTTTCACAAGCTCAACTTCTTTCTTTCAAACACTCTTAAACTTCTCCCACATCTAATTCTCTTCAAAGAAGCTACTATCCACAATGCCAGACATGTACCCCTCCGCCCGCAAGCGTCGCACCGACGAGCTTGCCAGACTAGCCGACTACCACATCCAGCACGACCTCTCAGCCTCCGACCGCGACGCCTTGAAGTCCGCAGCGAAGACCGTCTCCGTATGGACGACCGTCGGATCAGCGATTGGAATCGGCCTCGGACTCTACGCTGCGTTCCGCCTGCGAAGCTCAAGAAAGGCATTCTTCGATGTCTTCCGCGCCGCGGAGAAGCCCACCCAGATCGTTTTTGCGAATGGAAGGACTGGTGCGTCCTCTTGATCCGTTACTGGCATTTAACTCATAATATATTTGAACAGAGGCACTTCCCGATATTACACCCCTTCTCAGGCCGACGACGCTGGGTGATTTCGTCACCTACTTCTTTGCGTCCGCGGGTGGTTTGTTCCTCGGTGGAGAACTAGGTATGGATGAACTTGACTATATACCACAGAGCTCACTTGGCTAACGATAGACACCAGGCTTTCTCGGTGGTGCTGCGAGCGGTAGCCGCACGATAACAGGTGATCCGGAGAGGAAAAAGCGCATCGAGAATGCTTTCCGGAGCTTCCGGGCGGATACACTGCGGAAGGAGGCGGATGAGTTGGAGAAGGGGAAGTCGGTGACCGAAGAGATGTTCTAATTTTGCCTCGACGCGGTCTTATTTTGTTCTATAATTTCGAGGTCACATCGTGTATTGCCAGGCGTTGACGGCAGTTTGGTATCTTATGATGATATGAGTGCAACATTATTCCTTTGACTTATCTAACATACTATGTTATACTATTAAACGCTGAAATCACCCGTATGATACTTCACTCGGCATGTCTTTATGAGATTACAGGGTCGGCGGCCCATGTGTCAAGCCTATGCCAATCGCAAAGTCCTCCCCTCAATGGCACTCTGTCGACACAGTTCTATCATCTTCATGACAAGCGCCGCATCTCGAGATTTGACCGCGAGCTCTTCTTTCCCGCCAATCGCATCATGCACATTCTGATAGAAGTGCTGGTACCCTCCCGGCGTCGCCCTCCATTCCTCCGTCTTTATCCCCTTTCCATCAACTACTTGAAGCGTGCCTACCACTCGACGTTAGCTTACTTGAAGGCAGGTATATGGTCTAGACAGACTTACCCTCATTTCCGGCCGCCCCAACCCCGTACCCCTCACAACCAGGATAGATGCCCCTCTGCAGCTGCTCCTCCTGAACATCAAGCCCGTACTTAACCCACCGCCCCTTTGTCCCTAGGACCTCGAACCGCTTCTGCCTGTCGCTGACAACGTATTGCGTCGAATGGAGCTCGACTACAACCACCATATCAGCATTTCCCACCAGTTATGTAAACAGTAAGACTCCATAAGACAGCACGAACCTTTCATCGCCCCCTCAAACCCCAACAAAATCAAAAACCCATCATCCACAAACCCCTCCTCCCCAACCTCCCGCCCATGCGCCTCATCAAACAAAAAAGCCGTCACACTCCTCGGCATCCCGAAAAGCACGAGCACCTGGTCAAGTAGATGACTGCCCAGATCAAACAGCATCCCGCCCCCCGGGACCCCGCTCGCAAGCCGCCATTTCCTCGACTCAACTGCCGTTCGCGAGTTCGGGGCGCAGTCGAAGTGTGATCTGAAGCGGATTATTTGGCCAAGGGGGTTGCTGGGGTGGGATAGGAGGGAGCGTAGGGTTAGGAAGTCGGAGTCCCAGCGTCTGTCTGGACGGGTTAGCTCATTATGTATGTACCATGCCCTAGTTTGGTAGGAGAAAGGCAGGTTGGGCTGGGCCTACTGTGGTAAACAGCAAGCTGGAGACCGGTTTTCTCAGCTAGATCCGCGAGTTCGCTTGCCTCGGCGTATGTTATCGTGAATGGCTTCTCCACGATTACTTCTCTTGTCAGCAGGGGTTCATCTGAGATCCCGTACTCGTCCCAGTAAAGAGTAGGGCACGTACTCACCATGCTTCCCACCCTCCAAAGCGGCCTTTGCCAACGGGAAATGCGTATCGTTCGTTGAAGTGATGATGACTATATCAACGTCCTCGTTTTGGATAACAGCGTACGCGTCATTGTAGATCTTTGCGTCTGGGAAATCGGTGATCGCTGAGTATCCCTCCCTCGGGGCCCGCTGGACGATGGCGTACAGAACAAATCCCGGGTTATGCAGGATAAACGGGATGTGGAATGTTTTTGCGGAGAAGCCGTAACCGATCACTGCTGCGTTGAGGGGCATGGTTCTTCTTTGAGATAGGGTAGGTGTTGAAACGGTAATGAACATTTTTCTGGATCTTCGACTTCTAATACCTCGCCTAATGTCGGAATCCGGTTCCCGCTAGCCTTGATCCTGTCTATATCCGCCATGCGGCAGGAGTATCGAGGACGTTCAACAGCTTTCCCCGACACCCCTATGGCATTGAATACTTCTGCCAATTCTTATGGATAAGTATCAGCCTCACTAAGCATCTCAATTCCACCTGCGACTCCTGGCCTGGTATTCTTGATCTTCTCACCTGCAAAGGGCACTGTCTCTACCTTTCTCTCTCCTAGCATTCGCAGATGGGCATGTAGAATAACCTTAGGAGGCATCAAGCCCTAGAGCAGACATCCGTAGTATCATCGTCATTATCAACGAAGGTTGCTTTCAGTGTACGCTGGCCAAAGCTAGTGAATAGTCTCAAACTACCCTAGGACATTGGCACTGAGACTGCTAGAGACTCACAGCAGGACCTCAACATCCCCGTTCTTAAAGCCGCTGGCTTGATATATGGCATCTCCCTCTGTTCAAGCCATCGTGCGGTGGACTTGACGTTAATTGTAGGTTTACATCTTTGTGCCAGACGATAGAGAGCTTTAAGTAGGAACAATACATGGCACATGGTTCGGACATGGATCCTATGTCCCGGATCTTTCTCTCGACTGTGCCCATTTAAGTTGCACATAGTCTATATAGACTGCCCTAAGAGTGGGACATAGCAGATTGATTTGCCTCTGCCTTGCCCTTCGCTAGAACCTTGGTCAATCACCCACGGAACAGCCCCTTCTCTGGCAACGTACTCCGTAGATGCTGTAGGAAGCACCTGAAGCCGGGAGTGGTTGTTCCTGGCCATTCCGTAGTCTCGTGACGAGTAGCCAGAAGTCAACCACTTGTTGATTCGACAATGCCTCCACAACCTTCTCCATGTTTCATCCTATCTCTTTTATACCTGTTTTCAATGAGCGCTTACAATATGTCTTTGGATACTGAGAGAGGCAGTACTTTCTGGCCCGGAGAGCCGACTCAAGTCCATGCACTCATCCCATGCCATTCACCTTTTCTTCCCCTCCCACGGTGAAGCCGTAATCTCCAGCTCCAGATCTCCAAGCTCATGGCTATAAAGGCTTCTTCTCTCTCCTAGCTTTCAATATTCCTTCTTACATCTTCCAATCTCTTCAGTTCGCATCCCATGGTGAAGCCGTGATCTCCGAGCTCCAGATCTCCAAGCTCATGACCATAAAGTCTTCTTCTCTTTCCTGGCTTTCGATTTACTTCTTACATCTCGTCTTCTCTTCAGTTCTCATCCCACAGTGAATGCCTTGATCTCCAAACTCCAGAACTCCAATCCCCTGACTATAAAGTCTTCTTCTCGCCCCTGGGCTTCAACTTTCTTTTTTACACCTTTTCATCTCTTCCGTTTCCACCTCGCAGCTTTTCCTCATCCCGTACTATCTTTTTCTGCCAAGCCTCGTCTTCATCACCACTGAAACACAATCTCAACATGGCTTCGGAAGGCAAAAAGCGCAAGCGCGCTGCGTCAGTCAGTTCCACAGACAGGCAGGCAAAGCGATACCGCGAAACCGAGAACCCTCGTGACCCGATGCTCCTTCCCGCTGACATCAGGAAAACAATCTTCGACCACCTTCCCATGTCCGAGATCATTCACTGCCGGTCCGTCAGTAAGACGTGGAACGGCGAGATCCAGGGCTGGATGGAGAAGTACCCAGTCCAAGCCGCCAAACATCTTCGACCTTTTTGGAACACTTCTATTCCCAACTCGGTCTGGAACAAGGTATCGGAGGATGACATCAAGAAAGATGGTATGTGCCGTCTTTGTTCTTCTTGCTTACAGAACTAACAATTTTAGCATTGCTTTACGGGCGATTACAATCCGGAAAACACACTTCTCGCATAGTGTCTGTGACCAGAGAAACCGAGGTTTATGACTCTCCAGAGTGGAACCTCACTGTCGGCGCCTTTAACTGTCAGATTAAGCACAGTGAAGAGAGGGAGGAGTATTATGTCTGCTGGAGGTCCCTCCAAGGTGCACGCAGCCGCAAAGTACTTTCGCTTGGCGAGGACATATTCGATGGGGATTACGTTCGGGGGGTACATTTTCTTCTAATGAACACAGATGGTGCCATCCTAGTCGACGCCCAAACACAGTACGGCCCAGAAAATCGGTCACGCAGGTAAGTGCAGTACTGAGCTTCACAATCCGTGCCCGCTAACTCTTGTCCCAGGTTGATCGTTTACTCTCAGTACGAGGAGTACACAATGTGGGAACATATCTACCCACATGCAAACGACGATTCTTTCAAGGTCCTTGGACTTGGGGAATCTCGCATATACTGTGCCATACGACAAGACAACAACGACGAGTACGACTTTGTTGCCATCAACTTCCGCAACGGCAAAACCCTCTATCGAGTTTCCATACCCCATCTGACTTGGGACCGCATCCTCGATAGCACAGCACCCTGCAAGGTCTTGTCGTCTACCTCGCATACCGACGAAACTGTGGTTTTTACCGGAAATGTCCGCCCCGTCGACCAGGCCTTAGAGGACAGCACGGATATGGTCATTGTCATCAACGGCAGAACCGGCCACAGGTACCCAGATATCTTGTGCTCACCTGCCAGAAGCATACGTTGTATTGGCGATTCCATGACAGGCCAGTATGCACTAACGTGGTGCTTGCAAGCGTCTGATGTTCCACCTGAACTGCAGAATGCACACCCCGAGTTGGCGGACCACCACATCACGCTCGCCCGCACATTCTCAGCCCATTCCGGCACGGGCGAGCATTCGTCATCAGGGGCCATGGTTGTCGTGCACCCTCGACCTTTCAATTATAATGCCGTGCACCCATTCGCCATGATTGCTATGGATTACCAATACCAGGATCATGGGGACTTTTATAGCCAGTATCTCACATGCCACCCTCTAGTTCTTACGCGGGACAATGCCATTTGGGACGCTGCCAGCGCCGTGACCAAATGGTTTTTTCAGGATCCGACTGCCGTGACAATCGGTTGTTTTACGCCCGGTGACGGAGTGGTTGTCAAACTCCCTGAGACACGTGCGGCACTTGCTCATAAAACTGGGTCTCTGGGCTTGCCGCCTGGGACGAGGTTCATTTCAAATGGGAGGATCGGGGCTAGACCACGGCCGACTGGCGCTGAGTATACCACAGACTTGTGCTGGACAGACGATGCCTGTCTCATGGTCGAAGATCCTGACGAGACTCTGATTTTCGGTTTTGGCGATCCCCGTTGTTTGCCTGAGCTTGATTAGTTTGTTTGGCGTTTGGTCTATCTTGGGTATTCCCGGGATTATCTACACTGTTTGTATTGAATCTCTAGTAGTTTTAGTGTTCTAGCTTCAAATGCACTCCTCTCGAAATAAAAATGTCCTGTAGTCCCGGCCATAGTATCACCGCTGTTATAGAGATTGGCATTACCGTTTACACTACCATAAAGCATGGTGCACAAACCAAATAAATCCCATCTTTAACACGGGACATGCACTCGCCCCAGACAAGTAGGTATTGATACAGTTTACCATCCTTGTAATGGATCGATGTGATACTCCTTCCGCATGCCAGAGTGTATACGTAGAGTGTTTACGTAGACAGACACGACATGGATGTAATACGAAGAACACTATTAGAGGACAAGCCAGAATCAACCCCAATGAACTATAAATGGTGTATCTATACAATCCCAAACCCCAGCTGCCGCATCTTGACCTTATCCATTCCACCTCCAAGGTCCAGAACATCCTTCGGCTTTTCCACCGGTTCGCATCGCTTGCATCATACATACAGAGTAGGTCCTGCTCCAGCCAGCCCCATAAGGCTGAACAAGCCTAAGTGGGACCGCATACGTACGCAACTTCTCCACCTCGGGACAATCGCCTTGTCAATTCCGAGTGTGACGATGTTGTGATCGATATCGAGGAGAATAGGATACGCAGAATGGAAGGACAGGGTTTAGAGAGCGTATCAGGTGCGCCGGCTACAAAGGACGCCTAGGTCCACGACGGAGGCCATTGAGCTTAACTCTCTAGAGCAGCCAAAAGGGCTCGGGCTGAAGTCGAATCATCGAAATATCTACTGCACAGCCCGTAGGCAGCCATATTCCAGTAATGCCAAGCAAAGGTTAGGCCAGCTCCAGCTGCAACGTCCAGCCCTAATCCAATCATCACTGCTGGTGCAATCACCGCTGTCTGATAGCGGAGCATATCGAGTCAGATATGACGCAGGCATACTGTCGCCACAGACTCTCCTGTAGACAGACAACGTATAAAGTCACCCTGTCCACCCTGGCTGCAGAGTAGATCCTCAGACCAGGTTCGTACGAGAAAATCACCTCCTTTTCACAAGAATACACAACAACCACATACCAACCAACTATACCTACCTGACACATCATCCAGCCAACAACAACGCAATGGGCCTCCTCTCAAAGCTCACCCACCACCACGAAGAGAAGAAAGAAGAGCACCACCACGGCCATGAGCAGCACCACGGCCACGGACACCAACAACCAATGGGCGGCCCCGGCGGAATGAGCGGTCCTGGCGGAATCAGCGGTCCTGGCGGCTTTGGTCAGGGGCAGGGACAGATGGGGATGGGTGGCCCTGGTGGTGGTCCCGGTGGCATGCAGGGACCCCCTGGGGGCCATGGACATGGAGGTGGACACGGCATGGGAGGTGGACATGGAGGGCACGGGCACGGCGGGCCTGGGGGTCCTGGGGGCCCTGGTGGGCGCGGAGGGTTCTAAGGTTCCAAGGTTAGCTTTTATCGCTGATACATGATATATATCTCTTTCAGTCTTTTTCCTCATTGATGCTAACTGAAAAATTCCATAGGGATCACATTTTTGTTTCTGGGGTTGGATACCTATAAGCGAATGTAATGGGACACGTGGTTGAGATTGATATTATTCAGGGGGTTGAAGAGCGTGAGAGGTAATGCTCACTGTTTATTCCACGACATGAGGACTGCACGGTGATTTACATTTGCTTGGTCATTGGTCATTGAGCTTTTACGAATATATACTTTTGCTTCGGTTTTAGACACAACAAGACGTCTTTTGCCCTACCATCCTCCTGCGATATATACCAAACTAGTAAGCTGTTGTCTTTTCAACCAAGGCAGAGCAATCGCAAAACAAGAGTTCAATCATTTACATCATTTCTTCCTCCAACGTTGTATGACCCACCTGAAGCCCTCCAGAACGCCTAAACACCAGCAGAAAGAGACAACAAATCCCCAAAAATAGACCGACTACTAAAATTGGCTTAATGGGATGAAGTATGTGGCTCGAGGCATACCACGTTGCCAACTAGCTCGACCTCCAATCGGAGAGTTGCCAGCTCATCACGAACGTGGATCGGCTACCTAACCCTAGGTGGTGGGTAGACCGCTACTTGGGCCGCAACAACAACAACAACAATCCCAGGCTCCCTAATCCACGACGAACACTCTCAATTCTACTCACGACCATCAAAGTACACACTAGACTCCATCCAATGCAATCCCAATGCCCCTCTTCATCCCCTTCCTCTTCGCCCTCGCCGGCACACTCACACTCCTCCTCACAAAACAGATCCGCCAGTTCACATTCACAGTGCCAATCCTCAAGTCCAAGTCCAGAAAGCCCGACCGCGTCGTTGTAGATGGGCATACATACTCCGAATCAGTACAGGATAACGAGAAGCCTAACTCCGAGAACAAGAAAGAAACTCAACCCTCAACCCCAGGGTCAAGATGCGCGGTCGAGAGTGTCCGGCGGTGCTGCGTCATTGGGGCAGGCCGTGAAGGCGCTGTTACGGCGATTGTCCTCGCAACTCAGAATACAGGGGTTCAGTTCTGCGTTGTTGATGGTGACGAGGGTTTGATTCGGCGCTGGAACTCGGATGGCCTGCCGTTTTCTGAGACGGGGCTGGAGGAGATGCTCTTCGACGATGAGGCTCTTGGTGTGAGGGATGTTGATGAGGACAGAACTCCGCATGAACGAGGAGGTCAAGATCAAGACCAAGATCAAGATCAAGATGGACTCAACATTAAGGCGTCCATGTCGCATGTCGAGCGGCGCAGGAAACTATCTAACTTGAGCTTCTCGACCGATGTCCATGCCGCGGTTGGAGCAGCGGATCTTGTCTTCTTGTGTGTTGAGATGGACGGCGGTGCTTTCGTACGTATCCAACATCACTATCCATTCGTAGGCCTTGTTTCCCTAATATACGTACCAATAGGATACGTCCTCACCACACACCTACCTAAACCCAACCCTGCAAACCATCGCCCTCACGTCAAAAGGGCCCAAGATCATCGTGCACCGTGGTACAGCGCCGTACGGAGCAACAGCATACATACAGAACCGGGTTCGTCTCCCCACCGTCTCCTTCCCTCTCCATATCCATCCTAACCCAAAGCACAGTTAACCGAATCCTCGCCAGAAGCAACATACACGGTCCTCACAAACCCCTTCCTCTCCTTCGGTTCAATACCATCAACACTACACCCACCAAGCGTGATAATCGGGCACATCTACGCCCCCACTACATCCTGGTCGGGGATAACAGCCCTGAAAGACCTGTACTCGTGGTACCCGGAGGAGCGCATCGTCACGATGGACGCGTACTCGGCTGAGCTTGGGGCGCTGGCTAGCAAGGCCCTCCTGATGCAGCAGGTGCTTGCGCTGCGGGGTGTGAGGGCGTTGTGTGAGGGTGCCAAGGCGAGTAAAGGCTGTGTGGGGTGGATGCTGGGGTGTCCGGATTTGGATTTGGCGCGTGGCTTGGGTGCAAGGGGTGGGGAGCTCCAGCTAGGAAGGGAGATGAGGTGTTTGGTGGGACTTGCGGAGAGTCTGGGGATTAAGGAGGTGAAGGCGTACTGGGAGGGTATGGGGGGGATGGAAACGGTGGAGTGTAGGGGTTCCTGTTAGTGGGTTGGTGGTGCGTTAGGGGTTGGAGAGGACGGGGAATCGAGCTTAGAAGAAGATTGCAAGCTGTCATCAGGGATTTGAGAGGGTGCTTTGGCCGTACTAGATGGACTCTGGAAGACCGGGGCGACGGTAGAACAAAGTCAACGATATTATTCAAGCTTTGGGAGGTAGTACCGAGTGTGTTAGTTATGGGCTTACTTGATGATACTTGCGCAGGATGCAGCACGGTCATTTCCATTTTTCACGGTAACCAATGATCCACGAACACATGACATATGTACATGTTCTCGTGGACTATATTCAAGTTTAATATCAGATATTTGACACTGATAGCTACGGGAGCAAATAGCCGTGCTGGTTTCTAAGGTTACTCTAGATCTCGCGCATCATCCTGGCCTAGTCTAGTCCAACGGAGTGGGATGTAACGAAACATCCGGATATCAAGGAAAGAGAGCATAGCCCGAGCCTAAAGTCATCATGTTGATCTGTATGGGTGTATGAAGGAGGAACTCCGACCAGGCTACCATTGTGTAGCCTGGACTGTACTATACCTCGAGCAGGACTGCATCTACACTTACTGGTACTGATACTGGAAATGCTGTAGGTTGCGGGCGGTACTATTTGCTGTCTACCTATGTTGATACGCAACGCGATTGGCATATACTTATCCTCCAACAACTGCTCATTATAAATCATAGTGTACCAGTGCATAGATATGACAGGTACGGAGGCTATCTCGGGCATGAATGAGGCTCCTCTAGCTTTGAAGTTGCCCAGTTGTTAAGCCGGATGTCAGGCTTATGAAATGAGGATTGATGACCTTGGGAACATATTGAGGTGAATTGTGGTACCAATCAGGTCAGACCTCCCTGGCATTCCAGCATGGAGCCTGTAGTTGGCCTGTGATGGTGATGGGCTAATCGCTCTGTCTAACTCTTGAATCAGCTCCCCTGTTACATACTACATTTGAATACCAATGCCGAGATTATGACTAGGTGGCCATGCTACTTCCAGAACAACGTCTGGCTTCGAATTACTGCACCAAACTGTTATTGGGCTGCTGGGAATGCAAGTTCCGCTGTGGAGGACAGCGGTGCTGAGGCTGATTGAGAAGGACACTGGAGGAGGACGGAACCAGCAGGAAGAAGAGATGCGTGGAAATGGTGGAGGAGAAGAGAAGGGAGGAGAGGAAGGATGAGAGGAGGGAGAGGAGGGAGAGGAGGAGAAAGAGAAAAGTAGGAAGGTTAGGGTAGGGGAGGGATAGGTAAGTAGAGGAGAGTTGAGGAGTGATGAAGGTAGAGGAATAATAGAGAGAAAGGAAGAAATATGGATAGACACATGTATTGATGATCAAGCATTACTAAATAACATCAAGGTTTGTTAGAAAGTTCTACAAACCGGCAGCCAGGAATGAGCGTTGGGTTCTAACAATCCTTGGATTAGGGTTAACAGATCTTATATACTACCCGACTAGGTACAACTGAAGCGCCACGAGGATCTCGAGATAGATACAAATTGACACACAGATGACTAACATGCATAGTTGGCATGAAGAGGAATCGAAAGCGAACGAGGAATGCAGGTGTAACCTTCACATCGTGGTTACGTGTGGAATCCTGGGCGCCCCGGAATAGGAAAGAATGCAGTCTCAACGTCATCTTCAATAGAGCACGACGCTTCCTCTGCAGTCTCAACATCATCGACATCGAGCACGACGCTATTTCTGCGGCCGCATGAACATTCCAAGTTCTCATTCTCAATTCACTCTAACGCAAGCTGAGAGAATGCAGGCTCGAGGCAGAATGGGCTGGATACTGGGAGACAAGTTCGACTCGGTCTACCCGCACAAGGGTTCCATCAAAGCGCTGTGGGAGACAAAATGGAGAGCAGTGGTATGTGGACCGTAATCAGGGAAGATCGACCTAACTGGAGCAGTGCGAGAAGTCAGTCTACCCCTTCCACGACGGCAAGCTGGAGGATTTCGAGCCGATCATCGAGAAGCTCATCGCTGTACGTACCGATGCCCTGCTGCTGCTCGCGCTGACTCTCTAGGGCAACATCAACGATGCATACTCCGACGCTTATACCGAGACCTTCCTTCCATTCGCTGAATCACTGGAACAGCGGGCTGCGGAAGCGCTGCGCAAAGGGGACACCAGCACAGCATCGCATCTCCTTCTCCGCGCGGCCGTCGTGTACCGAATCGCGCGCTATCCCTACGTCGGCCCTGACTCGACTGGGCTCAAAAGGACGGCCTTTGAGCGGCAGAAATTGGCATACCTCAAGGCAACCTCGTTCTGGAGCCCGCCATTGACGGAAAAGACGGTCGAGTTCGTGCACCGCGCAGGGAACGAGGGCTCGCAGATACCAGTATACCTCCGTATTCCTGACGACACCGGTGCGAAACCAGTGCCGTGCGTCCTGATCATGACCGGACTGGATGGCTATCTGCCGGATAACAGTCAGCGCATCCATGAGTGCATCGCTCGCGGGTGGGCGGTCCTCGTCTGCGAGATCCCTGGAACGGCAGACTGTCCGGCAGATCCCCGCGACCCTGAAGCCCCTGATCGCTTGCTGGATAGTCTCTTTCTGTATCTGCGCAGCAGGGCGGATATTGACATGGCCAAGGTTGTGGTCTGGGGACTCAGTGCTGGGGGGTTCTACGCCATCCGCGCGGCGCACACGCACCGAGATCATCTTGCCGGCTGTATTGCCCATGGCCCTGGCGCGCACTACTTTCTGAATAAAGACTGGCTCAGCAAGGTCGAGGACCACGAGTATCCGTTTCCGTATGTCATTCCGCAGCAGAGATTCTGTCGGCTAACATTCCCAGCATCGTCTCCGCCTGGGCGAAGAAGTACGGCTACGATGAGCCGGCCGATTTCTGCACGCAGGGTCAAGGGAAGTTCTCGCTCCTCGAGACGGGGATTCTCGACCAGCCAAGCACTCGGCTGCTTTTGCTGAATGTACGCTCTTTACTCGTGTTCACGGCGTAGCTAACCGACCAGGGTGTGGACGATGGTGTGGTTCCGATCGAGGACTGTCTTTTGGTATTACAACATGGAAACGCGAAGGAGGCAAGGTAAGCGACAAGCTTCTCCATTTCCATATGATGCTGATGAACTAGGTTCTACCCCGGCCTCCCCCACATGGGATATCCATACAGCCTGGCGGAAGCCTATAGATGGCTGGAGCAACTGTTAGCCTGACATTCACAACTCGATAGTTTAGGGTTGGCTGCCCATTGGCTATACTTCTTGAAAGGTATTGGAATCCTATGCTCGCAACAAACATGTGTATCAACCACTCATTCCTCGAGGATCGTTGACGAATCTGCATGATGTGGTCATCTGTCACATATGCTCTAGAAACTATGTCGTATTGGCTTAATTAACCTCCAATCTCTGATTTGCGCTCGCCGAGTTATAGTGCTGGATTCCAACTTGCATGCCAGGTAATATGTTAACTAGGACCTGCTTATAAGTAACTGCCTATAAAGTAATAAGTTACTTAGCTAGGAATATTGCTCTCGAAGGCAATAACAAGAAACCCTGTGCCGGCATCATAGCTGTACCTTGCCAAAGCGGGTTGTTGCGGTTAAGCTTATAGGGGAGTGTATATTCTTGTCCGTGTGCAGGATGAAGAGATCATGACCGCGAGGTAAAAAGGAGCAGCGTTTACTAGCTCAATGGCCTGGATAACCCAACATTTCCATCAAATCATCAGCCGGTCACTGGGTCTTTTAATAAGGTATGTACCCGACCGCATCCGGAACCTCTAGCCATCATGGGATACTCACTCGGAAATTCGACTCTTAGGGTATATAGATGAGCTTTACCGTCAAACTCCAAATAACCGTCATCGCCTAGGAACCACGTGTGACGATCTAGCCTAGTACACCCTATAGTTCCAGACAAGCAAACACCAGCACCATATCCAACGAACCCTTACCCTAAGCTCAAGACCCCCGAAACAGCGCCCTCTCCCCCCTCACCCCCCTCCACCAATCCGTACTCCGAAAGAGCTCCGTGCACCCGCGAACAACCCACCCCCACCGCCGCACAAACGTCTCCGTGACCTCCCACCCCGCTGGATCCCACGGGTCCCGCCAGATGATGATCCCTGTTTCGCCGCGCCCGATATCCCCCTTCACGCCTCCAGGGTCGGGGGGTGAGAGGGTCCCGTGCCCGCACATCGCTCTGCATAGTGCAATATCGTCGAAGGCGTTGCCGAGCGCGGACTCAGCGCGGATCAGGGTATCGCGCATGTTCGGGATCGGGAGGAGGTCGAGCCAGGGGTGGTGCGGGGTGCATAGCTGGGTGGGCGTTGGCCGGAGAGAGGCCGGGAACGAAGGGTCCTCTGTATTTCGCAGACAGGGCTTGACGGGTCCAATTGTGGCAAACGGGGACACCGCGGCGTCGTGCATTTCGGTTGCGGTGTAGCCCAGGATTGCGATGTTGGTGTGCAGTGCGCGCAGGACGTTCACGCGGGTTAGGGGGAGGAGGAGGTCTGTTGTTGGGGATGGTGTGGATTGGAGGTGCTTGGAGAGGAGGTGTTCGAGGTGGGTGAGGGTCTGTTGCGAGTGGGGGGCTGAGGGGCCGAGGATGCGCAGGGTGTTTAGGGTATAGAGGAGGGAGGGGAGAGTTAGGGTTATTTGGGGGGTGGATTGCGTAGTGGGTGTCCCCTTGCTGCTATTCAGCGGTGTTGAGGATGGAAGTGAGACGGCTGAAGAGGTCTCCTTCTCCATTGGACGGATAGGGGCATTCTTCGGAATCGTTCTCTGGGCCTGTGCAGTCTTCTTACGGCGTCCTGGGAGCACTTAGCATGAATCGGAGACACAAATGGAAGGGGCCGTACGGTGAGCCCGTTGATTCAGGCGATTCTGCAGGGTCCGTCGTTTCTGTGGGTCGATTACGCCCTTCCAGTTGTCTAGCATCTCCACTTCATATCGGGTTGATGTGTTGGGAGTGGTTATTGAGGACATGGTTGGTGTGACAATGCAAGATGAATCCCGCCCCTGGTGGCGGTTGATGCTTTAAATGCTGACACTTGCAGCTGTGGGACTGGCAATGAAAGCAAAGAATATGATTGGCTGAGAAGAAACCCGGCATGAAGAGTGGCGGGGATAAGCGCAGTTGGGCGGAGTTAAGCACACTGGATGACTCGATATGCCTGGAGTACTCCTGACAGTCATAGGTTGCAGCCTTGTATTATAGCACAGCTGCTAGCAGAGCACGAATAACACACAGAGTTGAATCATGAAAACAGCTCGTTGCGAGTCCGCAGCAATGCCTTACAACCACGATGCCGAGTTGAATGGAAAGTCGACATCACCTATGCTCTGGCACTACAGAAGATGAGCCTCCATGTCTGTAAGCATTGTCGTGCTTCATCGTTCATACTGAATCAGTGTTATGCATATCTATGGAAGTCTGCGTGGCAACCTTGGCAGATACGAGCCCTAACTCAACCGAAGTCTAAATCTATATCAGCTGCATCTCCACGCCCGACATGCGTCGCGAGAGGCACCGTCCCCCAAGCACCCCGCCCATCAGAACCGTAATCATGTGAGCAGGCTAGCCGGGATGAAATAAAAGTAGCTCTTGTCGTAAATAGCATGCCCCAGACCCTGATCAAGCCCTGGGAGGCAAACGGGAAGATGAACGGGGTATCCGTGGTCAAGAAAGGTTGCTTGCAGCAGGTAAAATGCCATTGCATGGGCTTCATAATCTTTGTACTGCAACGGGCATTCTTGGATCCCTTTCCAATCTATATCTATCTCCATCTATTGCTCTGGTCGGCACACTGAATCACCCCCGGCCTACTTGAAGGCCACTAAGGCACAGCCTCAACCTCCTCCAACTCACCCCCGCCTGATTTCGCCATGGAATGACCTTCACGTGGAGGATCCCTAAGAGCGTCTGTTAGAGTGGCTCTAACCATTTTCCTCGGCAACCAATCTACAAATGCATGCACTATGAAGATATTGACGGCATGATGATAATGACCTGCATAAACCCCGCCTACAGGTCCTTCATGCATGAGTTTAGCCGAGTTACCCCAGACGGCAATTCTCCGGTCCACACCACACCCAAGCCCGTGCCCTACAGCACCTAGGTAGTTTGCACACAGGTAGTCCTCGGGGGTCTCGGACGGAAGGGACGTCATGGGATGCATCCTGCAGACATCCAATCTATAACCTTGTTCATCCTGGGTACGCCAGTGCAAGCCGGTCTTGGTTCCCCTCATGCCCTGCCATAGCTAGGTACATACTATGGTCGTCCATCATCGAGGTATAAATATTCCCGTAAACGCCCAGCCCTTCTCCATAGAGTGCATAGCTCTCATCTCCATAATCCTGTTATCTCAGCTCTCGCTCCAACATGAAGATATCCCCCCTCCACCGGGCCCTCCTAGGGCTCCTCGGCCTCCTATCCCCAGCAAAAGGCGCCCTCCACACCCCCCTCACCGTCTCGAACCGCTGGATCCTCGACTCCACCGACACCCCCGTGACATTCGCCGGCGTCAACTGGCCCGGCGCCGGCGAGGCCATGATCCCAGAGGGTCTCCAATACGCCTCGATCCACTCCACCCTGGCCAAGATCAAGTCGATCGGCATGAACACGATCCGGCTCACGTTCCCCACGCAGCTGGTCGACGAGATCTACGCCAAGGCCGCCGACACAAGCATCCACGACTCCCTAATCACAGCTCTAGGCTCAACCAACGGCACCAGGGTATTCGGCCAGATCGTCGCGCATAACCCGGGCATCACGACCGCCACAACCCGCCTGCAAGCCTACGACCTCGTCGCCGCCGCCGCCGCCGAAATGGACATCTACGTGCATCTCGACAACCACATCTCCCGCGCAATGTGGTGCTGCAACGCCGATGACGGGAATACCTGGTTCGGCGATGCTGATTTCAATGTATCCAACTGGAAGCGCGGGCTTGCGTTCATGGCTGCGCACGCCGCGTCCTGGGAGACGTTTACATCGATCGGACTTCGGAATGAGCTTCGTCAGCCGCCGCGTGAGATCGCGGGGTATCCGTATACGTGGGAGACGTGGTACAGCCATATGACCGATGCAGCGGATATAGTCCACGCGGCGAACAGCGACGCACTGATCTTTCTGTCCGGGCTGAACTACGACACGACGCTTGCGCCGATTCCAACGGGCGCAGACCTTGGGAATGGGACGCGCTTTGACCTGCGCGACTTCGAGTACAAGGATAAGCTTGTCCTGGAGCTGCACACATACGACACGAGCACGTCCAGCTGTGCGGATCTGTCCGGCGCGCTTTGGAACGGCGGGTTCAAGGCGCTTAGTCGCGATGACAGCAGTATCGTCAATGTGATGCCGGTTGTGCTGACGGAGTTCGGGTTCGCGCAGGATGAGACGACGTGGGAGAGTGTGTACACTTCCTGTTTGCGGAGCTGGATTCCCGAGCAAGAGGCGGGCTGGATGGTGTGGACGATTAGTGGGAGTTATTATCTGCGGCAGGGGGTGCAGGATAGTGATGATACGTGGGGTGAGTCTCGCTTTTTTTTTATTTGTTTTGGCTTCGTTGTTCAGATGGTGAGATGGCTAATGGTGCAGGGATTCTGGATCATACGTGGTCCGGGTGGAGGAATGAGGAGGCGGTTCAGGAGGGGTTGAGGGTTATGGTTGAGGCGTCGCTTGGGGTTTGATCCATTCGGGCACAAGTTTGGGATCGAGGAGGGATAGTATGACTTGCCGCGCAGGCGTTGTTTTGCTATATGACATACAAACACCGTATTATGTCGGGAGTGGCGGTGGACATGGCCATGTCTGCAGACACGGGACGGACAGTCAATGAATGGTATTATCTCACTTTGAATATCATTGAAATCAACAGTTGGAGCATGGTTTCAGTGCCGATAGATAGCGAAAGTAGGGTATACAAACGTAGATAGATCAACGAGAAGTCTCCGTCCTATTCCAATCCAGGCCGTTGGTAGCCAACCTCAGTGCGGGCGAAATCAAGCCATCGCCTCCTCAACAGTAAAATTCGTACAAAGTGAACTCGTGAAGCCTCGTAAGCATCATCATGCTGCCCAAGACCAGTGAGCGGGCAACTAGTCATCCCCCTCGACGTCGTCATCGTCCTCCAGACTAGCACCAACACCGTTGATAATTGAGCTCAGCGGATGGTGGCGGCGTCTCCTCCTAGATACCGCCGCGGCCTCCTCCGCAGCCACCGCCGCAGCCTGATCTATGGCATGGACGGCCTGCTCAGCCGGCGTGTCCATATCCACGCCAGCCTCGTCCATATCATCCTCGTTGATAGTGTCTCGGCCGAGGTACGGAGGGGCCGGTTGCTGGTAAGTATGCGGGACTCGAATGTTCATGTCAGTCCCGTCGGCTGGAACGGTATCCGGAGACGGGGGCTGAAGTTTCCACGTCGCCGTGAGGACATAGTAATCCAGCTCGCCGGGCCGCACTTCATCGCGGATCCAGCGCGTCCGTTCAAACATCGAGCTGCCCGTCCACTTCATCGTCTCCAGATCGTCGCGGTTGGCGGCAAGAACCCGCCCGTCCTTCCTCTTAAACACCCACTTCTCAACCGCCGCCGCAACCAGAATATCAATCTCCCCTTTCCGTCGTTCCAGACTCTCAAAATCAACAACGAAGCTCCTCACGCTATCCGGGAACCGAACCCTCCGCACCCAATCCCCGCCGATCCGCAACCGTTCATTCATCTCCCAGTGCCAGAAATCCGTATACCGCAGCGTAAGATGCACCCGCTTCGGACACAAGCCCCTCGTATCAAAGACATTCTGCAGCAACGTCCCGGGCTCGAGGAGGTACATCTGCGCAAACACCCGCACATCGCCCATCCGCACCTTTTCTTCCCGCTGCGCATAAACCCCATGCAAGAGCCCCAGGTGCCCCTCCAGCCTCCTCCGATTCGACGCCCAGGCGCCCCTCGCCGGCGCACGCGCCCCACTCGTAAGGTAAAACGAATGCTCCGCCAGCGCAAAGGGCATGAACCAGCACTCAGCGTAGACGCGCCTACAGGCGCGGAGCAGCTCGGTGGCCGTTTTCAGCGGGGCGCTGTACCCGGGCCTGCTCCAGTATGTGTCTCGCTCGTAGAGGTTCGATTTGTCTTCGAAGGGGGAGAGCGCGTAGGTGAAGATCTCGGTGCGGATTTCGGGCGGGAGGGTTGCGAAGAGGGGCGATTGCGGTTGCGGGTTGTAGGTGGTGAAGTCAGGCGGGTGGAGGGCTGGCTCGGTCGGGGGCATGGTCGTGGTTATGGTCAATGTCGTTTTGGTCAGCGGTTTGTTGTTGATGGATGATCTGATCTGATCTGACGCTTCGTAGATATACTCCGCAGATGATGCGGGGCGGCTGCCTGGCAGGCTCCAGTTTGATGCCTGAGGGCTAAGGCGGACAGACCCTGGTTGTCACGTGAGCTAGCCTGTGCCGGATCGGAGACCATGATTCTGAGGCACCCACATTGGTGCCTGAGACGCGATCTGTGGTCTGTGCCTGAGCCAGTGTGGAAAGTGGGTAGTGGGCACATGCAACCGCTCAGCGCGGAAAGCCAGCAGGGCATCCAATCAAGCAAACAACCTTCGATAAGAGAAAGGGCATATTGATCAAGAAATTCCAGCAGCGCTCAGGGTGAAAGCTGTTACCACTGGCCCGTTGATGGCGATCTCACGTTGCAACCTTACGAGGAAGGCGCTTCCGGCAGCACGTGATCGCGACTGCATGTTTGCACCATTTGCCTCCATCACATGCCAAGCCCCAAGTCAACTCTGACCGAAAATGGGATCGACGGGGATTGGACGCCGAAATCTTGAGCACGCCACGGCGTCAGCGCAGGGTTGAACCTGAACCAGAACCAGAGATTGTCCGGACTCCGACTCCGAGTCTCCTTGCAGGAAAAGCTTGTTATCATCATACGAGCTTCTATTGACTGTAAGTTTACTGTTTAACTGAACCTAAATCCGGTGGTACGACATCGATCAAGTCCGGCCGGAAACTCCGTATGGTGATTGTGAGGGAGGTGTGGAGATATATATCCGCGACACCTGACGGGCCGCACTGCAACGCCTGCACTGTTTCCAGTCAAGCGAATTGTATGAGTGGTGGAGAGACTGGTACAAGCTTAAGAGACAACGGATTTGAGTTTCAAGGCCCCGGGGCTGTTACCGTGTTTCTGCATCGGTGTTTCGGAAGAGAGTCTAGTCTACGAGTCTAGAAGTAGAGGGCAGAGTCAGAGTCAGACATGATGGCGATCGGCCGGATTCCGTGTTCGGGTTCGGATGTTGGATGCAAGATCGCGAGCTTTGACAATTGACGGGTCATGCCGACAGGGTAGAAGCTAGATAGCATTTCGAGATTACGGGGAAAAACAATCAAGGGTGAAGAGGATGAATAGGAGAGAAGCATCGCAGAGAACTACATAGTGGTCGCAAAATCCAATAAATACCGTACATGTTAAACGAATGAGACGAATTGATCGCGCGAGCCACTACATATTACAACCTGTCAGAAAATGGAGACTACGAAAAAGAAAGTAATGTCAAGCCAAAGGGTTCCATTCAACCAAGACCAAGACCAAGACCAAGCAAACGAACGGTATAGACAGCGATCTAGTCTAGTCTAGATACCAGGGTATAATCATAAACATGGCGAACATCATAGCGCACCGCATGACCACTTCATACATATCCCGGACAGCGGCAGCAGTGCATCGCAGGGAACGGGAACGGGACCGAGACTCCAGCAGGGAGATCATGAACCCAGTCTGGTCCGGACCCGAAAACAAAAACAAAGACAACAGGGGAATCTATCAATCTCAATCTCAAGCAATCTTTGCTGCGAGAACAACACAACATGATGATAACGATGACAAGATTAGTGCCGTGTCCCCAGCAGCGTCTCGATCGAGACGACTCGGGTCAACCGTGAGTTAGGCTCGCCTAACCGGACACGGCTTTTAGAGCGAGAGCTTCAAGGCGCGCCTACTGACGCTCATTGTGCGTCTGCTTCTCGTTGTCGCTGGACTCGCTGCTGAGGCCGAGCTCGGAGTGCTGAGCAGGAGCGGAGGTGTCGAGGCCGAGCTCGCGGGCCTGCTTGTTGATTTCCTCAAAGGAGAGCTTGGGCATTTCCTTGGCGACGCGGAAGGGCATGCGCTTCTCGACGTGGGCCTTTGCGTAGATGATGTCAATTTCCTCGAGCTCGCGGCCGGCGGTCTCGACGAAGAAGAAGTACGCGACGGGGACGCCGATGAAGTTGATGAGCGCGAAGAAGAGGTACACGCCCCAGGGGGAGGTTGCAGCGAAGAGCGGGGTGAACATGACGACGGCGAAGTTGGTGATCCAGTTGGTGCAGGTTGAGGCGGCGGCACCGGCGGTACGGGTGCGGAGGGGGTTGATTTCGGGGGGGTAGATCCAGGGGAGGGGGAGGAGGGTGAAGGCGAAGAAGGTGATGAACAGGAAGATACCCACGACGGCACCCTTGGCGTTGCTCTCGTTGTCCTTGATCAGGCAGCCGAAGGTGATGACGAAGGAGAGACCCTGGCCGAGGAAGCCGATCAGGTAGAGCTTGCGGCGACCGACCTTTTCGATCATGAAGAAGGAGGGGATGGTGGCGAGGGCGTAGACGGTGGAGAAGACACCGCCCATGATGAGGGCCAGACGGTGCTCCATGTGCAGGTTCTCCTCGAAGAGCAGGGTCGAGTAGTAGATGGCGGCGTTGCAACCGGTGAACTGCTGGAAGAACTGACCGGCGCAACCGAGCAGCATACGCTGGAACTCCTGGGTCTTGCCGCCGGTGAAGATGACCTTCCAGCTGGCCTGGTTGGCATCGGTCATCTCGACATCAGCCTTCATGAAGTTGAAGTCGGTCAGGACGGCGTCGGAGTCGGGGGACAGGTTGTTGAGCTTGGCGAGGACCTCGATGGCCTCGGCGTGGTGGCCCTGCTTGATGAACCAGCGCGGGGATTCAGGCAGCAGGATGGCACCGGTGACGACGATCAGGGCGAAGAAGACCTGGAGCGCAATGGGGAAGCGCCACTGGACGGACATGTCGACGTAGGAGAGACCGAAGACGACCCAGTAGGCGATGAAGGTGCCGACGGCGATCATGGCGCCCTCGAAGCAGACGAGCAGGCCACGGTTGTGCGAGGACGAGCACTCGGACTGCCAGACGGGAATGGTCGCGGTGTTCATGCCGTTGCCGATTCCGGAGACCACACGTCCGATAACGAACTGCCCTAGACCCCATTGAGGGCCAAAGGCGGCAGTCGAGATGACGGCGCCGATGATGAGGATGGAGGCACCAGAGATGATGATGCGAGTGCGGCCGATGCGCTCACCGAAGAACATGGAGAACAGAGCGCCGAAAAAGCATCCGATCTCGTAGCACGCGGTCACGGCACCACGCAGGACGTTGATGTGACGGTAGACGGCGTCGCTGACCGGATCGGGCATCTTGAGAGGAGGGAACTCGTTGACGAACTCGCTGCCGGCGATGATTCCGGACATCATACCCTGGTTGTAGCCGAAGAGCGAGAAGCCCATGACGGCTGTGAAGGTGATGAACATGTGCAGGCTCTTGCCCCGGAGGCCCGAAGTGTTTGTCCACATCTTGACAGACAGTATGGACAGACAGGTAGAAAAAAAAGCACAGAGAGAAAAGAGAATGGATGGTCGAGAGGGAGCATCACAGACTTATATAACCCCGGCCCCAAGCAATGGACGCCTCAATAAGACTGACTGGCAAAGCATATCGGATGGACTCTTGGCTGCCCCGCAACAACAGTGGGTCTCCGCAAGGGGCAACTCAGGCGACTTGGCTAGTCCCGGTCGGGCGATAGTGGCAACTCCGCCGAGGCGACCCCGAGAGACTCTCCATCACAGAGATTTCCGTAGCCGGCGCCGCTGACGACGGCCAAGCGAATCAGACCCGTCTCCCCGTATCTCTTCTCCAGCGTCTCTCCCCGGGCTCCACACAAGCATCTCACTCTCACACTCTAACTCTCACCACACCGACAGCCAAGGTCTTGACCTGCGTCAATTCACCACTCGACACCAGCTGGCTTCCTTAGCTCTGCTGCTCCGACCAGAGAGCTGTCTCTGCGCTGCCGATCGATGCAGCCACGGTAACTGGCCCGACTCCTTCGGGTCCTGAGTCTGACCACCGAGAGACAACAGTGTTGCACCGCCGGCTCTTCCCGACGGAGACCGACAGAGGACTAGGACTAGCAGAACCCGGGGCTCCGTGATCCGTTGAGTCTTGACGGCTGAATCTGACGCTGATTACGTTTGGTTCATTTCCCTCGCAACCTCTGGTCAGAAAGTTAGAACCTCGGAGTGAGGCCGACATTCAACCGGCCTAATCCGCGACGGTTAGGCGCCTGAAATCTTATCCCCCGCCGTGACCCGTCGCGTCCCCGGGTGTTTCTCGGCTGTTTAACCCGGCTCGGAAGCCAAGCGCACACAAGAGTGGTGAGCAAGCAGACCCTCGAGCAGGTTAGCCGAGGGTTACCGCTGCTGCTGCGGCTGACTCGTTTGACTCGAGGAGCGTTTCACAGTGGGGCGCCCATTATTAATGCGCTTCCTCCTCGAGTCGAGCGCTCAAGCCCGCTGAGGCGCTGGCGGCGAAGTGCACATGACCAACCCTCAGCTGGATTCCCCTGGTTCCTGTGCCCTGCCATTTTGCCATTTCCTGGGGCTTCCAACTTCCTGGGGTCACCCCGCATCATCCAATCGCCGCCCTCTCCCGTCACACCTGTTGGTTCTGGTCCAGCGGCAGCACCGACAGAACTGAGAAAACTCTCCCCCAATTCAATAATCTCTGACCACCCACGGATCCTTCCCTCTCCCACACTCCCGCAAACGGCAGGTGTCCCGGCGCCGGCGCCAAGAGCGACCAATCCCAACTCGGGCTGGTGGGGCTCATTAAACTAAGCGAGTGCCCATGATGTCACACTCGCACTCTTTGACAATCACGATACCGCCGTAGTAGCTAACGGGTTCCGGAATGCCTACGCGAGCAATTACATCTCGCTTTGGTTGATGTTCATTGGGTTGAAGGGCTGTCAGGCGTGCGATCATCGTTGTCAGTGACAGTCGGCATTCGGGTTGGCATCCACGTGGCACGTGACCCGCCGATGATCTATGCAGGTCACAGTCACCACGCACAACAAGAGCAGATGAACTGCTATCGGCGTTGATTTAGGCAGAAAGCATCGAAATCATACGTTTTCCATCTGTTCAAAAGGTGGATATGAGGCCGGCTTGCTGCATCCAAGTGGACCGGGTGCATGTATCCATAGCCATCCTCTGCTATGGCACGGTGAGCCATGACTAACAGCGTTTACACGGCCTGCTAAGCTTATTCTCAAACTTACGAGGGACTGCATCGGAGTAAACTTAAGAGTAAGCCACCTCCGTCTTGGCTTACATCGTCATGCTCGTCATCGTCATCGTCAATGTCAAAGTTAATGTCTCTTGATATTGACTGTCCTCACCGCATTCGTCTGAAGCGTTTAGCCGCTGATGCCGATGGAGATGGAGATGCAACGGCCGGAGGGATAGAGGCTGGAGCTACCACTGGGTCCGTCTCAGATCCAACCCTACCACCACGGTACCACCACCTACGCAACCCAACCAACCCGCCCATATCCCGGTGCGGGCCCGCCTCTACCCCGTTAGGGCAAGCACTGACATCGGTTTGAGATCTGACTCTGTACCTAAATTACCCGACGGCATTCTCTTTGGCATCAACTTTAAGTGACAAGTATCAGCATGAACCAGACATCAAGACTTCTCTCGAAAGATGCATAAATGCCAACCGATGATCCATCCGATCGTCAGGGGCCAAGCCCTCGCACTCGTCAACCAAACCCTCAACCAAAATCAGGGCCTGCCAAGTTCCAACATGTGCAGCCGTTTTGGCGAAGATCACCGTCCGCAATCCGAATCCCAATCCCAATCCCACATTTTTCCGCTGACCCAGCGATTGCATTTGCACTGCACCTTGGATCATGGATTCATGGGTGGACTGGACAGGACCCAGTCTTAGCCGCCGATCGAAATTCTGGACCCGGAACGGGAATTTCAACGACTCATCTTATCCTGCGAGCAATGACATTCATTTATTGGGCTTCATTTATAACGCAAATATTTTGTCGTGTTTCAGTTGACTCTTGAGATTGGGAATTAGGATCCTTTTAGGGCTGAGCCCGTTTCGCCGGTTCCATCCTTGCCTCCAAGTTATGTTGGACTTGGACGGCGAGACACTGACAGTGACAGCAAGTGAGGCTGTGAGATCGGATCGGCGCCGTTCACCCTTGCAAGAACGTGAAATCGTTGCGAGGAAACCTCATGCTTGGCTTGACGAAGACAAGACAAGACATTGTCCAAGCGCTGCGCGGATATCGTTCGCAGCGTATCCTAGGCACGGTCTTGACTGAGATCGATTTCAGAAAGTCGTACGTGCGAGGTGCCGAGGGCAACTGTACCGAAGACAATGCTGTTTGCTGCCGATATCCAAGAGATTGGGATAGTCGCCATTTCAGGACTCGTCGTCAGTAGCTTTTCAGCTCGCTCGGACATTCTTCGGTATGTCGTGCTGACCGCAGGGTTACGGCAGTCGCTACGAAGCCCTGGACTCTGTTAAACCCTGCCTTCCTGTTCATGTACATCGCGAGTCCTCGACCTTGCTTCCGTCACGATACTGAAGCCAAAGGCTTTGGCGATGTCCAGCGAAGACTACCATACCAACCAATCGTCTCAGATTCAAGAGCGCCACGCTCGGCGTGGTTCTGAAGTCCAATGCAAGCTCCATAGACGGGTTCGAAGTACCAGTAATCCATGGTTTGTTTATATTCTGTGCTATGAGGCGGGGCCGGCAATTCTAGATATACCCAGATAGACGAAGGGGAGCTATATGCATCCAAGATAGCATCGACAAGACGCAGACATCTGTTCAAACTTCGAAGGAAGGGCGAGTATCGTGGAAAAGATCTTACCCCAGATCCCAGACAGTAAAGATCATCCACATCATCCCACCTCCATTTTTCAACCTATGCTTCGGAGCAGGGCAGAACTCCGCATCGCATCCTCGTGGCGAACCGACGGGAGACCCCGGAAAAAGGACGAAGGGAGATGCAAGAACGCCTGTCATGAACCCACAGAGCCCAGAAGCCATGAATAGAATGACATGCGTCAAACCCACGCAGGGGCTCCAGCTCGCTGCAGCTCCGAGGCCAATGGTCTTGAACTTGAACCCCAAATACCCCAAAATAGGCGTTGAGCATGAGGGTCCTGGATGCCCATCTGCCCTGCCCCTCCCGTCTAGCGGGGTGGAAGCGCGGAGACCCCGGTGGATATGGATAAACCCCAGCCATCCTATGCCGGGGGACCTCATGCACGTCACCCCCATGCGGGGGCTGCAGCTTGGAAATGAAACCAATCCAGACACCCCGGGTCCGTGATCGGCGGACTGGAGCGTCAAGGGTCTTCGCAGGCTCCAGACACCCCCCGCCGCCAGGGCGCTTGATGACATGCGTATCAGGCGCCAGCGGGATGCAGAGTCGGGCCCAACCGCTAGATCTGTAGTACCACCTATACTATCCAGATGTCCTGATTCAGTGATCGGCGTACAGTACGAACTTGTTCTTCTCTTGAAGCGGGGCGATCGGTGATCGGTGCAGGTCGCGGATCTCAGGCCTGAAGCTCTTGTGTGTATGTCTGGTGATCGTCGTGTGTGGGTGTTTTCTTTGCCATCTTGCCCAGGGGTGACCGAAACCAGTGCTAACTGAGGTTTGCGGATGTCTGGCTTTGTACATCATGTCAAGTGTTTAGGCCCTATCATCCAACTCAATTCTACCTCTGGGTCTCCCAGTTAAGGGGGTACATAGTGCTGGATCGAACATCCATAAGTCGGCGCGGCAATGGAGAGCCCACGGTTAAGCAGTATGGAGGTCAGGCGCTATGTTCTCACTCGGAATCTGTTGCTTCATCTGTATCAAAACTGTTTCTAGCGAGTTTTTTCTGCAAGGGGGTCTGACGCTGTTGACTCTCCTACACCAATTAAAGAGCTATTGACTGACATATTGTAGAGCACACCTGGCTCGCTATCCAGGCAATGCGTTCAATGAAAGAGATATCGGAGCGTAGAATAGATATATTATCTCTGCCAAAAGGTATGCAGGCTGACTTTCCAAGAGGACACCAGAGTTTAGGGATGCCAGAGGGAACGATATCAGAACCACCGACAAGCTGCCCACCACGACTACTTCCCCTTCCGCACCGTCTTCGGCTGCCGAAGCATAAACTATCCCGTTAGCACCGCAGCTTCTACATCATTCCTTCCACTCACAGTATACACATGCCTCCCAACGCCCCCATACTCCGCCGCATCAAACTCCCCAACCCTGACAACCTCAAACCCAAACCGCTCATACAACGGCCTCCCCTCCCCCGCCGCCTCAAAATAAACCCTCATCCCCAGCCGATCCGCAAGCTCAACCCCCCACTGCACCAGCGCACTCGCAACCCCAACCCCCCGGTACCCAGGATGCGTAAACAGCGTCTCGAGCTCAACCCGCGGGACCAAGCCCACAACAGCCCCGTGATTATCCCGTAGCCCAAGAACCTCCCATTTCCCGGCTGTCGCCATGGTATAGAATGCCCGTGTGGCGGCCTCATTCGTCTCGGGGATAACGCGACGCATGACCTCGTGTTCAACGGCTTCTTGCAGCGTGGTATAAACGCGCTCCTCCTTCGTAACGATCCACCGCGCAACGCCGATAATCGCGCCCGTGTCCTCGTCCACGGCCTTGAACATGCGCGCTGTCGGCATCATGGCGATATCGCGGAGGCGCGCGGCGGTGAGTTTTTCGAGGGAGGACGGGCTGGGTGGGTGCGTTTTGTAGAGGAGGGTGTTGAACGCGGCGAAGGATAGGTCTGCGACGGCGAAGGCTTCGATGTAGTCGCGGGGGAGGAGGGGGCGGATTGTGAAGGAGCTGGACATGGTGGATTGGATTAGGATAAGGATAGTGATAGTGATAGTGATGATGGCGTTAGGGACATTAGGTAGGAGACGGATGGTCGCAGTCATCATCCATCATGTTGACCGAGGAGTGTACCGTAGTCGGCGAGTCAAAAGGGAAGGCACGGCCTGGTCGACCTCATAGAACCAGTCGATGACTTTGCTGTGCATCTCATTCTAGTGCGTAGAGTATCGTTGGGAACAACCAGATACAACAGCAGTGGTGTCTTCATATCGAAGTCGCACAGTATGTCTGGTTTTGCAGCCCGTTCCAAGTGTCCTGCGACAATCTGCCCGAGTCGTCGATTCGACGCATATCGTGAAAAGAACACGATGACCGGAGTATGCTCTGCGTCAGTTCTGCGGGAACAATGCGCCTCTGGCTGGGTCTTTCCTGGGGTTAATAGTTACGACAGGTTTCCCAGGGCAAAACAAGAATCTAGCCTCACGGAACAACCTGGGAAGCCAACCCCAAATGCCCTCAACTACGGGCAAGATAGCTGATGACAGGGGACTGTGGTTGCTGGCACTCCTGAACGGGCTTCTTGTGGCAGATCATGTTTTTGCCGCACGAGGCCTCTAGTATGTGTCTAGTCGGGGACGCCGACCGGGACTGAAACCGAGGCCACTAGACAGTGAGTAATTGATCATTGTACAGCACAGAGTCCGCGGCGACCACCTGTCTCATGGTAGTGGTATAAGTGTCTGCATTGAGGGCTTCGCGCCGGGAAATCCGAGGTTAAATCGCGGGAGGAGCTGATTCCTGAAGGATCGCGGCCGAGTGCTTGATTGCAGCCACACGGGAGGTTCCAGTTCCCGTTTCTTCATGCCGACATCATCTCTAACCCTGAAGGTAACTCGGTGAGGACAGCCTGACCTGATTGACCCCCAGTGTGGGGATCCCCGCATTAGGGCGAGCTCGGGGCCGGGGTAAAGCGCCCCGACGCAGCCATCCACGCCCCAAGGTGACAAGATCGGCATGAAGCAGAACCTGTGTGGAGATGACTGTTCAGACTCGGGGAAATGCAGCGCGAGTCTGGGGATTCATTATCTCCCCGTTTCTCCTCATTCAGTCTTCCTTCTAGCTGGATCTAGCTCGAAATATCATTCTACGGCACGATGCGTCTATGGAAACACGACTTTCGAGGCAGGGCCCTGGTTATCGCCATTGCCCTGGCGTCCTGCCAGGCTTTTCTCCTGCTGGGATTTGATCAGGGCGTAATGAGCGGCCTGGTTGGGGCGGACAACCGGTTTGGTATGCACTTCCTTCATTGGCTTTCCATTATTAATCCCTTGCTAGGCCGCGACTTCAATAACCCAGATGCCGACATGCAAGGCAACATAACCGCCCTCTACGACATCGGCTGTGTCCTCGGCTCGATCGTTTCATACTTTGTCGGAGAATGGCTGGGGCGACGGACGATGCTGATGTCTGGGGGTGGGATCATGATCGTTGGCACAATAATCCTGGCGAGCTCGGACACGGTGGCCCAGCTGATCGTGGGTACGTACTGTCCTGCAAACTGCCTGCAAGTCTGACAGGTTAGGACGCATCGTCACCGGCGTCGGGAACGGCATGAATTCGTCAACAGCCCCGATCTACCAGTCCGAGTGTGCGCCGGCTTCATACCGAGGAGCCCTCCTTACCCTACAGGGAACCGTCACGATTCTAGGTGTTGTGATTGCTTACTGGTATGATGGCTGTGCCAAACCCTTACCATGCTAACAAACATAGGATGGACTATGGAACAAGCTTCACCGAATCATCACTGCAATGGCGCTTCCCGCTCGCTTTTCAGGCCGTCTTTGCCATACTCCTCGTGCTTCAGGTTGTCGGCCTCCCAGAGACACCGCGCTGGCTGGTCCAGCACGACCGTCATGACGAAGCACGCGAGGTCGTCGCTGCCATCACCGAGCGAGACGCAAATGATCCCGACGTCGCGCGAACGATCCTCGACATCCAGGTCGGCCTGAAAGAAGAGCAAAAGGGCGGGCCGTTCAGATTCAAAGAGCTCTTCACCTGGGGCGAAGAGCAGAACCTTCGACGACTGCTAATTATCATTAGCGTGGAGCTTGGGCAGCAGTTCACCGGATCGAACATGGTACTGACCCTCCACCCCTCGAGTCATCTACTAAGCACTAACCGTGTAGATCAACTACTACGGCCCCGTCATGTTCCAAACGACAATGAACATGGGCCGCAACCTCTCCATGATCCTCGGCGGCGCAATCCAATGCACATACCTGGTCGGATCCGCAATCCCCGTGCTGCTAATGGACCGCTTCGGCCGGCGCACCCTGCTAATGATCTGCTCGGTCGGACTGTGCTTCTGCTTCGTCATGGTCTCGATCCTGCTCTCCCTAGACAGCACAAATGCCGCATACGGCGCGACCGCATTCATCTTCATCTTCCAGATCTTCTACGGCATCGGCTGGTTACCCGTGCCGTGGTTCTACCCGAGCGAGGTATCAACGACACGAACACGAACGCGCATGCAGGCCATTGCGTCGGGGTGGAACTGGATGGCTGTTTTTGCGGTTGTCAAAATCACGCCGCTTGCGTTCGGTATGTCCCAACCTACTCCACCTACTAAAGGTCTAGCTAACAAGCCTGCGTAGAAAACATCGGCTGGCGCACCTTTGTGATCTTCGCCGTCCTCAACGCCGCCTTCATCCCCATGGTCTACTTCTTCTACCCCGAGACCAAGGGGCTGGAGTTGGAAGATATCCCGCTGCTTTTTATCAAGGGTGGAGTCACGGGTGGTGTGTTTTCCTCGAAGGGTGGGAGGACGGTTATGCCGGGGCAGCATGCGGTGCAGACGGATGTTGGTCGCAAGGTTGAGGGGTTGGGGGGTGAGTTGGAGGAGGTTGAGGCTGTTGCTTAGCGGCCTTCAGGTGAATCAGCATACCGAGCTAGAGCTGATAGATATAGAGATAGAAATTGAACCGAGGACACGCCATTGCAATACAACGATTACGAAGGCATGAAATGACATTTCACTCACTCTCAAAGGTTTCGGCATATACTGCTACACCATAAAAATTGTTGGTTGTAGGGCTGTCCTTATACCCAATATGCTTCCCAGAAGGTTAGCATATTGTACTGTTTCACCCTTGCGATATTAGTGGACCTTGTACCAGTTCCTGTTTCTAGACATCTAGGTTTATGGTCACGGAGCTCAGGTACGAATTAATCAAAGCATCTAACCTATTAAATATTTACTTGTATAGTAAAAACAGACTCAAGCCGTAGAGACCACTCCATGCTCATGACATGTTAGTATACCGCTATAACATAAAAGCCAATTCGCTTGAAGCCAGCCCTTATACTCCAACGAAAGCAACCATTGCTAACCACTATGTACCACCAGCCCTAAGCACCCTGTTAACCACCCCGAAAAGCGCCCTCCCCCCCTAAGGGGCAACCACAAATTCGTCCTCCTCCACCTATTAACTCATTAAGCCCCCTACACCCCCTAACAGCCCGCCCCCACCGTCGCAAAATCGTCTCCGTAACCTCCCACCCCGCTGTATCCCACTGACCCCGCAAAACAGTGATTCCCGTCTCGCCCCGCCTGATATCCTTCTTAACACTGCCGGCTAGAGGGTGGGAAAGAGTCAGAGATAAAGGCAGTTGCGCGGAGTTAAGCATACTTTGAAGACGCTATGCCTGGAGAAAAAACATGCTGGACTTGATATGCTTGCCAGAAGTATCCGTATCCCATGGATTCAGGTTCTATTTACATACAGACAGCGAGAATATGGTATGATCTTGCCCTCTGTCTCGTCCTCCAATGATCAGTCTCAAGTACAGCCACTCTGGGAACGTATAAATTACCGCTTCGGCGGTGGATACAGACCAGGAGGATGGATCCGTTGACCTCAGGAATATGGTGCTAACCAAGGCTCTGGCTATGCTCCTTATATGGACGGTTACTCACTGCCACCGACCTACAGCTACTACTAGGGCTGCTTAACCGGTGGCGGGCAAGGTGATGCTCGCGCAGTTCTACCTGGAGCTGCCGTTTGACGGCATATACGCCGGGGGTCCTGGGAACTACGAAACGCACTTTATACTCAGCTTTCTGGGCCAGGATATTTTGGACATTATCGTTGAAAAGCTCTTTATGCCTATTAAAAAACCGACTTTGTCAAGGAGAGATTAGTTGAGAATTCTCAACGGCAATTTCGACATCCAGACTCTAGAGTGTGAGCCTGGTCAAAGCATAATTAAAAAAAAAACGCTCTGCATCATATTAGCGCAAGTACAAGCCATTCAAGCTATTTACTTTGTAGCAAAAGACTCACGCACCAGCGATGCTGGCCACCAAGCTTTAACTTCCTCGCGGAAAGTGCATGGCTTCAACAAGGACAACCCTCGTCAGCTCCTTCTCGCTTGCACCTCTTCGATATACAACTCATACTTTCATACTCTCTCATCAATGCATTTGCCATAACTTGTTGCTTGATTAAACCAACCTACATTCTCAAGCAACCGCAACAAAGAACGCTTTCTCCCCTTCCTTCCTCCCCACCTCAGCCCTCCTCACAATCTCATCCCCAACCGCAAGCCTGACTCTCTCCACGGTGGCCGGACTATGCAGCACCAACGGCTCAGTGACGCCCCTCTCCCTCCTCGCAAACCCCAGCGCATCCCTCAACGCAAAGAGCACACTACACCCCATGAAAAGCGGCGGCTCGCCAACCCCCTTGCTACTCTGGATACTCCGCAGCGTCTTCCACATCGTGCCTTCCTCATTATCCTGCAAGAAGCTCACATTGAACACCTGCGGGATGTCCGCGAACCCGGGGATCTTGTACGTCCCCGGCCCGCGCGTCGCAAGTTGGCCCGATTGCGTCCACAGCGACTCTTCCATCGTGAAGAGGCCCTGTCCCTGCACGAACGCGCCTTCGATCTGCCCGTAGTCGATGGCCGGGTTAATGGAGCGCCCAACGTCCATTTTGAGATCGGTGCGCAGGACGCTGTGTGTGCCTGTGAGCAGGTCGAGTTCGATTTCCGTGCAGGCCGCCCCCTGCACTGTTAGTAGCTGACCCTAGTAAAGAGAGTGTAGGCATACCTGTGTGAAGTAGAAATACATCGGCTTCACGGCTTCGGGGTCATAGTTCCCCCACTCGTACCCGATCGTCGGCATCTTGTAGAATCCCACAGCGGAGAGATTGACGCGATCTCGATACGCAGCCTTCGCAAGGACACCCAGTTCTACATCCCCGAGTTTCTCCCGGTACGGTCTCAACCGCTCATTGAGCTGATCGCACGCATGCTTGATCGCCATGCCGTTGAGGTCACTCCCTGAACTCGCGGCCGTCGGACTCGCATTTGCCGTTTGATAGCTCGATGTATCCTGCGTGTACACTTGCTCCACAGGGACACGAAGCTCCTGCGCCGCAACCTGCACCATCTTCGTATACAGGCCCTGTCCCATTTCCGTCCCGCCGTGGTGCAGCAGCACAGACCCGTCCGTATATACGCGCACGGTAGCAGACGCCTGATTCAGATGCAGGGCCGTCGCAAACGAGATGCCGAATTTCGTGGGGATGAGACTGATTCCTCGTTTGCGCCAGCGGTGTTCCTTATTAAACGTCTCGATTTCCCTCCTGCGCTTGTCATACTCCGCCTCTTGTCGAACCTGCTCCAGCAACAGCGGGACATGCCAGTCGGCGTCAAGAACCTGGTTGAACGGCGTGCGCTGCCCGACTTCATACAGATTCCGCCGCCGCACCTCGTCGACATCCAGCCCAACCTTCTCCGCCACAGCGCAGATAATGCTCTCCGCAAAATACATCGCCTGCGGCGCGCCAAACCCCCGGAACGCCGTATTCGAATGCGTATTCGTCTTGCACACGTGCCCGCGCAGCCAGACATTCGGGACGTAGTAGCAGTTGTCCAAATGCGTCAGACACCGATCCATCACGGCCGCCGACATGTCAACCGAGTACCCCGCGTTATTATACGTGTCCGCGTCCAGAACAAGCAGTTTGCCGTCCGCACCAAACCCAACGGTCCAGCGGCACTGGATCGGATGCCGCTGGCCCGAAGTCATCATGTCCTCGTCGCGGCTGAGCATGATGCGCACAGGCCGCCGTGTCTTCTTCGCGGCGACGGCAACGATGCATGCGATCGGCACAGAGCGCGATTCCTTGCCCCCGAATGCGCCGCCCATGCGTCGGACGCGCGCGTTGATTTTGTGCCGGGGTACGTTTGTCACTTGGGAGATGAAATCTTGCGTTTCCATTCTACGTCTGTTAGGCTGGTTTTGTTCCAAGGTTGGTGTGAGGGGTAAGGGGGAAGGGGGAAGGGGTAAGTTAGGGTTCGTGCGGACATACGTATTCTGCGTCGACGACCAAACATCCATGCTCCCGTCTTCGGCGTGCGGGATCGCGATCGCCGCGTTGGTCTCGAGGTAGAAGTGCTCCTGCCCGCCTATACGACTTGTGCCGGAGAGCGTGAACTCACATCCCTCCAGAGCCTTCCCAATCTCATCCGGCGCCGCGCCCCGTCGCAACTCCTTCCCGTACCTGAAGAACGAGCCCGCCTCGATCGCTTCGTCGATGCTTAGTATAACGGGCAGATCCTCGTAGACGACCTTGACAGCCCTCGCAGCCGCTTGAGCAGTCATGGCATCCTCCGCATAGACAAGACCAATGGGTTGTCCGTGCGCGAGGACCTCCCCCTTCGCGAAAACCGGCTCGTCGTGCACGACCGGTCCCCAATGGTTCCTGTCTTCGGGGAGAGAGGTATGATCTACATACCCCAGCGCTCCGACTTCAAACGCAGATTCCCAGTCAACGCTGACGATCCTCGCATGAGCACGCTGAGACAGCACAAGTGCACCGTGCAGCTCGCGATGCAGCGGGGGCATGTCGTCCACGTACTCTGCTTCCCCGGTGGCATGTTTCAGGCCGCTGAGATGGGGGATCTGTTGGCCGACGACGCGTTGCGCGTGCGGGTTGTGATCGTTGCGTGAGCCGGTTGATAGACCCCTGTGGATCTCCTCGACCAGATCAGCGTCGAACTGTAGGCTGAGTTTCTGGTTCACGTGGTTCCAGAAGCGGGTGAAGAGGGAGAGGGTTAGGGTTCGTCTATACGTCGCCATTCCGCCGGGTACGCTGTAGGGGAGGTTGAATTCGTGGCTTAGTGAAGTTAGGACCATGTCAAGGAGGGCATTGTCGCCCCAGCGTTTGCCCTTTAGGGCTTTTGCGGTCTTTGCGGCGAGGATGGTTGTCGGCGCCATGCCTCCGAAGGCGAGTGATGCCTCTTGCACAATGAAATCAGGGCTGAGACGGACGCGGAATGCAGCTGTCACAATGGCGATGTCGTCGTCTTTGCGCTTGGCCTGTTTGTAGGCGTTCACAATCTCTATTTCGTACTGAGATGGCATCGGGATCGAGATTCTGGTGATGATGCTGCCGGTCGGGAGCGCGGTCTTCCTGTACCCCGTGAACATCTCACTCATTTTGATCGATGTCTCCGTTTCGATGGTCCGCGCGTGGACAGTTGCATCCAGTGCCAATAGGAGCGGATTCATATCGGATATTGGAGACGCGGTCGCGATGTTTCCCGCTAGACTGGCAGCGTTGCGGATCTGTCGACCGGCGAAGTACCGCAATGTCCTGGCGATGGAGGAGAGAACAGATGCGTACCCTGGGTTCTCCGCTTCGAACTCGGGTATGGACCGCAGACACTCAGCCTCGATGTCTGACAACGACGCCGAGCCTCCGATCTCCAGTGTTTTCTTACCCTCGCTCCAGGATATCCCCGTAAGCTCTGGGATGTCGCCGATGAATACACTGACAGCCGGCTTGAAGTCCTTGAACCGCACGTCGACCTGCACTTCACTTGCGCCTGTTACAAGTGTAGTAGATGGATGCTGGGAAAGAATATCCAGTGTCTCTTGGATCGTTGTAGGCTTGACCCACGCCTGTTTTTCATCGCCGTAACAAAGCAATTTCGGCTCGAACTTCGCTAGACCCGGTGGGTAGATGAGCTCCGTTGTTGGCGTGTAGGGGATGAAGTCGAATTGTTCAGATAAGCCCGGGGTCGATGGTGCCGTGATGCTCGTGTCCCTGGAACACGATGATCCAGGGCTAGGGCTATCCTTGCAACACCCCCCAGGCCGACCGCAGGAGGCGGACGAACTCAAAGACCCTCGTGAGTCTGGCGTCACATCGACCTCTTCGTCCGTCAAAGCCGGAGCCGAGTCAACGACCGGCACCCCCAAGTCCTCCTGGATGAACGTCTTCGCCGCATCAAGAATCGGCTTGTACCCCGTGCACCGACACAGATTCCCATCGAGATGCCCCCTGTCCTCGATATCGTCCGCGGTAAGCCGGAATTCGCCCGTGAGCGGATCATACGCATTCCGTACCATCGCATAGAGGGACATGACGATGCCCGGCGTACAGAATCCACACTGCGACCCGTGCATCTTGGCGATGCGCTCTTGCAGGGGGTGTGGGGTGTCTACCGTTCCCAGGCCTTCGATCGTTATGACGTGTTTTCCGGCGACTTCGCTGTTAGCATACACCGTGTAAATCTAGATGGGTGCCGTACCCCCAATCAACGGATAGAGACACGCATTCACAGCAAGATGGCGGATCTTCTTCCCCTGCCGCCGTGTCTGCAATACAACCGTGCACGCACCGCACCCGCCCTCGCCGCAGCCGAGCTTCGTGCCCTTGAGCCCATCCTGCGAGCGGATGAAGTCGAGGAGCGTCCAGCGGGGATGGGGACTGGAAAGGGAGATGGGCGTGCCGTTGAGGTAGAAGGTGAGCGGCGGTGATGAGGGGAGGGGATTCATGGTGACGGTCCACCAATTCGGGTAGGCAGGTTGGAGTCGAGTTGAGATGGGTTACCACATAGAAATACTAATGCATAGATATTGATATTGCTTGTCTAATCTCAAGAGGATGTTGGAGTAAGCTGGAGATAGAGGAGTGAGATGAGGTCAGGGCCAACCCCCAACCTTGGTCGACGCCACCAGACTCGTATTCACATCCCCACGTTTGGCTGCAGCTCCTGGACATCTGCAACGCAGCCCAACAGTGGCGCATCCAAAATATAAGGCCGCCCAATTACTCTTCATGTTGGTTGAGACAGGAACAAAAGAAACAGCCATTGACCGCTGCCTCCCTCGATCCAATTCCTACAGCCGACGTACGTCCCCGGCCCAAGCCCTAACTCCCTCCATCCCACCATTCAGACCAAGCTCACAACCACAGTCTCCCACTACAGACCAAGTAAAGACAAGACAATGGGCTCCCTCTCTCCGCTCGACCCCCTCTTCACACCCCTCCGCCTGGGCTCGCTGTCCCTAGCCCACCGCATCATCCAAGCCCCCTGCACACGCATGCGCTCAACGCCGGACCCCTCGGCCCCGGGCGTCTGGGTCCCCAACGACCTAAACGTGACATACTACGCCCAGCGCGCGAGTAAAGGCGGGCTGATGCTCACCGAGGCGACGCCGATTAGCCGGGATGTAAGCTCCCCCTTCGCTCTACCTACCCTACTTCCATGGCTCAGCGGTTAACGAGACGGGGTGGACAGGCAGCAGGATACCCCGGCGTCCCTGGAATCTTTACGCCCTCCCAAATCGCAGGCTGGAAGAAGGTCACTGATGCGGTGCACGCGAAAGGCGGGATCATCCTGTGTCAACTGTGGCATGTCGGGCGCGCAACAACGCCGGGTATGCTGGGCGGGAAGACGCCGCTTGCCCCGTCGGACATTCCGATGTCGGGGAATGCGCTCGATGGCACGGTGTATGCGGATGCGCCGCCGAAGGCGATGAGCGTCGAGGAGATTAAGGGTACGGTTGAAGAGTACGCGGCGGCTGCGAAACGGGCGATGGAGGCTGGGTTTGACGGGGTTGAGATCCACGGTACACATCCCCTGCCTACAAGCACCGTATCCTTGTTGCGAATCCAGGACTAATAGGCGATGACAGGCGGAAACGGCTACCTCCTCGACCAGTTCCTACACGACAACGTCAACACCCGGACTGATAGCTACGGCGGGAGCATCGAGAACCGCGCCCGGATCGTGCTGGAGATCATCCACGCCGTGACGCAGGCGATTGGGCCCGACCGCGTGGGCATCCGGCTCTCACCGTACAACTACTTTCAAGACACGCGGGACTCGAATCCGCAGAAACACTGGGGGTATCTCTGCTCGCAGATCGCGGCGCTCCCGGAGTCTGCAAGGCCAGCATACGTGCACATGATCGAGCCGCGGTTTGATGAGGTTCTGGACGAGAGCGAGAAGATTGACGCCTTGGAGACGACGCAGGAGGTTGTTAAGCCATCTCTCGACGGGTTCAGGAACGTCCTGAAGAAGGGTGGTGTGTCGTTCATTGCGGCGGGGAACTTCAAGGCCGAGAATGCAGGCGAGAAGATCAGCTCTGATGGCGCGGACGCCGTGGCGTTCGGACGCCTGTTCATCAGTAACCCCGATCTACCGCGCCGACTGCAGGAGGGGCTTGCGGTGAATGCGTACGACCGGGCTACGTTCTACGGCGCGAGTCCGCCGGAGAGGGGATATACCGACTATCCATTTGCTGCGTAGCTACCATACAACCCTACATAGAGATAGATACATAGCATAAAGGCTAAACTGAATCAGACGCCAAATTCACCAAGACCTTCATGGCATCATGCACAACCGCCCACCGCACCGTAGCCAGCTGCTGCGCCATGGCTCGCACCAGCGGGCGCGTGTCATACTGCCCGCCCAATGCCTCCAGTTCATCCCCAGCGGACGTCATGGCCACAATCAGACTCGACAGATCCGTCGGCTTCTTCGGCAGGTCGTCGCGCGCATGGAACGCCCATACCGTCAAAGTCGCGAGGTACAGACACCACGGGAAGTGGAACGCATCCGTCTGGTCCCAGTCATGCAGACTCAGCACCGCATCTTGCAGAAGGCACGCAGCATGCCGCGACGCCGTCGCCGACGAACTGCCAGCAAGCCAGCGCGCGAGCATGAGACGTGAGCGATCGCGGTCCTGGCCCGATACAACACGCCCCAGAATCTGGCATGCCCCCGCCGCAATCTGCAGATCGAGGACCTCAACATGCAGCGCCAGACTAGCGGCGCGGTACAGCGCCATCGCCGCGCCCTTGAGCGTGGTGAACCGCCTCATCTCATCCGCCGAGACCCGCACAGGCCCCAGCTTCATGTTCAGCACGTCGGCGTCAAAGTCCGCCTTCCAGAGGTCATACGCCCTCCCCATGCGCGGCGCCCACGCGCCCACGCGCTCCGGCATCCCCCGGAGCGTCGTCTGGTCGCGCCGTTTCAGGTCCGCGCTGATAGACATAAGGCCATGCAGGACAACCATGCGCGACGGGCCGTTCAGATCCCGTGGTCGGGACATCGCGCCGGGCGTGATATACCCCTTTAACACGGGGAGGAAGAGCCGCTCGGGATCCCGGGCTGCATGCCGAGCCCATTCTTCTGCGGTGTGGGCGTCCCACGCGCCAGGGCAACAGGGCAGGGCCGAGCGGATCTCGAACGCGGACATGCACAGGCTCTGGCTGAAGAGGACGGCGTGCTGCGTGTCCCACATGAAGCACTGGAGGGCGAGGCGCTTGCGCTGTTCCGCGGCCATGGCGTCTTTCCACGTCTGTTCGAGATCTGCGCCCTCCATTCCTCCGAGTGGTTCGATTTGAGAGCGGATGGAGCAGCATGTACTCCTCCGAATCAGCTTGATCAGAACGCAGTGGAACAGCTGCGCGGTCTCGCGCTGCCGCGGGCCCGCGCGCATCTTGCCGAAACAGTCGATCAGCAGCATCGCCTGGAGCACCCACAGCTCGGGCTGCGGGCTGAATGCGGCGTTGCAGAAGAGGGTGGTGCGGAGGGAGTCGTGGATGCCGACGGCGAGGCGGTGCGCTTCGCGGGTGCTGTATGTTGCGCCCATTGAGAGGATGGCTGCCAGGAAAACGGGCTCGATGGCGTTGGGGTCGAAGGTTGCGGGGTGGATGAGCGGGTATGTGGTGTTGAAGCGGGAGAAGAAGAGGTCGCTGTATGTTTGGAGGGAAGATAGGGAGAGGAGCGGCGAGTCGAGGTTCAAGGGCTGGCCGTGGATGTCGACTGGGGGGCTTTGGGCGATTAGGGCTAGGATGCCTCGGCGGGCGTCGTCGGTGAGTTGGGGGCGGAGGGGGACGGTGTTCTCGACTGGGGGTGCACCGGCCATCCAGTCGAGGTCTGGGAAGTCCGTTCGTTTACTGTTGTCGCCGTGGTTGTTGCTGGTACTTCGTTCGACGAAGCTCGCGGCCTGCAGTAAAACAGACGACCCGTCCTGTCCAGTCGCATGTTCATACTCCGGCAGGGGAAGCCCCTTGAGGTCAATATCCAGGTCGAGGTTCAGCATATCCTGTACTGCATTATCCGGACCCGAGACGTCAAAGTTCGCACCGTCATTATCAGCGTTCGCAAACGGAACGAGATCCGGACCCAGAGGCAGCGGGAGGTCGAGGTTGAACGCGTCGTCGAGCGAGGAGACATCGAAGAGCCAGTTGTAGTTGCCCGTTGCGGCGAAGGGGAGGTTGAAGTCGGTAGCTGCACTCTTAGCAAGTTCCTACAATAGCAAGTAGAAGACATACCGGTGTCCAGCATCATATCCCCCAACCCAGCACCCCACGACCCATCCGCCGCATCGAACTGCCCCGGGATCGGCTCGACGTACGGCTCGAACGGGCCACTCGGCATCATGGGTGCAAGCAGCGGGTCTGGATCGTCGTCGTCGAACGAGACACCGGAGACAGAGACCGGATCGCCCGCTGATCGCGGCGGGGAGACTGGAGCTTGGGCGTGAGGATGAGCCTGCGCATGGGCATAAGGATATGAATGGGGATGAGGATGAGCCAGATCCGGCGACCCCTCGCTCCCCATCCCCATCCCCATCTCCAGCTCGCCAGCAGACGAAGACGACGACTCAGCGGAAACCGACAACGCAGCCCCCGTCTTCTGGACGCCATGCCTCGCCCTCTTCGGCGGCCGTACAACAATACTCCCATCCTCCGCCCTGCGCATGCGCTTCCTCGTCTCGAGCACACCCCGTCCAACACCCCCCGCCTCAGCATCCTTCTTCGCATGCCGGTCCATATGCCGACTCAGCAGGTCCGGGCGGCTGAAATGCGTCATGCACCGCGGGCAGGTGTGGCCGTGGCTCTGGCTGCCGGCCTCATGGTTCAGCGAGTGGCGGCGCAAGTGCTCGGCGCGGGTGAAGGCTTTGGTGCAGCCGGGGTGGGAGCAGGTGTGTTTTTTGGATGGTTCTTTCATTGTAGTCTTTCCTTGTTGACAGGCGGAGACGGAGACAGGGAGGGATAGAGGAGGGAGACGCTGGATAGCTCGGAGCAATCGTTCGTTATAATCTGTTGCAGTGGAGATGGAGATGGAGACGAGACGTGCGGGGTCGACTGAGGCCAGGCTCGAATCACAATGGCAATATGCATGATGACCTGGCTGTGATACGGTCGGACAGAGATACGGGTGATAAGTACGAGTCTAGCCCTATCGTGCTATCAGTCTGTGCTATGCAGGACCACCTGTAGTCGCCCTACCTACTGTAAGTACAGAGAGGTTACAAGAAATACCGCCACTCCGGACTGCCCTCGCCCTCCCCCAGCATCCTGGTCTCAACCTGGCCCGCCACAATCCTCCTCCCCTGCGCCTTATCCCTCCGTCGATTCTCCGCCCTCATCCAGAATCCCAAAAACGCCGTAGCCAGAATACAAACCCCATTACACGCGCACGTCGCCACCAGCGTCGGCACATAGCGCGGCGCATACTCCGTCCTGAACGTCGCCGCACTCAACACACCCGCGATATTCCCCAGCCCAACAAAGAACCCCGTATTAGCCGCCCTTGAGTTCTCATCCGTGTTATTGTTGTTGTGCCACGCGTGCACCAAACACGTGGGTATATACGCGCCGCTCGCGAGCAGGAAGCACGCGAAGTACGCGACGCCCTTGTTGTTGCCTACATTGATGGCTGCGAGAATCAGCATGCCGACGAGCGAGATGAGCAGGCTGAGGATGATGTGCATGCTGCGCTCGCGGAAGTAGTCGGAGGATTTGGCAACGGCGAGCAGGACGACCGCGCCGACGAGGTTCGGGGCGACGGTCCACAGGTTTGTTTTGATCACGCTGTAGCCGAGGCGCGCGACGATCTGCGCCTATTAGCTGGTCTGTATACCAAAGCAGGGGATGGGACGTACAATCGGGAAGAAATTCATCGCCGTCGCGTACGCAACGGGGTACGTAAAGGTGATGACCGCCCAGACGGGGAACTTCCAATCGCTCCACGTCTTAAACGCAGCCTTGAGCTCGAGCTTCGTCTCGACCTCGGCCGAGGTATCACGCAGCAAGCGTGCAGAAGCCGCCGCTCGTTCGCGCTCGTTCAGAAACCACGCGCTCTGCGCTCTGTCCGGGAGCCACCAGAACCCAATCACCCCGATGATGAGCGTCATCGACCCCTCCACGATAAACAGCCACTGCCAGCCTTTCACGGTGGGGTGGTTAATCTGGAAGAGGCCGAAGGAGATGAGGCCGGAGAAGGCGGAGGCGAGGACGGCGAAGGACTGCAGGATGGCGAGGCGGAAGCCCATTTCGTTGCGGGTGTAGAAGAGCGTGAAGTAGAAGGTCGAGCCGGCGAAGAAGCCTGCTTCGAAGATTCTACTTTGTCAGCACTTGTCAGGACATGGGGTGTAGGGTAGGTACCCAAGTATAATCCGTATAACAAGCAGACTTCCAAAGTTGTGAGCGGCGCATTGGCAGAGCGCGCAGATGCCCCAGACGACGGTCACTGCACTCCAGGCATTAGCACTGCCCACAACTATGGTAATAAGAAGGACATACTAAATGACAGCATAATCCGCGCCGAGTACCGTTTAATCAGCAGGTTCCAGGGCAAGTCAAACAGACCGAAGGGGATATAAAACAGCAAAATAAGCAACGAGTAGTCGTTGCCCTGAAGGTTGATGTCCACCTCCAGGCCGTCGGTTTTGGCGTTGGCCAGGTTGCTCTAGACTCTGTTAGCTTGTATCCCATCGAATGCAATTGAAGTCCTAGGTGTAGTGGGTGCAATACGTACGCGGTCCATGCAGTCGAAGAAGTACATCTACGGTTCCAGTTAGCCCTATCCCCATACTCGCGCCAAACAGTGGACGGAGACAGCAAACTCACCAAACACAGCAAAGGCAGGACATAAAAGTCCACCTTGCGCACTACGCAAGTCAGCTTAGTTCAGTCAGCATGGCCGGATCAACAAACCAAAGCTCCTCTCCGCCTCGACGTCCACATACACACTGCTCGTGCCCTTGGTCTCCTCCGGTCTCGCACTAGCCGAAGCGGAGGGGACTTTCTCGATGTCGGCCTCAGTACCCATGACGACGGTGGACAGGACTATGCATCGAAGACCGAAAAGGGGTGGAGCAGTGTTGGAGAGGGCGGGGTTTATAGCGTTCCCTCTGCGTCGTTAGTTGTCACTGTCACTGTGCAGGTAACCCCATCATTCCACCGCTATCTCCAGAATCGATAGTCGAGTCCTCGATAGCACCACCCCGGCCACGCTAGATAGCAGTTGGAGAAGCTGCCTGCAGGTGGAACAGGCTAGACAGGTTGGGTCCGGCCCTATCTAATCAGACCCCCACCCTTGCCATATCCCACTTTTGATCAGCCGTACGTATAGTACTTTGGCTTGGAGGCAAAGCGCTCCCCTGCGCTCAATAGATGGAGAGAGCCTGGAGGCTCCAGACCCAGTGGTCAGCTACTCCGTAGGTGATCCGGACAACTACCCGGCCATCTGTCATCTCCAAGGCGTGAGGGGATGGAGGGGCTATGGTAGATAATAAGCTCGACGCGGTCGGAGCAGTAACAGTAACCACAACACTCACCACAGCTCAATCGATCCAAACAACCTTACCCTTCACTCGTAGGATCAAATCCATTCATCTTGCACAATCCATCACCAGCCTCGGCGCGTCAATCCCAAGTCCAACCTATCCAACACACCAGCATACGCAAAAGGACACAGACACAGACAGCATGTCCCCCACCGCGCCCCCAATCCTCGACTTCTCCCCCTTCTACGGCACGGACGCCACCGCAAAGGCAAAGCTGGTCTCGCAGGTCCGCGAATCATGCGAATACAACGGCTTCTTCCAGATCACGGGCCACCGCATCCCGCGGGAACTGCAGGTGCGCGTTATGAGCGCCGCGAAGCGGTTTTTCTCGTTGCCGCTGGAGGAGAAGATGGGGATTGATAAGAGTGCGTTTCGTCCTCTACATATACTACATTGAGGAGGGTGTGGCTGATAAGGACGGTGTAGACCTCAACTCCTTCAACCGCGGGTACGAGCTGCTTCGATCGCAGATGCTGGAGGTCGGTACGGGGCCGGAACTCAAGGAGGGACTGTATATCGGAGAGGAGATTGGGACGGATCATCCGTACTACGTGAACAAGCGGCTGAATTCGGGGCCGAACCAGGTGCGCCTCCATTCATTGATTTACAGTCTACAAAGTAGGTAGGTAGGGATACTGATACTCTGCAGTGGCCCGCGACCGTACCAGACGCCGACGAATTCCGGGCGACCGCGATGGAGTACTACCACGCCGTCTACGAGCTCGCGAAAGACGTGCTCGCCGTGTTGGCGCTGACCCTCGATGTCGACGAGTCGTTCTTCGACCCTCTGACGACCGGCGGCGTCGCGACAATGCGCATGCTGCACTATCCCAGCCAGCCGAAGGACGAAGACGAGAAGCTGAACCGGGGGATTGGGGCACACACGGACTTCGGATGCGTCACGCTGCTGCTGCAGGATGAGGTTGACGGGCTGCAGGTCCTTGATGCGCCGAGCGGGGAATGGCTTGACGTATGTCTCAACGCAAACTCACCTACATAGCTAATGAAACCAGGTGCAACCCGTCCCCGGCGCGTACGTCGTGAACCTGGGCGACCTGATGATGCGCATGGCGAACGACCGGTACAAGTCCAACATCCACCGGGTGATCAACAAGTCCGGACTAGAACGGTACTCGATCCCGTTCTTCTTCAGCGGAAACCCAGACCACGTCTGCGAGTGTCTGCCTAACTGCTGCAAGGTGGGCGAGCAGCCCAAGTACGCGCCCATCACGGTCGAGGATATGGTCAAGGGCGCGTACAAGCAGAGCTATGGGCGCGCGGAGGCGTACAAGAAGGAGCTGGCGGAGAAGGCGCAGAAGCTGGAGGCTGCGCCGGCGACGGCGATTGTTGCGTAAACCTACTCTGTGCTTAGTTCAATATTATGGTTTACTTCCGTACTGTTTGGGATAATTGTTGGCAAGGATCAACACGTAGCACCCCCAAGCCTGGTGCGTCACTTATCATATCAGTGGAGGCGCGATAGCACCCCCACCCCTGCTGCCTTGATCCGTAAGCGCCAACCCTAAGTCACTGGGTATATCATTCTGCACGGCAGCTGTGTCTCATCGACAGCAACATAGCCATCATGGAGATCGAACTCGACAAGCGTGACAAGCGTCCGGAGGATGTCCCGCAGGAGGACATCGGCAAGATGGAGGTGGTCGACGACGCCGAGATGGAGCAGTTCTACGGCTCGTCGACGACCGACGCCTACCGTCTCAAGTCGGAGCTCATCTCGCAGTGCATGGCGGATATCGGGATGGGAAGGTACTTCCTCTTTTCCCTTATCCATGATGTCCCTTATCCTGAGACGGCTAACAACCCCAGATACCAGTGGAAGCTATTCGTCGTCGCCGGGTTCGGCTGGGTGGTGGACAACTTCTGCTCGCAGGGGATATCCGCCGTCCAGCCGCCGATCCAGCAGGAGTTTAGCGGCATCAAGCAGGTCAGCTACAGCTCGGTAGCGTACTACGTCGGCATGATCCTGGGCGCCTCGTTCTGGGGTATATCCTCCGACCTGATCGGCCGCAAGCCTGCCTTCAACTCGACGCTAGCGATCGCCGGAATCTTCCTGTGCGGTGCGGCCGGGACGATGAACTTTGTCGCGTTCAGTGCTCTCTGGGCGGTAATCGGGACGGCGGCGGGTGGTAACGTCGTGACCGATTCGATGATCTTGTAAGCCACACAAGACAGCATATTGCAGCACACTAACAACACAGCCTCGAGTTCGTCCCCGGCAGCCACCAGTACCTCCTAACCGCACTCAGCGGCTGGTGGAATCTCGGCCAGCTGATCGTGTCGTTGCTGGCATGGGTCTTCCTGGCAAACTTCAGCTGCCCTACCGACGCCACACCAGAGACCTGTTCCCGCGCCGACAACATGGGCTGGTACGTTTCACAGTATACAGCATCGCAAGGCTAACGCCAACAGGCGATACACCCTCATCACGCTCGGCGCCCTCTCGCTAGCCTTCACATTCATCCGCATCTTCGTGTTCAAAATGCCCGAGACACCGCGCTACCTGCTCTCGCAAGGCAAAGACCAAGCCGCCGTCGACGCAGTCAACTACGTCGCGCGGCAAAACGGCAAGCCAGAGCCATTGACCTTATCAATGCTGCAAGCCATCGACGTCCGACTGGGCCTCACACCATCCACCGAAGGCCTGTCGACGCGGGAGATCCTCAAAGAAAACATGAAGGAGTTCCGGGGCTCGCACTACAAGGCGCTCTTCGCAACGCGGAAACTGTCCCGGCACACGGCGCTGATCTGGGCCGTCTGGCTGATCATCGGTATGCCCTGCCTATCCACGATTCCTTGCAAGACCACTGACAAGCCCAGGCATCGCATACCCGTTATACTTCAACTTCCTCCCCTCGTACCTCTCCACGCGCTTCAGCCAGAACTCCTCTTTGGACCTCACCTACCGCAACTACTGCATCCAGTCGGCAGTCGGCGTAGTGGGCCCGATTTCCGCCGCGGTATTGGTAAACACATTTCTCGGGCGGCGGTGGATGATGGGGATCTCGTCGATCGTAACGGGCGTGTTCCTGTTCGCGTACGTGGGCGTCAAGACGCCGAGCGCGAGTCTTGCGTTCTCGTGTGTGACGGGGTTATTGGGGAATTTTGAATATGCGGTGATGTACGCCTTCACGCCGGAGTCCTTCCCCGCCCCGCACAGAGGCACGGCAACGGGGACGGCGGCGAGCTTGCTCCGTTTCGGCGGGCTGGTGGCGAGTCTGGTTGCGAGTGAGACGGGGTTCACGACGGCGCCGATATACGCGAGTGCGGCGCTTTGGGTGGGAGTGGGGGTGGTGTGTTTTGGGTTGCCGTTTGAGACGCATGGGCATTCGGCGATTTAGAAGAGAGGAGAGGAGAGGAGAGGGGGGAAGAGAAGAGAAGAGAAGAGGAGAGGAGAGGAGAGGAGAGGAGAGAACAGGAGAGGAGAGGAGAGGAGAGGATTGTTGTGGTGGAGGCGGAAAAGGGTTCTTCCGCTTGCTTGGCCTTCTGAGGTTCTGAGGTGGTCAGGAGTCTGCACTCTCTGTAGATGGGAAGTCTTATTGTCAATCCCTAAGATAGTTCGCATGAACAGACAAGTCATATCAATTACTTGCGTCCGTCATTCCAGGTTGAGCTACGGTCCCATCCCCGAGTTTTACGTATTGTTACGTCTGTGATTTCTCTACAACAATATATATTTGCCTACACCTCATTCATATACTACACTCACTCAAATCCTAGTTAAACACCCACCCCACCGACTTCTCAAAGACATTCGGCTTCTTCCCCTCCAGATCATCCGGCGCATAGAACCTCCTGGGCCCATCCAGATCAATAGCCTCCGCATCAACCCACCACGGGCCCCGATACCACACCCTCGCCCCAAGATAAACAACAAGCACCACAATAATACTCACATAATTCGCAAAGAAATCCTTCACATTCGGCTCGGTATGCAGCGGCCAAACACTCAGATAGAACTCCGCGATGATGAGCAGAATGCACCAGGTCAGACCCCACCACGACGCGTACGGGTACGTCCACGTTTTCCAGGGGAGATCGGCCTCGGACCGGCCCTGCTTCTTCCACGCGTACCGCATGCGCAGGTGCGAGGCGCAGATGGAGCCCCAGCCGAAGAGCGTGAAGAGGGAGGTGAGGTTCGAGAACCAGGAGAAGACGTCGGCGCCGCTGGCGCTGACGTTGAGGTAGGCGAGGGCGCCGCCGAGGAGGAGGGTGATTGCGAGGCCGGCGACGGGGCGGCCTTGCTTGTCGGCGCGGCCGAAGATCTGATTCTCAGCATGGAGTTGGAGAGGTGGATGGGGGGCGTACCTTTGGTGCCATGCGCAGATGGCTCAGGCCCATGAGCAGGCGAGATCCGCCGAAGCCGGAGATTGAGCCGGTGGAGACGACGGAGATGAAGATGACGGCGTTCATGATGTGAGCTAGAGCGGGGATTCCGGCGTTGGTGTACGCGATGACGAATGGAGAGGCGTTGGTACCGGACGCGCCGAATAGGTTCGGGTCTTCAGGGGAGACGGTGATTGTCACGACGAGGGAGCCGAGGAGATAGAACAGCGATAAACGCAACCAGATTGAGCCGACGGCCCGCGGGACAGACTTGCGGGGGTTCTGGGTCTCCGCTGACACGAGAGCGCTGTTTTCCGAACCGGACATGGCGAAAATGCAGGTTGGCATCACGCTGAGGAAGCCTTTGAAGCCGTTGGTAAAGGGCTCTGCATTCCAGTACCGAAAGCCAATGGCTTCATGGTTCGGGGCCCCTCCGGCCGAGACAACTTGGGGATTGAGTTAGCTATGTCGACATGTGGAATGGAGTGCCAACCTATGAGCGAGATGATGACCACGAAAATCCACGAGAACTTGATGGTTGAGGAGACCACTTCCACCTCGCCAAAGAACTTGACGGCCCAGGCGTTGATAAAGATGATCACCACCCAGAAGATCGAGATCCATGCAGCCGTCGGGACTGCATCCGTCCAGAAGCTCAAGACCGTGACGACGCCCTGACGGTCAGCTTCGTCTTGAATCATGGGTCGTGACATACCTGAAGCTCATTCGCAATGGTGATGAACGCGCTGAACCAGTACGCCCAGCCGACTGCAAAGCCAAGCTCCTTGCTGATAAAGATACTGCTCCACTGGACGAACGCACTGGGCAGGGGATAGAGCACCGCCATCTCGCCAATGGCGTGGGAGACAGACCAGATCATCGTACCGGCGAGGATGTACCCGATGAACAGAGCAGCCGGACCGCCGTTCATGAGGGATGTGCCGCTCCCAAGCCACAAGCCCATGCCAATGGACGAGCCAAGGGCGATCATGGTCATATGCCGGGTCGACAGGGTGCGTCGAAGATCCGTCTCCGCTCCATGGTCGGTTTCATGCTGCGTTGAGTGAATATGCTTCTCCGAGGTGTTCTCCTGGCTGGAGCTCTCGCCGAGGGCGTGTGACACGTCCATTGTAGAAGTTGAGTGAACGATGAAGAGAAGAATCAAGTTCTCGGCGAAAGTATCTCGACACAATCAAGCACTGTGGCGAGTCTTATATCATGCGCAGTATCTTGGAATCTGCCCTGGCTTGAGGGGTCGCACAGGGGGCGATATGGGCGCAACCGAGGGGCGATTGGAAGTATACCCTGATAAGCAACGGCTCGAGTTATTGGAAGACGTTATCTCGAGGCGCAAAGTAGCGCTGGATAGCAAGAACCGGCGTCGACTAATGCGACGTTCTACGCGGCGGAGATAAGGTCGCCCTGATATGGGGAGAGCGATGGACGCCAGCAGAGATAAGAGCGGATGAGGCGGCTGGTATCACGGAATTCCCACCCTTGCATGGAGATGGTGCAAGCCATGCGCCCCGGTTTCATGTCTGAGATCGGGAGTTGTGGTGGCCGTTTATTTGTCCATTGTTATGCGGTCATCATGCTGTGCGATTCAAGGCACCGATCACCAGCCCAATCATCAATGCCCGTCCGGATCAAAAGAAATGTGTGGCTTGAGAAAAGCCATATCTTGCGTCGCATCTCTTCTAGAAGAGACTGAAGCTCAAACTCAATGGCGGGCTTACGTAGCATCCAGACGCGAGGTTCTGTTACAACGTGGTGGTTAACGTGAAGTCGGCCTCGGTGGTATCATGGTATGAGACAAGCCCGTGTCCACCCTGGTCTAGAATAAAACGAAGAGACTCGTATCCCCAGGCGATCGATCTCACGCAAGGAGGACTATAACAGTCCCAAGATTAAAACGCGTTTAGATCAGACGGCGATGCTGCTGCGGCAACGCCAGATGCAACCTCGCTTGCATGGCCGACACCAGTGGTCGGCCTCGAACGACAAATGAGCCCTCCCACTCCTCCGCGCAGACGATCAAGATAAGAGCCAGCAAGAAGGCCTGTCGATAAGACTGCTAGGGTGAAAGCGTGCTCTGCATCCAGATGGGTAGAGCCAGTCACGTGCTCGCCAGGTCCCCATCCTTCAGGAGCCGCCGAGCAGGCTTCGATTGTAAATGCAGGAACAAAACGCCACCAGAGGGTTGGTTCAGGGCTGTGTCAGACGCTACCTGCGATCGCCATCACCATGTCCATATGGTCCTCGGGCATTCCGCGGGTAGCCAAGAGCGAAAGGTGAATGGTTTGTATACACCAAGTTGGGCCCGGGCGAGCAGGATAAGCGACACGTCGGTACCACCATCAAGCATGACAACGATACCTTGCTATGCTCTGAAAGTTGATCTTGGACAGAATGATGATAACCTGGCCCGCACACGAGTGGGTATGGCTGTGGGGCTGCCGGGTCCGGGGTCGGGTGCCCATGGGGTAATGGAAGCGATTCCTGTCGAATGTCGATACTGGAGTTTTCAAGATGATGTCGGATGGAAAGCGGTCCACGATGCCTTCGGAGAGTATAAGTCGGGCCCGGTCGGGAAGGAGCCTGACACGAAACTCGCCGTCGAAACTTAGGTTGAACGGCGTCAAATCAGGCTCATCACGGCTAAATTCAACGCTGTCAACTTCCGGACAGCGACTGACAAACGTGTTCCGGATAAAGCTGGCGGCCCGACTGTTAGCCGGCATCAAGAGGGAATTCTACGACATGCCGACACCGCGTGACTGGCTAGGATCTTGCCTAGTTGACTGCTAAGCCTGGCGGGAGGCTTGCGCCCGGACGTTGTTAGACCAGCCACTGACGAGGGTCAAGAACGATATGGACTCGGCAAGTACGGACATGCTGTTTGCTGAAAGCACATGGCATCCTCGTGGTGGCCATGCATACAGTAGCCTGGTATACTCCTTACATAACGTTTGAAGTCACACGGTCGGTAATCCTCCAGCCGCAGGTGCCTCTGATACAAGCCTCCGGTGGAGAAGACACGAACATCAGGGAACAAGAACAAGAGCCCAAGAATGACAATCGTCTCCGAAGTGATGGGCATCCTGTTGACGATGGCACCACGTCGGTTAATTTGCGCTGGCTAACCGAGAAACAGCCGAGTGGCCTGGACAAGAACCACGACTCCACTGTGACGCAGTTCTTCTCCATCTCATTCGATTCGGCCTCTTCCCCATGATGGAGTTCCCATCTCGGCCTCCGCAATCCCGCATTTCGCTTTCGCTTCTGCCCGCTGCCTTGCCAGACATGTTGCATCGGCCACGGTGCGGCGCCCACAGGGCCGGCCGAGTTCAACTATAAAAGGGCCCGCTTCTCCAGATTCCCCGGTCGAACCGGTCAAGTGCGACTGCTGGCAAGATCTGTCAAGATGTATCGCATCAGCAATATCTATGGTGGGTAGACCCTTTCCATCTGAAGTGTCATCAACTAACCGGCCAGTCCTCGCGGCCTTTGGCACCATAGGCGGTGCCCTCTTCGGTTTCGATGTCTCCTCCATGTCCGCCTTCCTGGCAACGGAGCAGTACCTCGACTACTTCAACAATCCAAACTCAGATCTGCAGGGAGGAATCACGGCGAGTATGTCCGCCGGATCCTTCGCCGGTGCCATTGCAGCCGGTTTCGTCGCCGATCACCTCGGACGAAAGAAGAGCTTGATGATTGCCTCTCTGATCTGGATCATCGGGGCCGTCATCCAATGCTCCGCGCAGAACGTGGCTCATCTGGTGGCCGGTCGAGTCATCAGCGGTCTTTCTGGTGCGTCCACCCCTATATAATATTTCGTCTCTAACCCCGATAGTCGGCATCACATCCTCCCAAGTATGCGTCTACCTAGCCGAACTGGCCCCCGCTCGTATTCGGGGGCGAATCGTCGGCATTCAGCAGTGGGCGATCGGTAGGAACCAAATCTCCCGTATTCGATGACCTACTAACACACGTAGAATGGGGCATCCTCATCATGTATCTGATCTCCTGGGGCTGCGGCAAAGGCATCGAAGGCCCCTCCGCCTTCCGCGTCGCCTGGGGCGTCCAAGCCGTCCCCGGCCTCATCCTCTTCCTGGCGCTCTTCTTCTTCCCCGAGTCCCCCCGCTGGCTCGCCGCCCACGAACGCTGGGAGGAAGCCCTAGACATCCTCGCCGACCTCCACGGAAAGGGAAACCGCAACGACCCCGTCGTGCAGGTGGAATTCGAAGAAGTCAAGGAGGCCGCGCGGCTCGCCCACGAAGCCGAGGACGTCTCGTTCTTCGCCCTCTTTGGCCCGCGCATCTGGAAGCGCACCCTGTGCGGCGTAAGCTGCCAGGTCTGGCAGCAGCTGCTGGGCGGTAACGTGGCCATGTACTACGTCGTCTGGATCTTCCAGATGGCCGGAATGGTGCCCACTCCTCCTTCAATTCTTCCCATTAGGTTCAAACAAGCTAACCTTCGCAGAGCGGCGACACCTCCCTCTACTCCTCCATCATCCAATACGTCATCTTCGTCGCCACAACCGGCGTGATCCTCCCCTACATCGACCGCATCGGGCGCCGCCTCCTCCTCGTCTCGGGTGCCATAACCTGCATGGTAATCCATTACGCGATCGCAGCCGTCATGGCCACGCGCGGCAATCCCGTAGATTCCATAAACGGCAACGCGTCCCTAAAGTGGGAAATCACCGGCGCCCCCGGCAAAGCCGTCATCGCGCTCTCCTACATCTTCGTCGGCGTCTACGGCCTCACCTGGGCGCCCACAGCCTGGATCTACGCGTCCGAGGTCTTCCCGCTCAAGTACCGCGCCAAGGGCGTCGGCTTATCCGCAGCAGGAAACTGGATCTTCAACTTCGCGCTCGCGTACTTCGTTGCGCCGGCCTTCACGAACATCCAGTGGAAGACGTATATCATCTTCGGCGTGTTTTGTACAGTCATGACGTTCCACGTCTTCTTCATGTACCCTGAAACCGCGCAGCGGAGTCTCGAGGAGATCGACCTGATGTTCGATAGCGATGTGAAGGCGTGGCGGACGGGGAAGATCCAAGAGCGGTTTACGGGTGAGGTGGAGAGGCAGCGGAAGCAGAGTGTTGTGGAGGAGCAGGTTGGCGATGCGAGTCATAAGGAGGAGGTCTAGACGCTACCATACCATACATACCTAGGTACCTATAGATCCAGCTCCACGCCTACAGGCGTAGCCCTGGCAGGTATCGGATGGACCGACTATATTATTCGAATCTACACCATCGGTCTTGACGCAAATGGTACATACCTGTAGAACAAGGAAATGGTATCGCCCCGACCGCCTGCCGCTGCCTCTGCCGACTGCTACCCTACGGTAGGTACCCTACCCGCAACGCTAACCCCCAACCTTGAATGCATAGCGCCCGCATGGATCTCCAGTCCGTCCTGGGCAAGCCGGGCTGGCTCAGGCTCTGTATAGGCCGCTGTTTCTAGAGGGAACAGGGAGTAGGTTGAAGCCGGCTGGTGGCGGTGACGGTGACGGTGGGGATTCTGCATCTGCATTGCAATGCCCTAGCTAAATGTAGGTGTTAGGTGCTGATGCCGAGCGTATGACGGCGCTGGACGGGGCACCTGTATCGAAAGGACAGCACAAGCAAGCCGGGATGGAGAAGAAGCTGGATCGTTGAGAGCGTAGCGATTGGGTGCAGGTGCAGTGCTGTATTACCCAAGAATGGGGAGGCCAGAATAAACAACAAGAGATAGAAACAACATGAGGATGCACATGCAAGATACCATCTCGTTTGAAATCCACTGCCATTGCTATCTCTTGTTATATAAGGGTCGACCTGCATTATTTGTGTGTCCATGTCCATGTCCGTTTGCAATCTCAAGTGTTTTCCGTGCATTCCATTCCAGTCTAATCCTACAATCAGCACCACGCTTTGCCCCCGGGCCCGGCCATCATCATCGGGTCTACCGTCTACCACGTGCCCAAGATCCTTCCAGTCACTATGTCCTAACACTTGGATTCCTCAAGCCGTTTCAATCCATTCAGGTAACCCCAGGTGTGTTACTTTCCGACGCTTCTGTATTGACATGCTTATACTCAGGCAAGCCTCGGCTCCCTGAGGACCAGCAGGACCGGAAGCATGATAGCCGTAGCGGCGACGGGAAACACTGCAGCAGAAAGCACATCAGCGGTCTTGGCCTTATCAGGAAGAGCGAGAACATACGCGGCAGATACTGGAATCCCGCAAGGTAACACTCCCTAACAACCCGCTGCACATTCGCCGGAAGGGTCTCGGCAAAGCGGACTTCATTGAGAATGCGATTAATGAGCTGCAGCCGGACAGTGAGGTTAGCACTCCTCATTCCAATCTTCGAAGCGAAAGCGTGACATACCACCCTCTTCTGCTCAACCCCACCCAGCCTCCTCCAAAGCCCCCTCTCAAAGGTGCTTTGACTGACCGCCGCCGCAGCCGCAGGCCCAATCATCAGGCCGAGCTGCTGGCAGAGGTAATACGTCCCGATACAAGCGTGCAGCTGGCCCTCCGGCGCAACGGCCGCCATAGCCGTGAAGAGCGCTGGGAAGAGAATACCCGGCGCAAGACCCGTGCCGAGGAGATAGAGGCCGTCGCGGATGTGCCGTTGGGGCGTGGAGTCGTGCTGATGGCGCCAGGAGAGGAAGATCAGTGTGTGGAAGATGAGATTGATGGCCAGGGCGAAGAGGATTGGGGGCTTGGAGCGCTTCGTGCTGTGGGCTGTTAGCAGAAACATGGACATGGCTCAATGTTAGAGCATACCGCTTGATCACCAGCCCGCAGACGACGCCGCCGATGCCTACACCTACCATGCTAGCAACCAGGCCTAGCGAAGCAAGGGAGTCGCTTGCGTGGTGTATGCGGATGAAATAAGGCACGGTGTTGGCGTTGAACTAGTTCGGCCAATTTTATGTCAGTATTTGGCCGTTGGAAGGAGAGGAAAGAGGGCGGACGTACAGCAAGCCGCCCGCCTAAGATCAATGCCTGGAATGCGAAATAAATGCCAATCGTTTGCGAGAAGAGTCGGATCGGGACGAGTGGCTTCTGCGCCCAGAAGAGCTCGATCACGACGAAGAGAATGCAGCCGCATAGAAAGAAGAATGCAAGGAGCGATGTCTGGAAGAACATGTCCGCGGTTTGAGCTCCTAGGGCGCGGAGGAGGAAGAGCATGAGGAGGATAGTGCCAGCAAAGGTGAAGAGGCCTGCAAAGTCGAGGTCGCGGATGCCTGACGGTGGTGCTGGTCTTTCGGTGGCCTCTTCTTTTGTTTCTGTGTCGTTGAGGTAGGACGGGAGACGGTAGAAGCAGAATAGCGCGCAGCCGATGACGGCTGGGACCTGGCCGAAGAATGACCTAGCTATGTCAGTCTCTTCTACAAGATATCCTACTTAGGGGGGCGAGACCATCGCCATCCGACTGTATCGGCTAGGAAACCTCCCATAGGGCCTCCGAGACTGCGCCCACTGATGTTGATCACGTTCTGGTAGCCGCGGTACAGGGCTACCTCATCTGGAGGAGTTATATCTAATGCCCTTGTCAGTGTCGATGACTTTGCAGATCAGGTACTCACCGGTGATAATCACCGAGGCCATGACCAGGATCCCTGCGCCACTGGATCCAGCAAGCACTCTTGACAGGACCAGCTGCGGAATGGACATGCTCGCGCCACTGCATCCATTAGTATAAAAGTATGCTAGAATGTCACCGGGAGCCCGGTTACCATGCAACACAGCTAAGTGCGAACAGCACACACGACCAAACAAGCACCCGCTTTCGGCCATACTGGTCTCCGAGCGTGCTGAACTGGACACGTCAGTCTCTTCTTGTTTATACTGACATCCACTCACCACCGGCAGCGAGATGCAGTAGCCAAAGTTGTATGCAAGGAGCAACCACGAGCCTTCAGAAAGCCGGTGGAACTGCGATGCGATCGCGCTGTAGGTCGATATCACGAGCATTTCATCGGCGCTTGCTATGAAGACGCCTGCGTAACGTCAGATAACTTCTAATCCAAGAGCACGGCAGCTTACCCAAGAACGCAGCGTAGATGACAAACGTGTCGGGTTCTTTTCTTGCGGTGTATTCTTCGCCGGCCTCTTCATCGCTGGGACGTAGCAGCGGAGACTCTTCTGATGCCACCATGGTTATAATCTCCGTATGTCGATAGAAGACAGAAAATGTCGAGTTGAGAAAGGTGAGTCAGACCGGATCCTGATAACTACCGACCGCGGTGACTCCAGGTGGAGGAAACCTTTTTATCACACAATAATGCAGCATGACTGCATGTGTCTGGCGAATCGCCTGCTGTGTATTGCTATCCCTTCCTCCAGCGGTCGATCATCTCCAATAGTTCGCAGCTTGTATGCACGTCAGACGACCACTGCGAATCGGAATGTCCCGCAATGATGGCTGAAGAAGCAAATCAAGACAAGGAGCCTGTTACGCTGAACTCTGTCCTGCGTTCCGACGCCATTGTCCCTCAGAGTCGAGGGAGATCCATGCTTGCTTTAACTAAATCATGCGGTAGCCATCAAGACATCCAGCCCTTCTCTAACAATCGAAGAGTCGGTACTGTCTTAGTAACAGAGGTGCATCATTAAGGCGTGTTCAGCAGTGGATCCGCGGCAGGCACCAGCAACGGCTCCTGCCTAGAGGCGTCTGTATAAGAAAGCTTCACCGGTTCCAAGTTTCTACTGCGAGAATCAAAGTCCTCGAATATGCCACCAATTCGACGGTCCAAGCGCATGCAAGCAGGCCCTCAGCCGAACCACGGCCACACACTTTCGAGCCCTAACCCAGCAAGGAAGCCCCCCAAGCCAAGTTACATGCGACGAACCACTGATTCCGATGCGAACCTCAAAACACCTCTTCTCAGTCTCCCCCGTGAGCTCTTCGACGAGATCATCGCTCACCTCTCTCCAACCGCCAAAGTATGCCTGACCTTGACCTGCAAAGCCGCTCTCCACGCCATCGGGACCGCAGCTTGGAAGGAATTCAAACGCAATTACCAACCCTACCAACCATCCGATCTTACACTCTACGAGCTCTTGCACCGCGATCTGCCTAGCCTAGAATACTGTCCTCACTGCGGGATACTGCACCCACCGCTCAAACCACCCCACGCCCACCGCACCACAAAATTCACCAAAGCGTGTTTCGGGCAGGAGGCGTCAATGGACTCCTGGCCACAGACGCCGTTGGGAGGGTACAGCGTCGTCCTATTCCACATCGGGCAGGCCTTCAACTCAAGGCCTGACGATCTCTCTCAGAATCCAGCAGTCGACCTGTTCAACGGCGACTTCACGGTCTCGCAGGGGCCACTGCATTACCGACTTCGCTCGTCAGCACGGTGGATAGACCGCAGTCTTGTCTTGAAGCAGGAGTATCATCTCCGTCCGTCGGGGCTCCTCACGGCCGAGCATATAACAACCCTCCCTCTCCGCATCTGTGCACACCTCACGACCAGCACTTCGCCGGCACTAGAGACGTACCACACAAAGGGGTCTTCAAACGGGCCTCTCCTAACTCACGCCATTGCCACCGCATTCCCAGACACCCATCGCCATGGCGTCGCGAAGGCAGACACATTCCGCAAGCCCGCACCCAGCGAGGAGGCGCAGATGATCGCGTCAGAACAAGAGGCGGGATTCATATTTCGCTGCCGCAGCTGTCCGACGAAGTTCCGCGTCGAGTACTCCGCTAGCGATGGGGGACAGCTCAATATCACCGCCTGGCACTGTTTCGGACGGGAGATATACAAGACGCTCGAGTACTGGAAGATGTTTGTTCGACGCGAAGCGCCGAATCTAGGCCCGAAGAAACGCAATAGCGAGTTCTATGTGAAGAGCAGGAGTATTCCTGATTTTCTCGTGGGAGCTTAGCAAATGCTTTGTAAGGGGCCGAATCGTTTACTGATATAGTCTATACAAAGAGTCTCGATGTTGTGACAATGCGCAGCCAGATAACTCCCGGCTGGACTACTGTACAAGTATGGTTGATTCGACAAAGAGATAAGTTTAGATTGGTGTAGCAAGAGCCTGTCAAGTCCAGTTCCTCCAGCATATATCACCTTCTTTGTCTTGCTACCGTTGGTACTGCAAGTACTGAGAAGAAATAGGGCTTTCTGCAATAAAGTAGGTTAGTGTGAGAGAGTAATAGCCGTCACAAATCGTGGATCAATCTTGCACCATTGCAATGCCCTTTAAATATAGGCTATATAGTACTATTACTATGTTGTTGATATAGTTCCTGCTATCTGATAGCATGGCCCTTATTAAAGGCTATAAATATTATACTGTTACTTATAACACTGATCTAGGCACTGTTTCCTATCCTTGTACACCTCAGAAGGAATACCTCTCAAGTAAAACTGGCCTCCTGGCTATCAGAGTTTTCCTTCAGCAACCATTCGGTTCCAATCTCACCACACCTCCCTTTTTTAAAGTCCCATCCCCGAGACCCGGCCACTATGCTGGTGGTCTTCAAGCAAGCCACACAATGATTCCGATCCTGTCAGTTGCGTGGAAAAGCCGGGGCAAGGTTGGAAGACCTTCCACCCGTCTGGCGAGGTCCCATGGATCGTGGTCCCTGGCGGGAAGAGCAGGCTGTAAGTATCTTCATGGTATACCTTCAGTTATCCCATGTATCTGACCAAGGCAACGGAATCCGGATTTTGAGTGTGCAGAGATCAGGCTTTATGCCAGATCAAGCTTTCCTCTTCCTAGGTGCTGGGCAGAACCGAGTTTGTGTTGCAGAGGATCTGAGCCGCACCCATCTCATGACGATTCCAGCGCTCCAGAGGACGTGCTCTCGGTCCGTCTGGAGACCAAGGATAAACAAACTATCGATCGAATCCATGGTCTCCCTCACAGCCTGTAAATGGAGAATACACCGATGTGAAACCGCCAAATTTAGGCCGCTGGAAGCCAGCCTGAATTAGGTTGACTTCAGCCAAGGGTCGGCCAGTAACTCTTTCGCAGATGCGCGATTTTCCGGTTCCCACTGGAGCATTTTCCGCATGAAGCCGAGAAATAGAGTCTGCGATGAGTCTCTCAAATTGCCTTCCAGTTTCTCCAAATGTCTGGAAGGAACTTCGGCAATGCCGGTCCAGTTGCCTAGTTCTGAAACATTAGTCGTGCTTAATAGGCATTTTGCAAGGGCGCAACGTACCCTCGTCATCGAAAAACTTCCTTGCATACTCGCTCTTCCGGAGAAATTGCTTTGGAGGGGTGCCCATGACCGCTGTCATCCCAGCGAGGTGGTGGCTGTCTGAGACGTGCCCGTTTGGATCGCGGGCGTAGAAGAGAGGCTCCCTTTCGAAAAGATTCCAGGCCTATAAGGTAATTAGTCTTTCGCAGGACAGCCGTGCTGTGACATACGCATACAAGAACCCCCACGTTCCAGATATCAATCTTCTCATTCCACGGAATGCGCAAAATGACCTCTGGAGCTCGATAAACCAGGGGCTGCACATCCTCCCAGCGGTCGCCTAAACCCGAGATGAAGCGAGCCTCCCCAAAGTCCGACAGGATAGGACGGCCATGCACCTTTGGAATCCCGAGGTCCCGAGAGGCATAAATCACGCGGTCTTTGGTGATTTTGCAAGGGCTAGCACTGGATCTCTCTGCCTCCTCGAAGTCAACAAGGATCGACTCATCCTCCACGCTCAGCAGGATGTTGTTTCCTTGTATATCGGTATGAACAACCTTGGCCTCTGTGTGGAGAAAGTCGAGGGCAAGAAGGAGGTGGATCAAGGTTGGCTTGAGCAAGTCTTCTGGGAGTAGCTTCTCCGAGGTTCGATGGCGTAGCTCACACACACTCATTGCTAGAGGAGGATGCACGAAGCATTGGTAGGAGTGGGTGCCATCCGTAGAGCGTAGTTGAAAGTCATCGATGGCGCGCCGCACGAGCATTGACCCTACGTGGCTAGTCTTGATGTCTCTGAGATGTTTGTACACCTCTTGCTCTCTTCTCCCATGGCTCGAGCCATGTTCGCACATCTTCAGCGTCACATAGACATGCTGCCTGCTACTTTCCAGTCGTGAATCTCAATTCCGCGCAACCTGGAACTTACTGTAGGTCTCTGCAGAGCCACACAGTCGAATGCCCCCCATAGCCCAGTTTTCCAAGCACCTGGTATCTTGAGCGAAACACCTCGCCGATCTTCACAGGGTAGAAATGCGCCGGTGAGTACCCTGCTAGCTTTTCTTCCTCTAGTTTGTTGGTTGGATCGGTGGAGGGACCTGGGGTGGAGAATCTCCTGATTGGACAAGGCGGACGCCCAAAGATGGACTGCTTCAGGCGATGGGTGAGGCGGTTCATCTTGGACTCTCTCAACAAAAGGAGAAGCAGCCCTGGTGGTGGAGGAGGGCTCACGGGGAGGAGGAAGGTTCACGTAACTTGTCTCTTGAGCTTACATCAGCTTGGTATGATTGGCCAGAGGTCCGGCCAATGACGCGACACAACTACTCTGTACATAAATACGGAGTGCTGCATTAGCTGCATTTCTTCTGAGTGAGCCCTCCACGTTCTCACAAGCTTAGCAAGTGCTTTGTAAGACTACGGCCCTGTGATGGTCGTTGCTGTTGGGGCCGAATCCTCCGCTACTCCTAGCGTATACGAAGATTAGGGTTGATGCTTGAGGTGTTTCCTTGACCAGGCTACTGCAGACTGTTTAATAACTAGGGCCCTGATCCTGCATGATCGTTGATTGGATGGATAGACAACTTTGAGATAGGGACCGGGAATTTGCAATCCACTGGCCCATTTGGCGGGTCGTTTCGACTACACAGAATATCACTGGAATTGGTATGGCAATTGAGCTAGATGGCATAAATGATTTGACAACTAAGGCGTTCCAGAAGGACTTCTGCACTATCCCGCCTATGGAACGGATCAAGCGGGCAGTGCTTACTCTGATATATTAAATGTAACAATGGCCGCTTCGTCAAGACCCTAGCGCAGCCACGAATACGCCCTGACGAATGACAGATTCATCTTACTGTTGGTTGTACACTCGAGTCATGAATGATGGTAAGGTACTGGCGGATAACTCCGTTGGAGATGGTCATGCAGAGCTTTAATATAGAGACGAGAAGCATACGTTCAGTATGCTATAAGCTGCAGGTATAAAACCGCCTAACCTACACCTACCCTCCTACTTCCCCTCCAGCTTCTCACCACCTTCAATCCTCCACAGCAAAGCCGCAATGCATCGCCCCTCCTTCCTCCTCGCCCTCACTGGCGCTGGTCTCGCCTCAGCGCAGGGCTTCTCCTCCGAATGCACCGACATCTCCCTCACCGATAACTGGCTCGTCGCGACCTGTCCGACTGGCAGCGGCTCCTCGATCACCAGCAGCGTCTTCCTGAATAACAAGATCGTGAACAATAATGGGAACCTCGAGGTACGTACGCTTCACGCTCTATGCTTATCTAGCCCGGAAGAGTGATGTTGCTAACGTACATGTTTAACTAGTGGGTTGAGAAGTATGCCTTCCCATTCCCGGCCCTTCCGTCCTATTTCCCCTTCTACCTTCCAAGATTAGACAGGGCGTGATCTGATGATACTGCGGTAAAACAGCGGGCGCTTCCTCGGTTCCTGCGTCGACTGCGCCGTCTCCTCCGGCGTCCTATCCTGCACATGTCGCGGGAACTTCAACCCTAACGTCGCGGCGTCGCTGAACCTAGGTACACCCTTCCCCCTCCTCCCCCTCCCATCTAACCGTGAAATGAAACAGAGGAACACATCTCCAACTACGCCGGCCACCTCCTCTCCAACCAAACCGGTCCCATCACTACAATCCCACCGGATTCCTCCGTCCCCGTACCCAGCAGCTTCGATCTATCCCTCTCCCTCGTCGCCCCCTTCCTCGGCACGGACTGCTCAAGGGCCGGTGCAATTCTCGGGCTGAATAACCCGCAGCCCTGCTACTATATTAACCCCGGCGGTGTCGGGACCGTGCAGTACTCTGCGGGCATTCAGAGCGGGAATCAGGGGTGGGAGATTGTGGCGTATGAGGATCCGGAGTGTACGAGTGAGCCGGTTTATACGTTCACCGCTGGGGATGAGGGCGTTTGTGTGGCCTTTCAGCCGTATGCGGCGGCGTTTGGGGTGCGGCCGTTGTGGAATGCGGATTATTAGCTGGAGGGTGTTGAGACGGGCTGGTGGGTGACTAGTTAGAATCTATGTGGTTGTGTAGGAGGGATGGGCCGGAGCTGAATATAGTTCTATTGCATTGCATGAGAATACCTACTCACCCCCCAACATCCCAACAACACCCCCCAAATCCCCCGAAACCCCAACACCAACACCCCCCTCCTCAAGCTCCCAAGGCACACACCCCGCGGCCTCAAGCCCCGCCCGAACCAACCTGACCCCCCCACCTCCAGCTGCATTCGCCGCCCCCTCAACAAGCTCCTCGCTCGGCCACCTCAGCACAGCCGGCGTGTTCAGTCCAACCCCCAGCTCAAGGATTACCGCCTTCTTGCCATGCTGCACTTCAGATAGTATATGTTCTAGGAAACGCGCATACTCCCTCTCCTGTCCCTGGAATGGAGAATCATTGAAGTAATCCCCGCCCCGAACACAGAGCGTGAGTTCGCCGTCGCAGTACCGACAGCTCGGGACCTTCGACGCGTCGGTGAGTTCCTGCGTGACTGGGTCTAAAAATGGCATGGCTGCATTGACGAACGGCGCGGACGGGAACACCGCTTCCCGGCGACACTGGGCCAAGCATTGCAGGAAAGCGTATTGGCCTTGTGGCGTAGAGATCCGCGAGGGGTGGAAGGCGTTCGCGACGAAGAGGCCGTCTGCATTTGAGGTGCGGATGAAGGAGCGGGGTCCGAAGCGGAAGGATATTCTTAGCAGAGAGGCGTAGAGGGGCGATGGCGGCCATGTCTGCACCATGTTCAGGTGGGTGAAGTAGTATCCCCATTTCTGGCCCGGGGATTTCCACCCGGTGAAGCCGAAGACGTCGTACAGGCGGCGGAGACCCAGGGGGAGGAAGGCGGGGAAGTTCTTTGCGAAGAGCGACGGGGATGTATAGTCTAGGCCTGTTGCGGCGGAGAGACCGGCTCCTGCGGATATGATGAGGTAGTCTGCTTCGGCGAGCCATGAGCGGGCTGTTGATATTGAAGGAGAGGGTCTTGGTGTCGGCGCCGGTTGAGCTGGTAGGATCTTCACGGCACTGTTCGCTTGGACGAGAGACGAGAGCTTGTCGTTGTATAGATCGAAATCCGTATCGAGAAAGGTATCGAAGATGATATCGGTGATAGTAGTCTCCGGATGCTCCACGCACCACCTCACCACGGTATCAATCGCAATCTGCGCGGCAAGATCAGGCGGAAATGCAAACAGGCCCGTGGAGATACAGCAGAATGCAACGACCTTGCGGCCGTCCAATAGCGCGGGCAATCTCTCCATCGCGTCAAGGCATGAATTGTAGCAGTCACTCAGCTGCTTCCGGTGAAGCGCAGTGGGCGCTTGACCAGTTCCGAGTTCCGGGCCAACGGTGTGAATGACGTATTTGGCGTTGAGGTTGAATCCGGGTGTCACCTTCGCCTGTCCAACGGGCTCATCGTGGCCCTGCTTGATCATCAAATCGTAACACGCTTGTCGCAGGCGAGGACCAGCGGCAGAGTGGATGACGTTGTCGATACATCGATGAGACGGCTAGAAGCATCCGAGGAGTGCGGAATTTGCTGCGTTGACGATGGCGGTTACGTCGGTCAGGGTGGTAATGTCGCCTTTCCACACGGATATCCTGGTATTGTTGGAGATCAACCGATGGGGTATTGATGCAGATGGAGTGAGAAGAGCGTGACTGTGTTTGTACGAAAGGACCTTGTCGATATCGGTGAGAAGATCATTGCTAAACTCCAGCTCGGGACTGCGACGGCACAGGGTCTGGCGGAGGAGCTCGAGCTGGCCCCAGCTGTTCATCTGCAGGAACCAGTCATGATTCCGATAATGATGCCCGCATGCGTGCCTCCCGACCTTCATGCCTTTGGTCAAGTGCGATAACGCCCTGGCTAAGGCCTCTGATGGCCGCATAGAGTTACCTCCACCCATGGCGCTATAATGCCTGCGACTGCCGACCGAGCTGATTCAAAAGGTGAAGCTCTGAGATATGGCACTCTCAGACAAACTGCCCCTGAGGGAGTATAAGAATACCCCCTTGACCCACTCTCATGTTGTCTGTTACAAACACTGCTTAATAATGGAGCCGGTGGGCTGCAGGCTGAATCTTCACGCCCAGAATATTTCAGCAGCAAGCGGACCATCCTGTAATGCATTTTTCGGATATATCCTTCAAGCCTTCAGAGCCTGCTTGCTTGCTGCACAACAAACCCCAGCCAACTGTCGGCTTCGAAGAGAAGCCCAAGGCCCTTGCGTCCTTCCCTGACATCACTCACGATGTCGCATATCAATTGCGGTGACGTATCTACACAAGGCCGTGTTCCGGATTCGACTTGCGCGTGGAATCGCCGGTAGAAGTCCTTCGTTTCGGGCGCATCCCATAGATACCCGCTGTCGGGGAGAGGGAAGCGCAGGTCCGAGAGGCGGAGTATGCCCGTGTTGAAGTGGTGGTTGAGTTTGAAAATAGTCAACGCGAGACGCTTCGTTTCTTCCATGTATGTCCAGGAGTAGAGCACCGAGTCGGCTGGTTCCAGCAGAGCGTGCATTTTGGAAAAGTTGAAAAGGCCGCCGGTTATGCAGGTTGCCGTTACGGCGTCGAGGAGGATACGGCAGCGGTCGTAAATGTCTTTATTGACGTCCCGGATGATGGCGAAGATGATGTTCAGGACTATGGTTTGGTATGTGCTCATGGGCCACGATTTGTTTGTGAATTCCCGGTCAAGCTTCCACTCGTCCTGTACTGCTCAGTATACCCGATCAGATCGAAGTGACGGCACTTACCATGCGATTCTCAAGCAGCGCGAGTAACTTTTCATGCATACTCTCTGCCCTCTCCCGTGCACTCTTCTCGCCGGTAACCCAAAGCCCAATCATAGCGAGAGCCAGCACCAAAACCTGCGGCTCGGTCCTGGTCCCTCCGAAGGAGAAGCGATGGACGACCGGCCATTGATAGTGGAAGTGAGAGAAGTACACCGCGACGTATTTGTCGATGTCCAGGTCTTTTCCTTGGTTCTGAGGCTGCGGACTCCGGGGAGGGGTACCCAGGAGGCCTTTCTCGCGGAGGTTGCTCTCGTGCTGGAGGAGGAGGTCTTGGATCTCGGGGCCGGATATTGCGGTTTGTCGGGCGATATCGCCTCGAGTCGTTGTCGCATCATTTGTTGTTTCCGGTGGTGACTTCGCCTGCGAGTGCTCGTATGAGTTCCCACCCGTAAGCCCAGGCCCAGACCCAGTTCCAACCTTCGTCAACCGATCGAACGTGCATCTCAAATTTCTTCTCAAACAAACATCGCAAGGATATTCCCCATCACATCTCGTCTTACTCGCGTGGCACCGGTCACAAGCCCTGACCGTCCGAGGCGCATCCTCCCTCTCCCTCCGATGCACGAGTCGATGACGACGCAGCGAGTCCACGCGGTCGAAAACCATGCTGCACACCTCGCATGGCAGACTCTGCGTCGGGGCGTGTTTCCGGGCGTGGCGGGTCAAGTGCTCTTTTCGCCGGTACTGGGCGGTGCAGCCCGGGTAGTCGCACGTAATCATCTGGTCCAATATTCCGGGAAAGCCACCTTGGACACGCGTACGTCGGATTTACGGATGATGATTTGATAGGAAGAGAGTGTAGGGGTGTTGGAAGAGATGAAGGATGCCGAGTGGGAGAGTTGTGTTGCATTTTCCGAGCAGCCGAGTGGGAGCCGGTGGGTTGTGGGCGTGGCTGTCTCCCTACAGTACCGTGCTTACTTATCTACTACCTAAACCTACGGTCTACCTCCTATTCCAAAATTAATCTTTACTACTAAAAAATAAGGCTTTTTAATATATATATATAAAAGGTATAAAAACTTAAAATTTGAATAATATATTTTACACTAGCTAATTACTTTATATATAATTTTAAAACTTTTAATATTACTTTAGTAGCTAGATTATACAGCCTTAGAATTTAAGGGCTATGGGGGCAAATTTTCAAAATAATATTTTAATATTATTACGGATTTATTTTTACTTAGCCTAGCTAATTTAAAATTATTTTAAAGCAATTATTTTGCCTTTTTATTTATATAAGCATATTTTTTAAGATTATTTTTAACTTTTTTACTTTACGCCAGTATTAAGCTGCCTTTATAACCCTTTTTTACTTTGTGAAAATTTTCTTTATTCCTTTTAGCTTGTAGTTAGTATTACTTATTTTTAAGCCTTTTTATTATATAATTTTTATTTTTAAAGATTACAGGCCTGCTACCTTTTCTTGGAAAATAAAATATTACGTTATTATCTTTTAGGGCCTAGAGTTGAAATATAAAAAGTTTTTTTTTTACTTTTTTTAATTAAGGTATTTTTAAGGTTCTTAGCCTGTAATTTTAGAAGTATAAATTTTATATACTGTAGTATTAAGTTTTTTAAATTTTTCAGGTATAAGGGTATTTTTTATATTTTTAGAAAATTTTTAATTTTTTACTTATAATAGCTTCTTTGCAGACTCCATAAATATTAAAGTTTTATTTATATTTTTTTTAAATTATTTTAATATATGCTTACAATCCTTGGAGAATGAACTAGTAAATTTTTAAAAATTATTAATTTTTTGGTTATTAAAACCTGATTTCAAGCCTAAAAATAGCCTAAAAATAGTTACTTTATAATTATACTAAGGCCTTAGTAGGAATATATGAAGCTATTTGGCTTATTATGATATATCTTATTTAAAGAAAGATCCTAATATTTAAGAACTATAAAATATAAGTTAAATATAGCGGATAATATAGTTATTTTTTATAAAAGTTTAAAAAGCTTATTATAATATCAAATTTATAGTTATTTAGGAAAAGAAGCCTTTAATATCTTTGTATTTAATTTTTTCAATTTTCTATTTAAAATATCCTCAACCTAGGCTAATTTAAGCTTGTTCTTTATTTTTTGAAAAAAAAAATAAAATAAAAAAATATATTGTCAATATTAAATTGAAAGTTTTAACTTTTAAAGCCAGGTATCTTATAATTTACTTATAATTAACTAGTAAAATAGGCCTAAAATAGTAATTTTTACTAGTTAAAATATATATAATAATAGTTATTTACTTTTAATTATTATTTTATAAATATTACTTCGACCTTTACCTAAAAATGTTTTTTTTAAAAAAAGACTCCCTTATATTCTATAAGTATTTTAATAAAAGAAAATTATTTTTATTACAGGTCTTCTTACGCAGGACCTTATATTCATTAATTTTATATTTCAGGTGCTTAAAGTATAAAAGTATCTATAAGCCAAATTAGTTTTTTTTTTTCAAAAAGTTAATTCTAGTTATATAGGTACTTATCAGTTTATTTTAGTATCTATGAAGTTAGTATAAAACCTAGTTATTTATTTTAGCTTTTTCATAATTTTTATTAGGTTTTTAGTTATATTTTAAGTATAAAAAAGCCTTTATTAGCCTGTTAATTAATATAATTTATAAAAGCTTTCGATCATTAAGTATTAAGTAAGAACTAGCTTTTATACTATTTCTTTTCAAAGTTTTAATGCTTTTTATAATGCTTAGCTAAAATAGTATAGTTTATACTAAAACCTTTAAAAATATTTCTAATATTTAAAAAAACTTATATAAAATTAGGTATTAAAAAAGCAAAGTTATTTTTAGTATACTAGATTAAAATAATATGTAAAAAGTAGTATATATTAAAAAAAGACCTCACGAAAAAAGAACTTATATGGGTAATATTTAAAAGGTTTTTGTAGTAAATTTTGCCTCTTGAGTCTTGCCCCTGGTTTTTATGCCCTAGTTATTAGCAAGCTACTTAATAACTTCCTGGTCTATTATAAAACACTCCAATCAAAAATTATTATAAGTACTAATATTTTATATTATATTAATTTACTTATCAAGAGTATCAATACTAACTTTCTAGCTACTAATACTTAGTTCTTTTTATAAGGTTAAAAAAGGTTTCTCTATAAATTATAAGCTTAATAAACCACTTAGTCTTCTATCATAAAATTTAAAACTGCTTAGTTTTATTTTATGTTTTCAAATTCTGCCCCCTTTTTATTATATAAGCACCAAGGTAAGTTTTTCAAGCCCTCTAAACTGCTTTTAAAAGCCAATATATTATAAATATACTTGTAATATATAAAGGTAATTATTTAAAAAAATAGTAAAGTATGCTTGGTCCTGGAAAAAAAAAGTTTAATAACAATATTCGTTTATTCAAAATAGAGAAAAAGCTTTTGCTAAAGTACTTACTAATATTCAATTCATAGATAATATCGCGGCTGTTGATTCCCTATTTATTAGTATGAATACTAGTAATTAAAGCTTTGTTAGTATTAAAGCCCAAGATAAAAAGTTAACAAGTATTAAAGTTGGTAAGGTTAGCTAAGTATTATTACTAATTATACTACCTTTTAAATTAAAACTAATATCTGCTTATTAAAATTCTTTATATAATATTTTATTACTTTTTAACATTTTATATGCTTAGGCTTCTATATATAAATACTACATACTTAATTTAATCCTAAATACTTTTATATAAAAATCCAAGTATAAATTTTTTTAGAAATAGTAAAGTATTATATAAAAAACATTTAACAGGCAGGTATTAATTCTAATATAAAAATAATCTACTTAATAATAATACTTAGCTAATCTTACTAACTCTAAAGCTTACTAATCTTTTATCCCTAGCCTTAATATTACTAAGGCTCTAATTACTGGTATTACATACTAGCAAATAGGTAATCAATGACCATGATAATAAGTTACTTGTTCTATCCCTATTTCCTATAGCAAGGTATTATAAATTAAAATAATTAAGCCAAGAACTATAATATATTTATTATTTATTATCATACTATCATAGATTATTTTAAGGCAAATACTAAGGATTATGATTATTATTGAATAAATAAAATTTTGAATTTATTATAGCTGCTGCTTTATTTGCTAAAAAACTAGTATTTTACTTTATAACCATTATATTAATTATACTATAGTGGGGTTGCACCCTAACATTAATTCCTATAGTACTTATAGCCTTACTACCTGCCTCTTATACCTAGTTTATTATTTACTTTAATATATATATTTTTTTTCCTACTATTATTTTTACTTATACTACGTACTATTTAATTTTAAAATACTATTATTATTTAGCTTTTTAGCTTTTATACTTTAATACTATTTTTTTATATATTAATAACTAACACAGGGCATGTTTTTTTAATATTATAAGGGTAAAAAAAGTATTTATTAAACCCCTAAATTAAAAGTTTTTAATACTAGTAGTTATACCTTAATAACTTAACTATTTAAAATTATTAAAAAAAGGGGCAAAAAATTATTAAGGCCTAAAGGTTAAAAAAAATTAAATAATAAGTATAAATTAAACCTAGTAAGTAAAGCAGGTGGGTTATATATAAAGCACCCTAGTAATTTTTAAGGAAATAATAAACCTAAAAATCCCAAGAAATACTAATTACCTAATAAATATAATAAATTAAATAATAAAATTAATAAATTTAATATAAATATAGCTAGTAAATTTAAAGTAAAGCTTTTAGGGGCCTACTTAAATAGTTATATTAAATACTTAATAATAAAGTAAAAATATTTTATAAGTCTTTTTTTATAATTATAAAGTTTTATTTTTTATTAAGTATTTATAAACCTAGCCCTTTAAAAAATTATTTAAAATTTTTAGTATATATAAGCTTACTGCCTGCTTGCTAACTTTTATTATTAAATAAAAATATTTTATATATTTAAGTTTTTAAGTAAAAATAATAATAAAAATACTAAATAAATACCCATGCTTATAATTAAAAATTTTAAATAATATATTTCCCGCGGTTAAAGGTAAGCCTAATAATATTATTAATAAAATTTATATACTTTTTAATAACTCCCGCGGTAATAATACTGGCACCTTTAAAAGTATAAAAAGTATAATAAAAAAAAGTATTACCTTTTATTAATTACCCTTATACTAATTCCTGGCACTTTAGGCACACTTATATTTAATAATAAAAATATAACTAGGTTTTTAAAAATATATAAGTAAGCCTGCAAAAATAAAAATATTTATAATAAATTAAAAAAAGTTACCTAAGTAACGGGCTACTATAGTTATAATATTTTAAATATTATTAAAAATTTAAAAAAATACGCTAAATAAAACTAAAAGGTTTTAAAAATTATTATACTAAATAAATACCAGCGCCTTAACCAGTACTAAATTAAATAATTATACTAGTATTTTAAAAAATTTAAAAGTTAGCCATGCACGTGGACTAATAACCTTTATAATTATATTATAAAATATAATATAATTTTAGCCTAAATTATATAAATTAATAAATTAAATAATTATATTTAATATATTTAATTAATTTAAGGCCTTCCAAGTAACCTAGCCCGGTAAGTTTTT